CCAAATCCCAATGCGAAGCGTTTTTGAACCAGTCTCAAAATCATTACTCAACTCTGAATCCAAATCACAATTGAATCCACTATCTGAGTCACTAAGCAATTTATCACAAGCTGGACCGCACATAGTGTTGTGCATGATCTTGGTAACCATTGATCCCAAATCAAACCACATCGACCTTAATACCCGAATCAACTTATCTATACTTGCCATACATTGATTACAAAATCTGACACCTTACTCTTTTGTAATCCAGATCACTCATTTTTCCGCGCTGTGCAACCTTTCACATCGATCTTTTGCTGGCATTTAGGATAAAGTAAAGCTTGATCGTCCTATCCGATTATATCTACATTGAACCATAAAATACTTTTCATAATCTCAATAATCAACTTATCTGAGCTATTGCTTTTGAAAGTCCAAGTCGTTCAAAATCAACAATCAGACCTCAATGTACAAGTTTATGTGTACATGAATTTTGTCACTTATACTCAAACTGATTGTTCCTGTGCCATTTAGGTGAGTGTTCCTTTGATCTTAGTTCAATTCCGATTTCATCCAAGCCAATACCAGCCTCATGAAACCTCATCTCAACTAATCCAACTCTATCATATCTACCTTTATCTCACCTAACAGGCAACAGTCATAATCATCAAGCTTTTGATTTTAATTCTGGGTGACTCTTCCCTTGCACTTATTACCACTAGATCACCTCCCTCTGTTTATGATTAGTTCTGACTTGATGCAAATTGCCTCCTGCCCTCCATAAAATCTCAAAGCAGCCAATGAAGAAATCGAACAGAATAAAATCCAGAAAACATTACATTTCAACAGATTGCTTGATACACAAATCAAAAGTAGGTGGTTCAACCCGATCCATTCAACCAAAAAAGTAATTAACTCTGATAAACTTATTCTGTACTCCAACACCAACAGCTTGATTATTTAAACCATTTGACTACATCTAGATAAGCTTCACATTGATCCACTCAATCTACTTATTGGATTCAATCTATTCATTTTACTCCATCTATGTATTTGACTACATGTATTTCAAGATTAACACATGCTTTAGATACTTACAAGCTCAATCTGAATGCCATTCTGTCCCCACACTCTATAGTTGCTGATTCAATCTTTCCTCAATCTACATTGAACAAAACTTCTTCCCTTCAATTTGCAAACCGGAATTTGATTTCTAGAGCAAAAGTTTTGAAGACCACATGCAACAAAAAAAACTTTCTTAGAACTACTGCTGCATCCATCTTTCCCCATCCTAGATCAAAAAAAAGTCACTTTAATGACTCACTTGAAGAGGTGGAATGGGACCAACAGAATCAGAGGTGACTAATGAATCCAATGTGTATGACAAGAGCAACTCAATGACAATGGATTTATAGAAAAGTTTTTCTTTCCACAGCTACCTGGATTATCTATCTATCTATTACAAATATTATGCAAACCTGATCACTCAACCTGAACCCACATCTTTGAATGTCTCAGTTTCACCTAATCTCACAGTTGAACATCATGTACAAGGTTGTTATTTAAAAGGATTTCTGTCATATTTCAGAGCTGAATCCCAGCATCTCAACACCCAACAAAGTATGGTATCAACCAGTTGTTGAGGTGCCTATCAGTCACTTCAAGCCATTGCTACAATCATCTTTGGTTTTTGGAGAATGTGATAGGATGATCAAACTTTTGACTCTTGACTCCAGTTGTTACCAATTTTAGACACCAAGTGCACATAACTTTTTCAAAGCCAAAAAATGCCTGTGCTCCAATTTTATTTGGTTTAATCAAATCAAGATGGTTCCAGATATCAAAACACTCACTCTTCCTGGGGTTCTTCTTTGTGTCAAGGTAAAACAACTACATAATTCTTTTTGAGATTGTGATCAAGAAAGCCATTCAAAATCTCAAGTATTTGACTATCCCATCATATGTTGGGTACCAAGAAAAGAAAACAAGTGTTTTGCTGGCTTGAAGATGAAAAAAAAATTACCACTGGAAACCCAAAAGTCCTGGGGTGTCAAATCTGTCTGATAACTGAAGTGTGCCATGTGTTTATTGAGGTATTGGGTGCACAATATCTTTGGATGACAAAGATAATTTGATAAAACAAAATGTTGTATACACAGCACTCCGGGTTCAACCAAGCAATTAAATAATGTTTTGATTTTGGAACTACTTGTAAAGTCACTAAGAAGTTGAACCAGAATGATACTTGATGTACTCTAATTTGGAAACCATTAGGGGGTTAGGGCCTAGGGGTTAGATGTTAGGATTACACTACACAAAATATAATATTTTCTGGGCAGAAAATTAAATTATTGATACACAAAAATATTGAGAGGCCAGGAGAAGGGCAAAAAATAAATAAAAATATGCATCTTGTTCCCTGCGGTGAGAGCTTCACTCTCCATATTTTTCCATATTTTTACAGTCCGTATTGATAAGTGTACTAACAATAAACCTTCATAATCATCCAATTACAACCTGTAACAAGCACTGAAATTTGGCTCATTAGTGTTTAGAGAAACTTTTGATTTCTGAAAACACCTATAACTTTGTCAAATCTGCCTCAAAACACTCGATTTTAAGTGCATTAGAAAGCTGAACTCTTCCTCTCAAACTTTCATAAGGTCAAGAACTATGTAGCTAGTATGACAATCATTCTATGGATCTGTATGTACAAATGTACAAAAAAGATTATATCTTTTTTAGCAGACCAGCATGCTGTGTGGTCCTATTATGAACTATTTGGAGGACAATTCCAGCTTACCAATGCACCCAAAATCGAGCGTTTTGGACCGGAATTGAAAAAGTTATGAGTATTTTCAGAAATCAAAAGTTTCTCTAAACACTAATGAGCCAAATCTCAGTGCTTGTTACAGGTTGTAATTGGATGATTGTGAAGGTTTATTGTTAGTACACTTATCAATACGGACTGTAAAAATATGGAAAAATATGGAGAGTGAAGCTCTCACCGCAGGGAACAAGATGCATATTTTTATTTATTTTTTGCCCTTCTCCTGGCCTCTCAATATTTTCGTGTATCAATAATTTAATTTTCTGCCCAGAAAATATTATCTTTCTTGTAGTGTTAGGGCAAGGATATCTCCACTCCACTACAAGGGCATGTGTCATCACCTCTTTCACTACATGCAAGGTGGTGACGCCGCGGGTGCGGGCAAGACCCCCAGGACCCTGGAAAGCTCCTACCAAGGCGTCTGATGAAACCTGTTTTTCAGTTTTTGGGCTCTACACAACACACCACTCCTTCTCTCAAGGTCCAGATCACTTCAAAAGATGCGCATAGAGTAGGGCTATCCAACACGCCTACTCCGCGGCTCTCAACTTTGCTCAATCGGGCGCAAAATCGATTGGCGCAAATTTTTTTCGTGCCTCAGAGGCCTGATCCCGACATTCGATTTTGAGGCTGTTTTTGACCGTTACATCCAATTATCTCGGGAAGTATAGGTGCTACAGGGCTAAAAGCTAGCTCAAATGAAAGCCTTTTATCTCACACACATTTTGCACTACTGTAGGTCTCTTGAATATGATTTTTAGTGCCCGGAAACCTCGCCAACAAGATGTCGCGTTTTACATCAGACGCCTCAGTAGGCGCTTTCCAGGGTCCAAACCCCCCCTTGGGTTTTTTGCAGCGTCACCGCGACCCCGCATCCGCGGGGTCAGCACTTTGCATATAGTGTTTCCAAAATCAACACAGTTCCTCCAAATTCTTGATCTCACCACAATTAGAACTCAGAAGCATCATGGCCTCAATATACCCTGAACCTTGACTCCCTTCACTTTTGTGTTCCGCAAGCAGGAAAACTTTAACAACCCTTCCCAGATCAAGCTATCCACGTCATAATCAGTGCATAATTTGTTACTGCAATTGGCAATCTTTGGAAGCCCCAAAGTTTGAAACCCAAGGTATCCAAGTTGAAGTACTTCTTGGTATACTGTATTGAAGCACTACATGGTTCTCCTCTGGACAAGCCAAACAACCAGAAGCACTTTGTTTTCACAGATCAATGAGGCAGAGTATGCACAATCCACAATTAGTCAAGTTATCCAAGGATCATGGCCCCGATTCTCACTTCAGATCCGAATTGTATTGCACCATGGTATTGATAGGTGTGGTAATTTCATATCTGATATTTGAGATAGCAATCTATAACACAGTGTCTATACTTTGTGTTGACATAAGTCTGCTATCAAAAATAGCCACAGCCAGCTGAATAGAAGTTGGAGTATCTTGTGTGACCATAACAGCCACCCAGTTTGGAAGATCAATACACTTGACTTAGGCTGGCAATGTGTTACTCATAACATATAAAGTGATCCCACCAAAATCCTGAAATAGCGTCTACTGTGGTGTAGTGCAACCACTTTCCCCTAAAGAAGCTTTGCTCCCTGGGTGATATATGATCCAGCTTATCATTCAGCAGTGCATGTGAATTGAACCAAGATACAACCTTTTAGTGAGTGCGGCGCCTGCCGCCCAATTTGGCTAGTTATAAGATTATTCAAGAACGCTCTAGCTAAAGGAGGACCACAGTTATCAAGCCCTTTTTAGTTTTTCATTGTCTTTGCTAGATTTGAATGATAATGGAAACAAATATTGGGTTTCTCAATGCATTTTGGAGAAGCAAGTACGGCATTGTTAAATCTCCAAAACTCTTGATGAACAATTTCAGGATTGTTCATTTTGAATTCTTTGATGTCCTCCATTTTAGACCCAGATAAGTAAGCTATCACATCTTCATATTGTTTATTGGTTGGAATCATCAATCCATTGGTTGATTTTTTTTCAATTTCATTGATTTGCTGACTTGAGGAACAAGGCAAATAAGTTGGTTCAAGAACATCCGGAAATTGCTCCTTGATTTTTTTGAAATCTCCTGCTAAGATCATCTGATCTCTTTGTAAGTCTCAAACAACTTTTGATTCACTCCACATTCAGTAAATTCCTGCAAGACTTTTCGCAATCATTTCCAGAATTCATGCAATGTGACGTCCATATTGGCAGCATTAGACAAACCTGAAGATTTAGCAGCGGCAGGTCTGACACTTCTCATAGGATCAGATAATCTCAATTCAAGCTCTTCTTTATGTCCACCATTGAATAAATGTGATTTATTTGTTGTTTTGGATACATGAATGACCATTTTGATGTTTGCCTTGTTGTATACATGAACATGACACCACAACAGCCCTAGCTGAGCGGCAAGAGAAATTGAACCATCAATGGTCACAGCCTGGTCTGGAAGTAAACCGGGCTGTGAGAATCTAACTATCCGGCGACTGGGCGTCAGAGCTGAAACCCGGGCGCCAAGTAGTGCTGTCCCTGGGTTATTGCACATCTTGACCAAAATTCCCATTTGCAATGTGAGGTCATCCCACATTAATAACAAAATGGGCAACTATAGTTTTCATGGTCAAGGTTTGGCTTTGATAGCCTTGACTCCTAGGGTATCACATATTTAGATCTTGGATACGGGCGGCGATATAGAGGACTGTGGGCAATACTGGAACCGCTCCGCACCACTCCACTTTTTCAGTGGATCTGGGTGCGGAGCGGACCCACTGCGCTCGAGCGGTACGCACCGGCTCCGCTTTTTTTCAAAAAAAAATGGGCTGCGTTGGAGCGGAGCGCCTAAACCGTTCCGCTAGCGCTCCGCGCCGCTCTTTTGAGCGGTTGTTCAGTGAGCAAAAGACATACAATTTGGTTCATTTCAAGGAGATGAACTTGAGTAAAATAAGTTCATATAACTATATAAAATAGCGTAGATAATGTAAGTATATATGAGAAACTACCTATCTTTGAATTTGTAAATATTTGGATAACAATTCGATGAGAGAGAACCTAGCCTTTCTTTTTACTTTCTTTTTTTTTGTTCAGTCCTGCTATATAACATTCAAGTGCTTTTGAAGCCTCCTCAAAAATTCCACCCAGTATGATTCCTTCTTTCATCCAAGCTTGAGCCCCCACCAGACGCTCCATCGTCTTTGGGAGCATACTCCCCCTCGAAGGTGTACATACGTCAGCGGCCACTGAGAAGGTCCGCTCGCATGCACATGATGTAGCTGAGATGGCTAGATAATCACGGGCAAGCTTGGCGAGGGTTGGGAAATGATGTGCATGTGCCTGTGAATGAAGGATAAAAAGAGAAACAAATGATAGAAGAGTGTCAGTGTGGTGTCGGTGTGAAAGATTAAAGAAAAAGGGCAAACCTTCCACCAGCTTAGTGGTGTTTGGTCCTTATTGATTGGGAACCGACCACCCAAGTATTCATCAAGCTCAGACTTCTGCGAAGTCTCAGTACCTCCGTTCGCCACACCAAAGATGTCGTACTCATCGATCTCGGCGGTACCATCGTCTTTGTCAGGTGTAGGGGTTTGGTTACGTACATTCAATTCCTCTAACTCGGTCTGGAAAGCAGTGTTGATGGCTTCAAGGGCAGAGTCTTCGTGTTCGGGGTAATGGATCGTAAAGAACTTCCCACGAAAGCGTGGGTTGAGAATTGTTGCCAAGGCTATGGCTTCAGTTCCTGCCGCCTCCTCTTGATACTTAGTAAGCCACTCAATCATGATGTTGATCGAGTTGTCCAGGCTTGGAAAGCACTCCACTTCAGCTTGATGTTTTTTGAGCTCGGAGATGACACGTCGATATTCTTGTAGTAAGATACAGCCTGTAGGGCCATTGCCCTCAACACAAGCAGTAGCATCGACAAAGGTCTGGTCAAGTGCAATTGTCAGTCACCAGTATCTCACTTCAAAAACACAGAGGAATTAAATAAATGAGAAACTTACCTTGAGAACCTTGTTGACCATCTCAACTGCGTGCCATTCATTTGGTGAGATTGTAACGCCCTTAAAGAAACAGGCTTTCCTATCGGCCGCTATCATCGAGTTGATCACCTGCAATGAGATATATTTTACATATATATATATAAGTGGATAGTATAATAGATGTATTGAAAAAAAGAAATGACATACCTCTTGAGCCTCCAACGCAATTTGTCTACTTTCGTAATGGCTGTTCCACCGAGTCTTACAAGGGCGTTTAAGCATGCGACCCTTGTATCCCATGCGAGTAGATCGTGTCTTGAAATCATTACGGCGAGCCGCACTGCTTGCAATTTGACCGGAGATTGTATCGACCTATATATAAAAGATAGCATTATTATCAGCGCTCTCACGTAGGCAAAATCATATGAAAATATGAAAAGCATTACTCACCTTGGCAAGGGCCAACGCAACAACATCCTTGGGTTGATCTTGAGTGATAGAGTCATCAAAAGTGTCACCTTCATCGTCGACTCTGTCGGGATTCTCGGGTAGATTACTATCATCTTCTTCTGAGTCTGGATCGTCGACTTGAACCTCCTTGCCATCGTTGATCTCAAGAGCTGGAATTGGGAGAGCCACTCGATTTGGAGTGGTTGGTTTCAATGGGCCTACCTTCTGACCTAGTGCTTTCAAACCATGGCCGACGGTCAAGTTCAGCTTATGTGCATAACATCGGATATGATGTCCTGATGGACTCCAATAAGCCAGGTCTTCAGCCTTCGAGAATATCGACTTTAGCTCCTCAGCCATTGGACCGTTGTTGCCTCCACTGTCGGTGGTCTGAGCTAGCATGTAAGTATAATAAAAAAATTAGTTTGAAGAAATAGATGGAAAAAGAGAAGGAAAAATAAACAATACAAAAAAAGGATACTTATCTTCTTGTGAAGACCATGTCGGACCAAGAACTTTCCGATGGGTCTTGCAAGCAGAGCCCCAAAGTGTCGCCATGCGACCATTTTGAGCGTGAGGTGAGTGGATTGATACTCCCAATTATTGTCAATGTAGTTTGCTGAAGCGCCCACAAAGGCGTAGCGGTTGCCTTTAGTGGTCCAGACGTCATGGATCAGGCAAAATTTCCCTTCGTTTTGCTGTTGAAACAAAAGAAAGGATCATGTCAGGAAAATGAAAGATTGAATATAAGAGCGATTAAATAGACAAAATGACTTACTTTAAGGGTTTCGATCACCTTGTTGTGCAATCCAGCAAACAGATGCACTGATTGCTGTGCCGCCCACGTCTTGGACCGGACCACTGCACCGCGATTGACACTGTTAAACGCTGCTCGCAGGAGGGTGTCTTTGAATCGAACCCAAGGTAAAGCGTGTTGAACCACCCACATGACTAAGATCATGTTGACGAGATCGGGTGAAAACTTTGGTCCTGAAAGGTATGAATCTAATTTACCCGACTTTTCTTGCTTCTCTTGCTTCTTCTCGGCTTGCTGTTTTTCTTGGAAAGATGGAGGAAGTTTGACACCCGCAGCAATCGCTTTGTGACGGTTGGGACATATTTTTCGACCTTCGCCCCCATCACGATGGCGCCAAAGACCGAAAAATGATCGATCACCAGCAGTGTATGACTCAGGACAATACCGACACTTGTACAACATTCCCTACAGGATTGGAACAAAAGTCAGCTACTACTTGAAAGAATGCAGAGCAGTTAGTGTTTGAAAAAACCTACTTTTGGCGGATGAAAATAGGTAAGCAGGTCCTCCACGCGGGCCGATCGAACTGCATTGTATCCAGGTTCAGTCTCGCCAACGAATTCAACGTCTGAATCTTGATTGATGTCCGCCTGTTCTGGTACTTCGAAGGGCTAAATAAATTGAAAGATGTTTGTTTCAATAATCTAAAGACACATTCGAGCAATCTTGGGATTTGAATGCCGTGACTTACATCAGTTTTGTCCGATTTGCTTCTCTTGGATGTTTGGGGTGAGGTTGGCCCTGCACTGCCTGATGGAGATCTAGCACGTTTGCTGATTGAAGAACGAGCCTAGACAGTCACAAGCAACCGAAAGAAAGTGTTTGTGAGCTATTATATTTCAAATCGATATATTCCAAAATAGAAGACTTACTTTTCCTTGCGAGGTCGGTTTGGCGTTTGGTTTAACTGGTGCTGGCTGAGCTGCTTGTTTTTTTCCTTGGTTCATTGGAGTCGGTGGTTGAGGTGAGGCCAATCGAGTAGCAAGAGGGCCTGATTCTTGTGGTGGTGAACCCTCCTCATCCTCGTGAGCCGAAAGCGATTTACGGGAGTCTGTTGGAGTTGCGATATAACCTGACTTTGTTCGACTAGGGCTTGGTGATCGTGGACGGAGTTGTCTGGATGATGCTTGACTGGGAACTTGGAGCGTGCTCTGGGTCGATGAAGTTTTTTTGGAAAGTGCCATTGATGTGGATATGGGGAAAGAGTACGTGGGAGGGAACAAACTATAAGAAAGGGAATATAAGAAACGAAATATAAGAAAATTAATATAAGATAAATCGCGTTTGTTGATGAGATATGAGGCTTATCGAGTGACTGACCAAATCGAAATTCTTAACCTAGCAGTCCAAAAAAACGCCTGACCACAGGGTGGCCGTAGTTGATAGCCATGCCAGGGGTGATTTAGTGCCATATCGGTCAAGGCGCCACGATCTGGCGTGTAGTGTTGGTGTTTGAAGAGATGGTGGGTTGATTCGATGGATCTGAAAGCTACCTGTACAACCTGTACCCTTGCCCCTGGGTACAGGGTTTCTGCTCCGCTCTATAAAGCGGGGTGCGCAGGGCCGGGGCGGGGAGCGGAGCGATTGCTCCGCTCTGTGATTTCCCGGTCCCATGGAGTGGCGCGGAGGGCTCCGCTCGAACGTGCGGTGCGTGGACCGCTCATTAAGGCGCTCCGCCCCTGCTCCGCTCCCGCACATTCGAGTGGAGCTGTTCCGGTATTGCTGTGGGGGTATGAGCAAACAAAAACAAAGAACCCATGTACTAAAAATTCATGCATATGAGAAAGTTACATAGCCATTATCATGATAAATGGCCAACTTTTATATATATGCATTCTCAAGACTATACTAAGATGTTATTGTAAAGAAAAAGAGAAGTGTACAATACCAATGACAGATGTGTAGGATATCAGCACTTCCCATTGTGTTGAAAAAGTCATTTGAATTCCCCACAAGTGAATTGGCTTGAAAACTCAGCTTCAGCTCAAGCCTTAGAAAAGATCAATTAGAAGTCAGTTGATCCCTTTTTTGCTCATCATAACCATGGCCAAGGAGGATGTACAAGTGTACATTCCTGAGAATGAATGCTGTACAAAGGTAAATATTTCCTTTTAAAATGGATTGGCAGACATCTGACATATTTTGACAAAGACTATAAATGAATCACAACTTGTGGACGTTTTTGAGATCCAATCCTTACCTACCATTGCCACAAACAAACAGTCAGTCATGATTGCTGCCTGAAGTATATCAATGCCCTAGCCGCGGCGCCCGCCGCTGAATTGCTAGTGTAACTCTGATACTTCAAATTGTACAGACTCCATTCCAATTGAAGATAATATCCATTGTGGACATTGAAATAGATCCAGATTTATCAACTTGACTATAAACTGAGGTTTCATCTTCTTTATAAAGCTCTGGATCTACAAGTTCAGGTCCACTCAGCACCATTAACTTGGTTGATTGCTGAAGTAGTCTGGAGTTATTTGAACCCTGAGCATCACACCAAAGAGAGGGAATTGTAAAAAAATGGTTTGAAGAACTTACTCACCATAGTCCAATTTATCTGCTACTCCATGCCCTCTTTGATCGAATAACAAACCCTTTTTAAAGCCAGCACACAACCAGCATTTCATTTCTCATTCAACCAACTTGTACTATCATGCATAGAAGTACAATCAGTCGTACAAACTACAGAATCTTCAAGTTCAGCAGGGGTTTTGTTAGAGAGAATTTGAAGAGTTCATTGACGGGGTGCAATTGACTTGATCTTGCGTTTGGTATGTAGCACAATCAATCAATCTTGCAAGAGGATGAAATGTGACAGTAAGGAGTACAGCAGGTAGTGATGATCTTTCAACAGCCAATCCATCCAACTCTGTGACCCTTGCAGTTGATAATGTGGAAAAAATCTAATCATACAAGACACAGATTAAAATAAGCAATGAGAAACGAAGGAAATGATTTAATTAAGGAGAAAGACAAACCGGTTGAGTGAATGTATCCCAATGCAATCTTTCAACTGCTTGAACAGAATCCGTACCATCATAAGTTTATTCTAGTATACATAGTTCAGTGGCTTCAAGTCTACCAACCGACAATTTTATTTGCTCAGGGAGGTCTTCAATTGGTACATGTGAACCTGCTGTTTTTTCATATCCATTTGGGTTGCGCAAACGCTGTCTGTTCAGTTGGTTTTTAATAGGTCCTTTTAATATGACGTATTGGTGATTGTAGAAGGTGATGTAGTAAGAGGTCAAGACTGGATTGTGCATGAGTAATAACTTTGATTCTCGTGGAATACTGAAAAAGAAAACGTAATTAGAAGAAGACTCACAAAGAGTGCAGGATCAAGATAATCGGATGGGTGAAAGGAGTGACTGGAATGTCCAATGTAGAAGTTTGAGCGGAAGGAAATGAGTTTTTTTGACGAGTCACATATTAGCATAAGATAGAATAGGTGTTGGTTCTGCAAATCTGGAAGGTTCAGTGGGTCTTGGAACATGTTGAGTATTGTGAACTGGGATAGATTCTTCAAATTTTTCTGGTTGAGATGATTGATTGAAAGTATGAGGAGCGTGTAAAGAACCATAAGGAGTTGCTGATTTATGTTGATGATCACATAGTTCTGAATAGATTAGAATGCTTGTAGATAGGAATCAACAGAGTGATGAGATCAAGAAGACCAAATTCAAAATTGTAAGCTTGAGCGAGACTAAAGGAAGGATTGTTAGACCGACTTACAAGATCAAATAAGTGAGTTGAGTTGAATCCAAATGGCCACTACAAGTCCACCCAAGACCTGAATAGTGTTTTCAACAACTTGAACAGGTGAATCAACATTGATAATTTGGCGAGTAGCTCTTGAAAACTGATCTTGAGCTTGAAAGATAATAAACGTATCGAGTGAATCAACCAATATTAAGATACAAAGTTTCAGAATACAACATTTATATCATGATTTGCTTTGTATAGATTCTTTTTAGTATGTGATCGTAGGGGAGATTGATCAAATTCAAGTGTTGGATTTGGCTTCTCTTTTTGTGGCGGATTCTAACTCTCTTGGGTCGTTTGATGGCGGTAAATAGGTTGAATGGTTGATTGCGGATTTTTGCCTGGTTCTAGACCCTACAAAACAGTGGTCGTAGCTGTTGAGAAAGAAAAAAATGAATATGTATTAATAAAGCTCAAGAAGTTAAGGAAAACCAAAAACTGACTTCATCTTTTGAAAATGCATGTTTCCTGTAATTATTGAATTCACAATCCCAATTTGGTGGACCAAGTCTATATAACAGTAGAATAAGCTATATTAAAGATGTTGAATCAAGTATGATGTTATGAGGGAATAACTTACCTCATGATTCCCATTCAATTGAAATGATGAGAGAAGAAAAGTTGGACATTGACCAACAGCCGCATTGCATTGTAATCTCAAGATGGCGAGTCATTGTCAGAAGTCCAAAACTTTGGCTGCTCAAAACTCACAATTTTTCAAGCAGGAAGTGGAGTTTTTGTCCAGTTTTGTTTGAATTGATGGTTCTCCGTTAATATGTATGATAAGGATTAGTTTGAGAGAATAAAGAAATAACACTGCTTAGTAGAAAGAATGTAAAAGTACCTGAAAGATAGGTACAGACAACCGGATAGACACTTGATTAGTTTAAGCTATCAGGTATGATAGCAATCTCTGGGGGCTAAAAGAGGGATGTCTAACACAAGGTTTTCAAGTAACAAAAATAAATATAACAATAATGATAGTCAATATCAAGCTCTCAATAAAAGTGAAAAATTTGCTTACTTCTCTTTCCAAAGATGGGAAAGAGAAGTAGGATGAACAAAGTCTCAGCTATATGTATATCTAAATGATTCTTTGTTTTTTTTGATTGGGGTAAGTATAATGTTCTTCTTCTCATCTAATATTGGTCTTCTGCGCAAACTCTCTATCTCTTCTCATAACAACATCTGTGAAAAAATCTTGAACTTGGAATAGAACATGTCACACACCCATTTCCCTGTTCTAGTCAATTGGAGATTTCAACATCCATTCTTCTTCTTGCGCTTGGCTTCTTCTTGGGCATATTGTTCAGCAACTGAAAGTGGAATGTCGTGTCCTTGAGCTTTAGCTTTGAGTCGTCCTGCACAGCCGATTTGTGAACGTCTGTCTTGTGTTGATCCATCTCGATGGCCTTTAAGATTACCGGTTGGATTGCTGTGACTGACTTGAACTGGGTGGTCTTTGTCTTGATCGCAAAAAAGACAAGGTTATCCAAGTGGTCGTTTGGATTTATCCTACATACAAAGAATATAGTCAGTGTGATGTGTGAAGTTGAGAAATAGAATGGTGATCTGATATTACATCGTTTGGCTTGCTGTGAAAAGGAGGTCCATAGTATGCTAGAAGTTTGACCAAGTTCTTGCTCCCGTCAAAATCAATGGGTTTTCTACGGCGAACTTGATTGTTTTCTTCATCCAAATCCGCTTGGAGTATCTTTTTTGTAACCTGGTTTGACAAAGTCTGACAGTACGGATGCAGTCAGTTTGACACTGCGAGTATCCATTAGGGAAAGGAATCTTACTGTCTGGTAACCGTACGAGGTACGAGGGAGGTTACCATTGTCCATGCCAGCACTAAGGCCAGCCGCACCCCTCGGCGCGGAAGGGCTTGACCTCTCCCGGCTACCCTGCTGACCGTAAGCGGCTCACATCTATGATGTGATGAGCTGAGCATGTCAGCTGTTGACTGACCCAAAGGTCAACAGGGCAGATGAGCGGTCGAGACCTGGACAACTGTTCAGGTATAGCTAGAGTGAAGTGGATCTTTTGTCCCACTCTTGTTCGCTAACCTGATCTCATCAGTTGTCCGTCTTTTCCTGAGTCTCATCCGGAAGTTCCGTCGTCGTCCTCCCTGTTCAGAATCCCCTCAGTATTCTAACCTTCCTTCTTCGCCTCGTCAAAGCTATTTTGCTTTTTTGTGTATTATTGTTTTCGTAGATTAGAGATAAAATTCATTAACAAAACCTAAAAATTTTATTAAATACACCATGCCCGTGTGGTGATTGCTCATCAACAAGCGCACACGAGTCGCCTTTGTGCCTCAATGGGAGTTCGTGTGCGCTTGTCGTCGGGCGACTGCCACAAGGACATGGTGATAATTATAACTATAATTTCAAGTACATTTTATCGCTTTACAAAAAAACATCATGTCCGACAAACGAAGTAGGAAAGGTCAAAATTCTAACAAGGAAACGGAAAGCGTTGTCAACATGTTAACCAACCCTCTAAACAACTTACAAGATCAAAGTAACCAAGAGGCAAACGACGGAACAACAGGAGGGAGTAAAACTCAACAAGGGTCCCAATCGGATCAGACACAAGTCAATGATCCGGGGACTAATATCTCAAATCCTGGTTCAACAAGCAATGTACCCCCTGAAGGTATGCAAAAAAAAAATGAGACAAGAATAAATAATCTAACAATCTTCTGGTTTTATCAATCATTTTTCTGCTATAGTTCTCACAAAAATTTACAATTTCAAATTCATATACTTTATGAAATTGAAAGTAACAGAATTACCGAACATTCAATCGATCAACAAGAATAACGAAGATATTCTGATGAATCCTGTTTTGACTGATAATTCAAAATCCGACAATTCTCCTGATGTTGAGAAATCAAAAGGATCAAAGGACAATACTGTGAAACCAATAGATAAAGTTAGCATCAAGCAGAACTATTTGGAAATTCTGGGTAGCAAACCAATCGGAAATAACCAAGGTATTTCTATATTGTATAATCTAAAAATTGTTCATGATATTAATAAACACATTATCAAAAATTTTAATTTGGTCGTATAGTTTCTATAACTATAGATGATGAATACGAATTTGACGGGTCAGTTGATCTATCAGACAAAGATAAGGTGTTTGATAAAGCAATGTCTTTAGCTGCAGCAGGAGATGGTATCAAATCAACGAAATATTTAAAAATTTATAAAGAACTTAATTCGATGAATGTGCAAATGAAGAAACCATCAATCATCCGTAGCAACTCAACCATACCTGTTAATGAAAATGACAGATTTTTGAAAATAGATAGGCCTATAATTAAGAGGACATCCACAGAAAATCCAGTAGTAATTACGGACGAAGCTGATGAAAACCATGAAGGAGTATACGAATGTATGTTCATAAAATTCTGAATTTCTAATATATTCAAAGTGTAAACTGATTTACGTATGAATATAATTTAGGTGGAATGTGGGTTTTCCGGGGTAAAACCACAGACAGCACAAACATGAGCTACACGCCGTATTTTGACAAGAATATTAAAGAATTGAGATATCCCATCCCCTTAACCATTTTCAGCAAGGAATGGCAGAACTCGGCGATTAGTCATCACGTAAGGAAGAAAGTGAAGTCGGATGACAAATTAGAATCTTACACCGGCTTACCTTATCCAGATGAATTACTTCAAAGTTATGGTGAATGGAGTTTCCACTACATAGGCTTTGTAGCGGCTTTGAGGGCGGTTGGAATGATACAATTTCCAATGTGGGCTGAAGCACATAAAAGAAACGTTGAAAGAATAGTCTCAAAATATGGATGGATGACGGCTTTGAAATACAATATAACGATAAGATCAAATGCATTCATAAATAGGGTAGTAGTAGGAGGAAAGGTTGCTCCTCCAGATATTCCAGGATACAATGCCTTTTTAGTAGAAGAATGTTTTGATGAAGCCAGAGTGAGAGGTAAAATAAATTCCTATGCTTTCATGACTAAAATTTTCTTGATTGAAAACTAAAATCGTAATTTTATGAATTTTCCAAAAAATTTTTAGGGGAACTTTGCGGTTTAGAAAACCCCTACAGGAAAGGCGGAGAAAGAGAGGGTTGGGATGCAGCAAACGGCAAACCACCAGAGAAGAAAATCTTTGATAAACAATTTCAAAACAAAGCAAAATTTAATCAAGCTTTGACTAATGCTAGCGGATCAGGAGAAGCTAAAGCAAAGAATAAGTTCAAGCCAGGGTATCAAGGTAATCCAAATAATTTCGATCCAAACTATGCTGAGAAAAAGGCAGCGGCGAATGCTGCAAAAACTGCAGCAAATAAAAAGTAGGCTTGAAACAAATTCCTTTTTGTCTTTATTTGTCATAAAACTTTTATTGTTGTTGTATAGAAAGATTTTTCTGATGAGAAATCTTATAGAGTACGATTTCTTTGAACTACATAATCTGATTTTGTTTTGTAAATTCCTGTTTTGATCTTTGTAATGAAAAGTTACTGATTTAGTAATAGAAAACATAAAGATAAAGTCAAACGTTATATAAAAGAAAATGAGATATTTGATGACGGTAGTCTTCGAAGAATTGAAAATGTGGAAGTTCAAGAAGACAAATCAACAAAACAGAAAAGATTTATTTCAATAATAGGTGACCCACCTGAATTTGATTTGACAGAAGAAAGAACAAACATTTCAACAAGTAACAAAGGTTTAGATTTGATTATTGGTGATCCGTTTGAAACAATTATACATGAAGGAGATTTCATAACTGATTTAAATGAAGAAGAAAGTTTTATTCCACAATTTCCAGATGGTTGGCCTGAAGGAGTTAAGTGCAAAATGGATATACCAGCTTGGGAAGAAGCGCTTTCAAATTTAGGTCTAATGAAAGAATTTGTAGATGTAATTCACGGTTTCAAACAGGGTTTCAATCAAGGAATACCACATCACAAAATCCCAGGTCACGAATTCTTTACGCCGGAAAATCACACATCTTCTTTGCTAGCATCGGATAAAATAAAGATGTCAATGGAGAAAGAGATAAAAGCGGGTAGGATGTATGGTCCTTATACTCACGAAGAAATCAAGAAGGTCTATCCCTTTTTCAGATCTAGTCCTTTAGGTGCTGTAATTAATGGTGACGGGTCATTAAGACCAATCAACGATTTATCCTTTCCAAAATTGAAACGAATAAATATACTATCACTTTTAAAGCAGAAAGAGGTTATCCCATCAGTAAATTCATTTGTAGATCCTAAACTTTTCACTACCACCTGGGACGATTTTAAAACAGTTGCTATATTTTTTAGAACATCAAAAGATAAATGGTTATTAGCAGTCTTTGATTGGGAAAAAGCTTATAGGCAAATTCCAACTTTATTAGGTCAATGGAGATATCTGATGGTTCTGGATTTAAATGGAAACCTACTGTTAGATACAAGGATTACACTTGGTGGTGTAGCTGGCTGTGGATCTTTTGGGAGACCTGCAGATGCGTGGAAGCATATCATGTTAAAAGAATTCGACTTAATTACCATTTTCAGGTGGGTAGACAATAATTTATTTATAAAAAGGTTGGATTCAACAACACAAATGAAAGATGTCGTACAAAGATCGAAAAATTTAGGAGTCGCAAAGAATGAGGAAAAGTTGTGCGAGTTTGCTTACAAACAGAAGTTTATTGGATTCATATGGGATGGATTTAATAAAACAGTACGCTTACCTGAGCATAAAATCGAACAGAGGAAAAACGAAATAAAAGTGTTTCTGAGACCAAAAGAAAAGTCATCTTATAATCAAGTGGAAGTAATTGTTGGTAAACTTGTTCAAGTATCTTATTTATTACCACAATTAAGGTGTTACTTAAATGGGTTGCATCGGGGGAAGAAATCATGGTTTAACAAAAATGCTATACAATTCACATCACAAGATGTAATTGATGATTTGAATTTTTGGTTATTAAAGTTATCAACCTTCAAAAATCTAAGACTTATTGCAGTACCTACACCTCAAGAAATAAGTTGGGTTGGCGATGCCTCAACGTCCTTTGGCATAGGCATTCTTATTGGCAACAAGTGGAGTCAATTTAAGTTATTAGATATCTCGGAAACGCAGAAACAAAGTGTTTATAGAATCGCATGGCTGGAGACAGTTGCCATTAGGTTGGGCGTTTTAATGCTAATCAACATGGATTGGAAGAGAGGACAAAACTTCATCGTTTGGACCAATAATACAACTTCAGAAGGCGCTTTGAGAAATCAAAAGTCTAAAGATAAAGATGTTAACGAAGAGTGGAAGATTATTCAACACCTATTGATAAGTGAGGATGTAGAATTACACCCGTTAAGAGTTACATCAGGCGATGATGATGCTGACGCATTGTCTAGAGGAATATCTACGGGTCACTCACTTGAGGATAGGATTTGGTTAGACAGTCCTAATGACCTAGTAAATATAATTAAGAATGCAGAAATCATTGTGGAAAGTAGTAAGGAATTATTGTGATTACGAGAATACTACCATGTTTTCTTCCATTCTTGACGAAGCTTTGCTTGTGTCGTTTAAGTGTACTAAATGAATTTTGATATTGTTTTTTTATCAAACTTATGAAAACTTGTGCAAGTGCGCTTAATGTATTTGGTTGTTTTTCCGTGCAAAAAAAAAAAAAATTGGTATGATTGCTATTTGAAGTTTGGTTTTTGTGGCAGTGCCATACTTAAACAGTTGTAAAAGAAGGCGGTTTCTTTGACAAACGTGATGCGCTCTACAGAACCAGGTCTAGTAAGCCAAGGTCTGGGGGTTTTGGATCAGATTAAATTAATGGTTTTTAATTAGGTTGTTCGTTTCGGATGGAATCAGAAACATGACAGAGCAATCATCCTTTTGTTAAAACCAAAAGAGACATCGTTTTGATATTAGTCGAACATAATCTTTCTATCGCTTGAAACTCCAACCAGTTACCAAGCTCAATAAATTTCTGGTCAACCTGCCACCACCGGTGCCCGGCATTATTGGTGAAGCATCATCCAGAGAAAGGTAATTAAACCTTCCTATCAAGTTGTCGTGATGTTTTGTGTTGACATGCGTTTCAGGTTTGTTTCCGTGTTCGATAGTACTTAGCACAACACACACATTTGTCATCATTTCACCGATCTTCGTATTATGAACCCAACGGACAACTTGGGAAAGCTTCAAACATTGCTTTCGGGTCGAGGTCCTATCTGACCGTCCACTGAACAACTTCACCTATTGAATGGGTGGAAACTTAGTACGCTGATAACATATAACAGCGCAGTCAAGAAGTTTCTTGGGTACATCGAAAGTACCGGAAGGATGGATTTCCTGCTACCAGCAACGGCTCAGGACATATCTGGGTTCTGCGTGTGGGCGGGAAGGAACAAGTTCGAGGTCGCTACGCAAGACGTAAACTCGCGGAAGTTGTCAAAGTACATCTGCGGACTCCAGGCCTGGCACCTTATTCACGACGTCGACTACCCTATAGGAGTTACTCCGAGGGTGGCTATCTTTGTACGCGCATCAGCTAAATTCGACGCACTCTTGCCGGCTAAGCATCAGAAACCGGCAGTCATGATAAAGCATATGATAGCATTATATAACAATTTAGACCACCATTCTGCAAAAGATCTAGCAATTCTCGACTGTGCCATCTGCGCTTTCTGGGTTTTAGCCCGCCTCGCTGAGTTGACGTATGACAACACTATTGGGGACACCAATTGGCTCAATTCTGTGTGGAAGAGCAACATCATGCGGTCATCAACTCCCTCATCCGTTACTCTACAGGTACGAGGTGCGAAGACCGCCAGGGTAGGAGTGGCTCAACACATCCTACTCAACGCCCAACCTAACGTACTGTGCCCCGTGAAGGCCATCAAACGCCGTCTATCGGTAGTGGGCGGACCAGCGACAGCCTTGTTTGGCTATTTTACCAACAGAGAGACAAGAATGAACCTGACCCGCTTGGCGGTAGTGTCAAGATGTGTCCATATCTGGACAACACACGGGTGGACTGGTATCTCAGGGCACTCTTTCAGAGTGGGTGGCGCGTTGCTGCGCTCTGCGCTAGGGGTTGATCATGAAGATATTAAAGCGCTGGGCCAATGGACCTCAGCATGCTACAAGCTATATCTCCGCGAATATTTGTCGGCAGGTATGAACGATAATTTGCACGCTTTGGGAATCTTGAATGGGTAGTTTGCATGCATTACGAGGATGACCAACGGTTTAACCACAAGGTGAGGGTTTCGCGCGGCTCTGGCTTGTAACCAAACCTGAGTTGTGGGTGTATCACTTACCCCTTTGTGGTTACTCCTAGGCATTGGTTTTTGTTTTGTTTTGCGTGTCGGTGACGCTTAGTTTTTCCTTGACGTGGTCCCTCTCGGTAGCCGTGACATGATTTCTCCTTTTCGGAAATCACCACGTGTCTTTTCCACCGAGAGGTCTGGTTTAGGAAACAACGTGCCCCCCTACCCCAAACACCACACCTACTTGTGTGGCATACACGTAGTATGATTCTAAGAATCAAATGAAATACATTTGTATGAAGTACTGTCTTGTAACAGTTTTTCCAAATCATAACATGAGAAATGTCCAAAGCACGTGACTTTAGACAAAAAGAAATAGCAAGAGCCAGCCTGGCCCGTGGCTAATGGATGCCTTGTCCATGGTGGTGTTCTTGGTCTTGCCTTGAACACACTTGTGTTTCTTCTTAGCTGGAGGGTTAACCACCTCTGGAGAATCATCCAAAGAATCTACTTTGTCTGGAGGTATCTCAATCGCCTTGCTTTTCTGAGTTGGTCTAGGTGCAGTGCTGTGCTTGACTGAAGCTCTTTGGCGCCCATCAGGGCAGGGTGATATCATTCCTGGATTCAAAACTGTAATGAATACTCACTGGGATCAACTAGTAGTAGGGGTGCCTACGTTGGGAACGTGCGTTAGGCCACTCATAGGCATGACAGGAAACCGAAAAAAGATGTAGTTAACCATCTGGATAAAGATGCCAACAAAAGGACGTCGAGAGGAATTTATCATTGTTTGAATTTAATTGAGATTATGGAGTTGATTGTGATTTGATGAGTACAATAGTTCAATGATTAGATTACCGAGTGATTGAAAGGAAACAGAGAATCGGATTTGTGGGTACGTTTGTGGAAGGTGAAACAAGGATGAGATAAAATTCAATTGAGAAGAACGTTCATCAGCTAATGCTTTGATGGGAGGGGAAAGGTAACAGGTGTCATACCGTTGAGTTAATGGGTAGAGTCGATTGATGAAGGGCTGTCCCCTTGTGTCAATGCTAAAGCTGATCTATCTTTCTTGAGGCTTGATTTGGTGGTTATTGCGGCTACTTTGGGAAAAGGAGGCCCCTGCATTTCCTTCCGGGCAACAAAGCTACCGTAACGGGATGTGGGGCTGATGCGTAGCTCAAAACAAACTCCCATCAGCCCGGGTTGCTAACGTAACTCTTTGAAAAAAACCCTTGATCTGGGACTGCTAACGTAACTCCTATCCACTAATCTTGCATCTCATTGCCCAAAGGATGAGTGTCTTCATCCCCTGTTGACTTCGCACACAAGATGCCTCAGTCTCTCTCCAAGGGGTATGCCATGTACAGCTACGTACACATTGCTGGGTATGCATTACACTCAGCATATGCACATGTATGAATGTGTTGACCCGGTTTTCCCTAGGCAAACCCAACACTGTGTGTAGGAAACATTGGATCTCTTGGGGGGGCGGTCTAGAGGACTGAGGGGGGTAGGGCTACCGGGCCTTGTATGTGGGGTGCTCTTCCCCCAACTTGGGACATAGTCCTGAGCCGGAGAAACCCCAACCACTATGGCCCGGGTCAACGCCAGCTACACTCTTCAATTGATCCTTTACGTCATTGCAATTGAGGCTCTCCTTCCAACAAACCAACAATCATCTCTATCATTCCAGTCTTAGCTGATCCAGTATACGACAAGTCTCCTTCAGATCTCCTTCACTATACTTGTGAATATACAATTTATATGCCTTCAATTGCCATCATCCAATTGCCACTATGTCGCTCAAGTCACAACCCAGATTCCAAAGTAATGATTCTCCACCTACTCGGAACAAGTGGCCGGTCAGCTTTGTGTTTGACACAGACGACCAGACCTTTGAGACCATCTTTTGAAATTGATCTTTTGTGAGTATCTTTTGACCGCCGCTTACTGGGTACGAGAAGAGAGCATTGTCTTTTGATGATTGAGAGTTATTAATCAACCAACAAACAGAAGACACAGGATCTAGTAGAGACTGCTGTTCCTGGAGGTGAAGTTCTTGAATCTCACCGACTGTTGCCGTCTTTGCCTCCCAAATACAAATAGACAAATACTCCCCGCTTGGATCCCACACAATGTCCTTCACCCTAACCTGATTTGTCACTTCGTGACCTTTCAGAAATTCACCCAGGCGTTGTGGTGATCAATTTAAGGCATCAATCAAAAACTTCATATTTAGTAGTTTACCAGTTTATTAGAAAAGTTTAGCAGGACAGAAAATTCGAAATGGAGGTTTTTGGATCAATTGAAGCTCTTATAGGCTTATGTATTGGTCATTGGGTTAACATTACATCATTTTATTGCACATTACTTATTAAGATCATTAGAGTTCATTCACAAAGTTATTACAAAAAGAAAGAAAGAAAAACATAAGAAACATTCAAAAATATAGGTATACAGGCTGGAAAATGGTTGTTAGGGTAGTAATAATAAAGTTATGGGTGATATGAGGTTAGAATATGAAAGAAAAGCATTATATTATACTATAACAATTTTAATCTTGAAGGTTGATAGGAAGAAACAGGAGTTATTAAAGAAAAGGTACTTTTTTGAAGTTGGTAAACAAGAGATATACGTGTAGTTTGCATATGTAATGGTGGTAATAGTGAAATTTAAGGTTGCCAAGAGGATTTTCCGGGATTTTTAAGGTTATAGAGGATGATGTCATATTACACGAGCAAGAAAAAGAGAGTAGCAGCTGTGAGAAGTGAAGAAAGTAGGTGATTTTATCAAAAATGAAGGTTTTCAGCTTATTACATATGTCAAATGACATCAGATTAGGTTGGTAGATGGCTCGTTCAACGCAGAGGAGTGTACTACATAATGTACAAACTTTAAATTAATAGTAGCAGAGGTTTATGTAAAAAGTTATAAGGCAAATGAGAAATTGGTGTGAATCTCGAATTTACAGTCACAAGTCGACATGTAACACTAAAAACCTTAACTTCACAACTCAATATCTTACTCATCACTCATCAGAAATAGGTCATATGGGTGTCATAAATGATCAGTAACACAAGGGCTACAAGATGCATTTTAGTAATCAAAAATTGGACCTCATCTGAAAAAATTTGTAATCTCAAAATTTGGTTTTCAGCTAGTTTACAAGGAAAAAATCACCTGTATTCATCATAAGAAGTGCTGTACATCACATTATTGCGTTATTGATCACTTTTAGCTGTGAAAATTACATCATGTATTAGTACCAAAATCATTACATTGCGTCATCATAGGGTTTTTAGGGTATTTTTGGGCGGATTTGATTGGTTTTGAGGCTGTTGACCATTGTAAAAGTTGGAGTACATTGTTATATATACTTTGAGATGATTTTGGGACTGTTGTTCCCCTTTTTTCTTTATCATTTACACAGTTATTCTTTTGTTTATTGTCATAAACTTATTTTAATAGTACCTGGTCACTCAAATACGCCCTTTATTATAGCTATAAAGAGAAATTAACTTTAGTTTTATAGTCAAAAAGACTGATTGGGAATAATATCACAAAGATATTGCTTATTTTCTTCAGTTATCATTTGGGAATAACACTATAGCAGTGTTGATAGTAATCGAAATTGTGCTTTTGAAGTTAAAATACGTGTGAAAGTTATATTTCTCTGGTGCCTTATCTGTACTCAATACAACAGCGCCTTTTCCTGATTGTGTTGTTTTAGAAGAGCAGTCATAGACGACTTCTACTAGTCATTTTATTAGTAGATTATCCTCTTCCAGCTCTGTATAACCCTTGTTGGGTTATAAGTTCTGAAGAGTGCCATCCCCCAAGACGCCACCAGAGCTACTGTGTAACCTGTCTGGAATTGCAAGGATCCCACGGTGAGCCCTTCCACTAGAGAGAATAGGTTCTTGACCATAACCGGGTTCTTGGCCTCCTTCTCCTCCCTTGCTAATTCCAGTTTCTTTGCTGTCGTTAGCATTAGTTCTACCTTTGGGGTTCATCAGCGTCATTGTCGCCGGAAGACACCTGTTTGGCTACCACATCACAATGCAGCTCCACTAGAAGATCCTGTATCTTCTTCCACTCAGTATTTACCACTACATCTCTCAATCGGTGTTTCACTACGACAGCTTGCGATGTGGTGTTATTGGTTAGTACCTTCAACCTCATACCCCGTACATCCATAACCTTTCTCACTACCAGCACTCCCAGACAAATCGCTGCAGTTTCCGCCCATGCAATTCCGCCCTTCTCAGACAGCTTCAGCTTTGTCTTCCGTGGGAGGCGGTACCCAAAGGCACAATGGTACCGCCTATTTCCACGAGACGAACAGGATTGGATACGTGGGTAGTGATAAGGATTATCCTTATAGCGGGGATACTTCCTAGGCATGGAATTTCAGGTTGTAGGAATTTCCCAACCTTGAAAATTCTATTCCCGCCCACGTCTAGTCTCCCACATCCCAAATCCTGCGCTCGTATCTGGAAATTCTCCCTGGTCTTCTCTCTCTCTCAGTTCAAGCTCATTTGCTTGACTATCTCTTTTTGAAACCTACGTCTATACTTTCAACAGAAGAGGGTCACACCCTTCTTGTTTACCTCCAAATTACAACTTTTGTTATTGTCAAAGTCTAGTAATCAGAGATGTCAAACACGACTAGGAAGAACACGAACACCGAAAACTTCAATGAGATGATGAGGAGATCAAGCAATAGGCTAAGAGGTGGTTCAGTCCCTCCGCCCGATTCAGATATTGTAGTGCCGACTCCGGCAATTGCGAGTCGCCGTGGACGTGGTAGAGGACGCGGACGTGAGAATTGTCCTACTTCAAACAGAAATCGTAATCAGTCATCATTTACTCCAGTGGTTAGGTTGACCGTTCCGGGGGAAGAACAAGCTGCAACTGAACCGGCCATGAACACATCAACTGGTGTACCACCAAATAGTCAAGACCCACCAGAAGCAACGGGTACATCAGTCTTACATTCGGGAGGCTTGCTGTCTAGAGATGATGTGAATTTTGGCCAAAATAGTAAGCTGAATTCCATGAATTGCCACCATGGGTGATGCCGCCAAAGGCGAAGCCCAGTATATATACCCATGTTTTGTGATGCCACCTCGGGTGAAGCCTCTTGTAGTAAGGGTTGACTTTGGAATAATGTGACCAATATCTTGTGTTTCTTCCTTCGTTAAGCACGTTCCCCTACACGCAGAAACACGGTCACTATGGCAGGCGACAGTCCTCCGCGTGGTTTTCATTCTTGGTTGAAAGCCAACGGTTACACGGTAGTTAGCAAGACACCTTCTGACCAACCTGCTCTTAACGGGATCAACGCCACAATCAACAAAGTCGTCACACCGTCGCAAACTGTTCAGACGCCCAGTGTAACCCATCAGGTGTCAAAAGAGAAGACATCAACTAGGAAAGCCCCAATTCAGGTCAATTTAACCAAGGATGATGATGTATCGAAATCCACCGAAAAGAAAAAGGTCAAAGTCAGCGATGCTGGTATAGAGGTCAATGGATTAGTGGTGTTATCTCCTTACTTTGACGCAAAAATGAAACCGTTTGAAGGGTATATACCATTATCGATCTTCAATCCGCAATGGTTGAGATTAGACTTAGTCCGACAATCTCAAAGAGTTAAAAAGAAGAAAGATAGTGATGACGACCGTTACAACGGTCTAGAAATTCCTGACGAGTGGAGAATGAATTTTGGTGAATGAGTTTTGGCCTTCAATCTTTTCGTTTCTTACATACATTATTACGGACATGGAGATGTCGCGGACAAATTTGTGATTCATAAGGAAAACGTCATGGCCATCAAGCAAGAATGTTCCTCTGAAATTATGGCATTTTGCTACGACCAGGCTATCAGATCGACAGTAATGACTTTCAAAAACGCGGATGGCAAACTAGCTAATCCGGCTATCAGAGATGAGAACCAAGAATGTGACGCTAGACTCGAAACGGAGGGTCTAGGAGATTTCCAACCACGTTTTCAGAGCGACAATCCGTATGCCGAAGGTCAGCCAAAGGCAAACATCCATCCAATCACAGGCGAGTACCAAGCTTTCAGTAATCACAAGCAGTATTCAAACACCAATACCAACGCCAATCAAGCTACTGACTATGGCAAGCCAAACGCTTGTTCTTGGCTGTTTGCCAACCCTTCTATGAAGGTCCGAGTGGCTCGGGTTACCAACACTTTGAGGAGAGAAGGAGTGAAGGTCGGAATGTGAGGGATCGAGGTCGTGGCGGAGGTTGGTATGGAAACAATGGCGGGCAAGATGCTGATCGGAACAACGGAAGTAGATACTTTGACCGTAATGCCAATTGTAGAGGCAAAGGCGGTAATTCGTGGCGTCAGGATGACAGACGTGATGATTGTAAGGGGGAAATTAACGGTCCTAAGTACGGTGGTGGAGGAAAGGCAAAGTAAGCTAGATGCTGATTTGATTCTTTGATTACGATGGTGTTGTTTGAGGTGTTTCCTCGCCACCCACCTAAAGAAAACTTGATAGGCGTACCAAGTGCGAAGACTTGGTTTTTTTCTTGATTTATATCCAGTCACCCATGTTGTGAACTGTTGGGTTGTTGAACTGAGTGTTTGGTTGATCATATCACAGCCTCATGTCGTCGTTTCTCCCTCTGACTTTGTTTGATATCTGTGTCTGATGTCACTGTCTTACTGAAATAAACGTCGTACGACAACCATTGTGTATGAATTCTGACCACAAACCAAATTGTTGGTGTCTGTTTCGTCCTCTAGTTATGATTGGGAAGCTGAGTTAGCTTCGTCGGGAGAGGGTCCCCAACTCAAGGTTACACCAGAGGTGAATGTGGTAAGGTTGCTGCCATATAAGAACTCCGGAAGAACCTACAACAAGAGGTGGCCATGAGAATATGCAGTGTGTGACTTGAATCTGTCGAGATGGAAGTCGTTGGTGGCACAGCATAAAATTGGAGGAGACGCGGATGAGGTGATAAGAGGTTGTATAAATGGGTTCCATCAAGGAATCCCAGATCACACGATGGGCAATAGGAGGTGGTTTACTCCGGATAATCATGAATCGGCAAAATTGGCATCGGAGAAGATTCGAAATACACTAGAAAAGGAGAGAAGAGCAAACCGAATCTTTGGACCCTTCACTCATGAAGAGGTATTTTCCAAGATTGGATTTTTCCGGTCCAGCCCGATGGGGAGTGTTATAAATGGCGATGGGTCCTTCAGGATTATTAATGATCTGTCGTTTCCGCATGAGGTTGAAGAAACACCGTCAGTTAACAGCTTTGTGGATAAGAAGGACCACGCCACCACGTGGGATGATTTTAAAATAGTGGCTGCCTTCTTTAGGGATAATAAAGGAAATTAATTACTTGCTTTATTTGACTGGGAGAAAGCATATAGGCAAATACCTATTCACCCGTCGCAATGGCGCTTTCTCTTTCTCATGGACTTGTCGGGTAGGTTATGGTTGGATTCGCGTATTCAGTTGGGCGGAGTGGCAGGTTGCGGTGTCTTTGGACGACCAGCAGATTTGTGGAAGCAAATTATAGTAATAGCCTTTAAGTTGAAGACGGCATTTAGGTGGGTCGACGATAACTTGCTAGTTAAGGAAGCCGGAAATACCACATCAATACAAGATATTGTAAGGTTTAGCTCAGAAATGGGAGTCTTGAGCAACTCGGAGAAAGTACACAAATTCGCAGATGAACAGTGATATATAGGCTTTATTTGGAACTCAAAAGAAAGAACTGTAAGGTTACCGGATGAGAAATTTGAAGCAAGACTGAAAGAAATAGAAGAATTCTTAGACCCGAACGAATCATTCAACCTAAAGAGGGTGCAAAAGTTTGTGGGAAGGTTAGTCCACACAACTCACATAGTTCCTCACCTTAAGTGCTACATTTCTAGCCTGTACCGTTGGGAGAAAGAGTGGCAAGTGGCGTCAGCAAAAAGGAAAGTACCTGGGGATGTACGGGAGGACCTACAAGAATGGCTCAAAGCGATGAAAGCATTCAAGCCGAGGCGGATCATACCAGACCAGGTTCCTATTGATGTTGACTGGGTAGGTGATGCGTCACTCACAGGCATAGGAGTGCTCGTGGGGTCTAGATGGGTGCAATTTACTTTGTCCGAAGGATGGAACAGTCAGAAGGCATCAAGAGGTAAACGAAACATATCATGGGCAGAAACCATGGCTATTCGCCTGGGACTTATCATGCTTAGTACCTTTAGTGTTGTAGGAGGGAAGTCCTTTGTTGTCTTGACTGATAAAACGACTTCTCAGGAAGTGGTAGAAAATAGGAAGTCAGGTGACGTTGAGGTGAACGAGGAGTGGAAAAAGATTCAAAAATTATTAGAGCACTTACACTGTGATATAGTGGCTCAACGGGTGAAATCAGGTGACAATATGGCGGATTTGTTGTCGAGAGGAAAGGAGAAGCGCTCTGTAGAGGACATGGTCGTGATCGAGCTTCCTAGTGACCTGAGATCTGTTGTACGACAAGTCCTCTGAAATAAACGTGTAAAACGCGTTTCATGTGTTTGATTCCCCCTCCTAGCCCGCAACCTTAAGGGTTTCATTTGATGTTTCGGCCGGCCCCAGTTGGAGTGAGTGTTGCTCTGAGAGTTTCCTTCCTTTACCAAGTGAGACTACGAGTTGTCATCAAGATGAATCCCACTGAGTTGGTTTAACCGGAACAGTGGAAGTTGTAACTCTCGACGATCATCTACTGTTTATTTAAATAGAAAATTTATATTCAAGTCTTGGCAATAGGGTCTACAGATGGAATTTTTGAAAGATCAGAACGGGATCGACTTGTCAAAAACGGATGCGGTGAAGACTTACATGTTGGAAGGTGGAACTTGGACGCCAGCAACGCTTAAGCATAACAACGCGGGGGTATCGAAGTTGATGGTTTTTGCAGCGGAGTATAATATACCGAGGAGGTTCCTTTTACCAATAGACCCAGAGGTACTCTGTAACTTCGCGGTGTGGGCAGGTCCAAAATTGAATCAGGAGTCAGCCACCAAAAACAAGACACCTATAAAGTCAAATACCATTCGCACTTACCTATCGGGAATAAAGGTGTGGCATTTATTTCATGGGTTTGACTATCCTCATACCAAAACACCTAGAGTAGAGGCAGTGTTAAAGGCCGCACACAAACTGGAACTTTGTTCGGAACCAAAAGAAAAGAAGGATCCTGTATTGATTAAGCACACGTTCAACTTGGTAAAAAATTTGGCAGATGGAGAACTTGAGAAGCAAGTCACTTACACGGTAGCTCTTACGGCATTCTGGGGCATGGCTTGTTTAGGAGAGTTAGTGAAATCGTCGTGTAAAATGGATCAGGTGTGAGTAAAGGACTTGGTTTGGGAACCTAGAGGGGAGTATGTTCGCATAAGAATTTGATTGGCTAAGACCGCTGCGATTGGGGAGATACAGGAGATCCATTGTCAGTTTCAATCGTCATTACTAGATCCGGTGGGCGCAATACGACGACTTATTCAGGATACAAAAGCTACGGAGGATGATCCACTTTTCTCTTATCCGCGTGGAGGGAAGAGGATAACCTTGATAAAAGCAAGGTGTCAGAAACTGTTTTCAGAGACTTGGGAGTCACAGGAGGGTAGTAAACTGACTGGCCATTCCTTTAGGGTGGGAGGTGCGTCCCTACGATGGAATTTCAATAATCCTTTGGGAGAGATTGTTGCTGTTGGTCGCTGGAAATCGAAGGCATACAAGCTGTATATTAGAGAGTATAGCGAAGAGGAACTGTTGGAGACAATTCATATTATGGAAGAAATAAGAATTGGGGACTGTTCGGGGTAATTTAAATTAGATATTCCTGTTCTTACGCGCGAATACAGGAACTTTAAATATATCTATGCAGATCTAGTAGAAGGCTATCGAGCATACTTGATTGGTCCTTTGTTTCTTCGTTAAGAAAGAGGATGATCTGACCACGAGGGGGGTTTTTACCTTCAGCTAGCCACTGGACGCAGTAGATGGGCGATCGCAGGCTCAGGACTGCGTCCAGAGTCATGGGGAAGCAATCTCCCGTCTACTGCTTACCGGTGTCCTACCTCCCTCGGCCTCTACCAAGGCAGAGGCCCCCCCCCAAGAAACCTAGAGACCTCATCAAGAAATCTTTAGGTTTGAATGGGACAAACCGGTATAGAAGAAATTATACCGAAGTGAAACCCATTACATTACATCTGTAATTCAATGTATGATTTCATAAGATTCATGTATACCCAACTCACAGAACCAGTGAGTTAGAGAGTGGAACCAGCCAACAACTTGAACTGGGCCCACTTGCTACCTACCAACACACCAATTCCAAACGACGACACTGCATCACCAACCCACACCATGTCTGTCACCTCAATGTCAGGCACGAATTGGTGTACTTCAAAGGACGCCAACGTCCTCTGCCACTTCACTAGGTCGACTCTGACATCCTCCGGTACCTTACGCTTTGCCGAGGTTACTTTCCACTCCTTCTTCCACCAATAGAGGGATGTGAGGTAACAATGTAGGTTTGGTACAATATGAGTTGTATGTACCAACCTCCCCACAAACTTATCCGTTTCTTTGAAGGTGAATGACTCCCCAGGCACCAAAAACTTATCTATCTGAGCTCTCCATTCTTCCATTTTTTCTACCGGCAGGCTTACCGTTTGTTCCTTTGTGTTCCAAAAAACCCAATATACCACTACTCGTCTGCAAACTCGTGAACTTTATCGCTATTTGACGCTACCCCATTGAATCACTCAAGGTCACCACATCTTTGATTGTCGTACTATTTCCAAATTCTTTGATTAGCAAGTTATTGTCCACCCAACGGAAGGCTGCTTCCAGCTTAAACACCTTTACCACTATCTTTTTCCACAGATCGGCTGGTCGCCCAAAACCACCACAGACTGGTCGCTCAAAACCACCACAGACTGCTCTCCCACCGAATTGAACTTGTGAGTCAAGCCATATCTTTCCTTCTAAATCCATGATGAAAAGATACCTCCATTGTGATGGGTGGATTGGGATCTGGCAATAAGCCTTTTCCCAATTGAAGATGGCTAACAAAAATCTTCCTTCCCATGTTTCGAAAAACCTCGCTAGCACCTTAAAGTTGTCCCAGATGGTGTCGAATTTTTGATTGTCAACAAAACTGTTTACCGACAGCGTCTCTGTTGATTCTTGCGGGAAAGACATGTTGTTAATGATCCTAAAGGAGCCGTCACCGTTGATGACACTCCCCATGGGACTTGATTGAAAGAATCCAATCTTTTTGAACACCTCCTCTTGGGTAAAGGGACCAAAGATACGTCCCTCCCTATGTTCTTTTGCTAGAGTATTCCTAATCTTTTCCGCCGCCAACTGAGCTGACTGGTGATTTGCCGGTGTATACCACCTGCAAAAACCCAACATATGGCTTGGTATTCCTTGGTGAAAGCCTCTGAGCAGGCCTGTAATTACTTCTTCTGCCTCCTCTTCTAATCCACATTCTTTTGCCAGGAGCTTCCACTCTGCAATCTTCATTCCGCTAGACACCTCTTTCCTTGGCCACCTTCCATTGAAGTTTGTGCCCGAATTTCTATGCCTCTTCAAGCGGTTACCATTCTCCTCTTCATTCAATTCCGTCTCTTCCGAGACTCTCTGGTCTACCGCCTTTCCATCTACTGACTTCTCCTCTGCTTCTTGCATAGGTGTATCACCGTTGAAAGCACTGGCAAGAAGAGGTGGCAAACATCAGAACCGTTGATCCAAGAAAAACACAGATTATTATTTCATGCTGCACATCTTAGAACACTCCACTGTAAAACCAGCCTGTGACCCTCAGTACCGGTTACTCTATGGCATCTGTATACAAACAGTTCCACAACCATATGTAGAAAGAAAAAAAGGAAGATAGTAAACATAGCCTCACAGGAGGGCCGGACAATTCCAAGGCTTTGACGGATACACATGTCACCTCCTTTTTCATTCATCTCTGCTGAGGTACAGGCAAAAAATTCCACAAATCCTAGTGACAAAGACTAAATCTGGCTCACTTTTCCTTCCCAGCATGACCTGAGGTATCACAATCATTGGCTCCTCTGCCATCTCTTCGATTGTCTCTCTTCCACGCTTCACTTCCTCCGTGCATTCTGTGGCGCTTGGGGCTACGCTCTCTGAAGGTCTGATTACCACTCCAGCTACCACGCCTACCACACTGCCTTCCACCTCTAAAGTTGTTTTTCCTCTCCTCTCTGACGTTAGAGGAGGAACCTCCAGGACCATCATATACTGGCAAGCTCGTGAAGGAATTGTGATGGGCGAAGTTCTGCAATCTCGAAGTTTGTTTACCGTTACCGTTGTGGAAAGCAAATCCTTCAACAGTACCTTATATCACATGATCATCACTACAGTCTTCACAACCTATGATCCTCACGTTCATCATCTCAAGGCTCAAGTTTTATTCTCAAGTCAATTGGGCTCATCCCACTTCTACTCAAAGTTTTTTATAGTTTTTAATTAGGCACTTCAATTACTTTATATTTATGGGATACAGAGTTGAATCCGGGAACGGTCCCGGATTTATTCCCAAATTTCCAAATACCGTTATTAGCGGTAGTTTGGATATAGGGAAAAAATCCGGATTTTTTTAACTTTGAATCCCCGGTTGCTCCATCCGCCATTACACACTCTTTTTTCCCAAATTTCAACTCGATTTGGAAATTTGGAAATTTGGGAAAAAATCCGGGACCGTTCCCGGATTCAACTTTGTATCCCATAATTGTATCATCAAGACAACAGACAGACTACATACAAACAAATCAAGATAGGCGAAGAGAGGAAAAATACTCAAAAATAGTCCTTACTATTCAATAAAGCAAAGGGTATCTAGATGTCAATCAACATGAAGTTGTCAGTATTATTCAGGATCAAGATTAGGGTCCAAAACCAAGATTAATGATTAGAAAGAAACAAGAATGACATACCATGATTACAGGCTGAGATCAAAATGCTGAACTAAATAGAAGTCAAAAGAATTAGATCTAGGGTGCATAATTAGAAGAACCAAAGTGAAAGTGAACAGAACTTACTTATTCAAGATTCCAATTGAAAGCCCAAAATCGAAATTTAAAAATCACTCATGAATCAAGTGGAAAACCTAAGTCAAACCTACTAAGAAAGCTGAGATCAACAATTGTATTTGATTAGCTCATTAGATCAAGGGTGCGACTTGGAGGATGGCAGAGTAGAGAGAAGATGAATATCAATTTCAGGGTCCAGGATCGAAATCAATAAGAAGAAATGTATTTTTACACCACAACATTGTGTAGAGTTGTGTGTGGTCTCATCAGAGTCCGGCAAACCTTGCGGATCCTTCGGAAATCTTAAAAAAGTGTTACGGGAGAAATTTGTAGGGATAGAATTTGTTTAGGATTGCTCTAGTTCTTTTCAAACTGCAACAAAATTAAGGTTGAAGGCAGTGTAACAGCACTGTAGTTTCATCTGCTATCATGAGTGGTGATTCTTACCTTCTCCAGCTCAGCCTATGCTACACTGCGTAGGAGTTCTACACCATAGGATGCAAATTGGAAGTGAAACGGTTGTCAACCCCCAAAATTGGCTCTATCAACACTTTTGCCTCACTGTTGGCGTAGGGGTTGATTTCCTTGAAGGCCAGAAATAAATCCTTCATCCATTCCGTCTCTCGCACCGCCTCTCTCTCTAGCCGTGTGTCTCGGATCGCAGGATTAGCCACAGATGCATCGGATAATCTGAAAGTCATAACCGCTGTTCTGACTGCTAGGTTGTAAAGGAAGGCCACTGGCCAGTTTGTATTCTCCCTCTTTATTGCAAATACATTCTCCTTGTGAGTCTTGAACTTATTGGCCAATTCTTTCCATTTGTAGTGCTCTAAATACGCAACAAACAAATTGAACGCTACCACCCATTCCCCAAAGGTCATCTTCCTCTCTAATGGAAAAGTGAGTCCGATGTAGGTATCTTCCAAATTCTCCTTCACGGAACACTTCCTGATAGACTGCTGAAGAAGATCTTGCCTCAACCACTGAGTGTTAAAGACCGATAGAGGGATATATGCATCTAAGGAAGTCATCTTCACAGCAAAGTATTTCAATAACGCTACAAGACCATGGGCCTCAATAACCTCATTACTGAATTCAATCACTGCGGTAGCAGAAGCCCGCTTCCCAGTTGAATCGGGGTTGTCTTCCTCTGGCTCATCTGCCTCAAGATCCACCGCGCGTACACGCTTCTTGGACTGAACGGTCCCACTAGGTTTGGTTGCCAGCTCCGGGGAGAAATTTGGCACGCTCGAGTTGAGACCGTGTACCAGAGTTGTAGATCCGTTGCCAAGGCCTGAAGACACGTCTAGTTGGTTCCGACTTAAGGATTCAGTTCCGACTCCTGAGTTTGTTCCCCCTTCTTTCAATCCGTTGCCAGCAGGTTATAAGGGAACTAGGCCGAAACCTTTTGCCTGCAACCAGGACTTGATCGTGTCTGGTGAACATTTGTCTATCTTTGCTAGGATGTTGTTGGCTCCTGCCACAAATTTTGTGTGCAACAACTGACCAGGAGCTGGTGAAGCAACACCATAGAAGAATCACATCGAGTGTCAGCACCCTGATTTCACTACTCCAACCCGTCACCTAAAGTGTGGCATTGCAATGCGGCATCACCGTAGTGGCATTATAGGGACTCTGCTTACCTGGCATGTTATTTAGGACTCCTCTATTTATCACTTCCGGCGCAATCAAATGCCCAGGTAGTGCCAGTGGGGATGAAACTGTGATTCTTGGACCTGCCGTCCTCAGCGGGCTTCTTGAATCAAATGGTGAAGCCGATGCTGCGTTGCTCTTTGGAGTTTGACTGTCTTTGGGGCGTGATGCAGGTTGGCAGGTATTCTCATCTGCGACGGGCTGGACCACTGCTAACGAGCTGCCAGTCTTTGGGGCGGTAGATGACGCTTCTTCCATATCATGAACATCTCCATTGCCGGCATCCTTTGAGGTAATGTTGTCAACCACATCGCCTGAAGCCACCTTTTCTACCACGTCTCCCACCTTTTTGCCTTTCTGACCCTTCCGTCCTTGAGCAGGTGATGCATCTATGACTTCCCCGGCTGTCAAACTTGCACTTGCTGACTGAGAACTGGTCGACATTCCATCTGGCTTGTCCGTCTTCTTTCCCACAGACTGATTTTCTGGAGGGGTTGCTGAACTACTTCTAATCCGCTCGCTAGTTCTTTTTACTTGTGCATTAAATTGGTCGGTCTCATTTGGGGTTGACATTTTCTTTTCTTGCCACAACTGTTATGTCCAAAAGAATTGAACGTAACACTACTGTTGAATAATATCCCAGCACCTAAAGTGTGAGGGGGGTTTGGATATGAGAAAAATCTTTAATGACAAAAGAAAGATGTCTACGTTGATGAAGAACTCAAGGTTCTATGCAATGAGACAATGCAACAACAAAAACCACACTGCGAATCAGCTGAGGAGAGGAAAGGTTGGCGACAATCAGGTTTGGGAAATTCTTCCCTGAATAACCAAAACCTAGATGACAACCTTTACCGGTATCCCCACTACGGGGATACCCACGTGACCTCTTCTCCTCATCGTATGCGTGGATGTGGAAATCGCTGGTACCGTCGTGCCTTTGGGTACCAGCATCCATGATAGCCGTAACGCTATCAGATAGCTCTGCGCCTCAAGTTATGCTAGCACTATCGCAAGTGCTTCTGGCCCGGTGTTGATACAACTAAAACCAGCTCATCACGTATGTAAGATGATCCTCTCATTCTTGCTTGGATTGTTTAAATCTTGGATGATTTTTATGTAAGCATCTATGAGACCGCCCAATGAAGACAGATCTTTTATGTCTATTATCCTAAGTCTAATCGTAGACTGTTAGCGTGGATGGCATGGAATCAAGTAGCTACAGCGTGACCGCCATGTCCCTATAAGGTCACATGGTAGTGCTGTATATCGCCATCTCTGCCATGGGTATAAGTTGAAGGACTTAGTCCAGCTACATGTGGAACTTTCACAATTTCAATTTGATGTAGCTCAGCAAAGGGTTGTTGGATTTTGATATTTCCACATGTACGATTTGTAGGAAGACATAGCGCATCTCTGGATGAAGAGCGGTTCAAAAATCCTTGGTGTGCTCACATAGAGAACAGAAATAAGATTCTCTCCGCCAAACAAAGTCTGAGGCTTCAGGCCAAATAGCTGAGATCTGCCGTAAGTCCCTCATGCCGAGACATGCTGATTCAACTCGTTGAATGACAGCTGTTGAAAGCATTGAGGGACTTAGTTAAGTTAGGATACCGCAACCTCCGCATAAACTTGTCAAGATAGGATGCAAAACAATCCAGGATCCCTAGTATATGTGGCGGAGAGTTCAAGTTGGCGACAAGATTGGAAACAAGTTTGCGGTTCTGGTTCCAACAATCAGTTATCCTAGTCAAAGTCCAGATCGCGCAGGACATCCTGTGGAATTGCTCCATAACCATGATGCCTTCCAAAAGATAACAATGCACTATCATTGGAAAGATTAATGCAAGACTGCTATGGATTGTTTAGTCTGAATCACCTTTGAGGTAAGCCGGCCCGTAGGTAATGAAGAGGGACATCCCGGAACATCGCGGGACATGCCATCACATCTTTTGTCAATGTTCTGCTCCAAGAGTTTGACATGGGAGGTCGCAAGCACTCAAAGGTATCATGATCAGCGCGCAGTGATCTATGTACCACACGTGGCTGCACAGGATTCAAAACAAGTCGGTGTACATAGCATGTGGCCAAGAATTCAATTTGGCGACAAGACTGAAAAAAATATTGCGGGCCTGTGCCGCCCAGATCGAGAGCGCGCAGAACGTTATGTAAAATTTCTCCATAACTAGGATGTAAGACATCCCTTCACATACACTACACCAAATGTAATCTTTACCGGGCGGTAAAGAAAACTACTGACGTAGAAAAGTCCTGAGGCAACAGGAAGAGAGCTAAAAATCTGAAAAAGTATGCACCTTTTTCCTAGATGTTGGGGCGTCATGATGAGTATTTTTTTGTATTTTACACACAGATATTGGTTAATGTACTAACAATAAAGGCTGAGAATCATCAAAAACCCACCTGTAACAATACCTGAAATTTGGCCCTTGACTTTGAAGACAGGATTTTGAAATCTTCAAACATCAATAACTTTTGCAGTTCTGAATCAAATCACTCGATTTAAAGTGCATTAAAAAGGTGAGCCTTTCCTCTACATTTTTCATTGAGACATCACATCTGTAGCTGGTCTAAAAAAGATCCTACAGAGCTATTCATGCAGAACTGTTTGAACATATGTAGAGTGTTTAAATGACTAGATAGCACCTTACTAACATTATGAAGTGTGAAGAAGAATAGTTCAGCTTTTGAATGAACCAAAAATCGAGTCTTTTGAAGCAGAATTGCAAAAGTTATTGAAGTTTTTAGACCACAAAATATTGTCTTCATACTCATGACCCAAATTTCAGGTATTGTTACATGTGAGTTTTTGATGATTTTCAGTGTTTATTGTTAGTACATAAACCAATATCTGTGTGTAAAATACAAAAAAATACTTATCATGACGCCCCAACACCTAGGAACAAGGTGCAAATTTTTTTAGATTTTTAGCTCTCTTCCTGTTGCCTCAGGACTTTTCTATGTCAGTAGTTTTCTTTACCGCCCGGTAAAGATTACATTTGGTGTAGTGATACCCTAGCGCAGTTCGCAACATCAAGTCATTTAAACGGTCTTTCTGCACTAGCATAAATGCAAAGCTGTTCTTACTCTGCTACTCTGCCCACGTCAAGGATTTTGGTGCTTGAACTTGACCATTGCACTGTTCTCGCTTGCTAGAGCATAGCTCAATCTTAGAGATTTCGATCCTTTGAGTCAAAGCACTTTGTCGGCATTCAGAATCTTTGTTTGGTGATTGGAACCATTAGAACCTTTAGGACCTACGTTGGGTGTGTACATTTCCGCTCAACTTGCCGCATGATAGACATACAAAATAATGACAATGACTTATCCACAATATTTATTTTACAATATCTGCAGTTGATACACTCTTTAGTGACACCACTAGCAAAATTAGCAGCGGGCGCCGCCTCAACGGTCTTAACCTGTGCTTGTACTCAGCATTCATCATCCATTTGCTCTACTTGTAAGTCATGATTTATTTGTATCTTTGACCTAATGTAACATCTCTGTTATCCTCACACATCACAGAAGTTTGTAGGCAAAATGATGCAATTCCCACCATGAAGTTTGGCAAGTTGTACTGAAGTATCTGCCCAAAATCTTCACATTTATCGCATTTCGCTTGCATATTTTGCAATAATTTTATCATAATAACAAAAATCCCAATCACAATTCTGATACAGAAAACAAAATTCTTTCAAGAAACACCTTGTCCTGAAAAACAAGTACCTGTTGAAATTGCAAACTATTCATTGAAATTTCTTTACCCATTAATTATTGTTCAATCCAATTAAAGTTTTTTTAAAATAATCTTCAATGTTCATATCTGGATTTTTCATTGATTTCATCAAGTTCCATTCCATCATTTTTTCATTTCTCCATTTTTTCAAAATTACTTCAATCAATTTCACTCCTGTCTGAACTGATGTTTCTCTGATTGATGTTTCATGAGCGTTCTCATTGAATTGTTCTGATTCTTCTGCTTTTCTTCTTGCGGGTTGAAACCTTAGCCTCAAAAAAAATTGGACTATCACTTTCAATACTTTTCTTAAAAATTGAAACTTTGGAAAAAAAATGCTTACTTTTAAAACTTCTTCAGGGAATTCTGAAATTTCTGCCACATGGATACCAAAAGTTGCTCACTAAACCCTTTTTCCAACTTTATCATGAAGTAATGTCATTCCTTCATTTGGTTCTTTAGTATAGAAGTTTCCACATGTGCTACTTCCATTCTCCTCTTGCTCATAGAACTTTAGATTGGATTGATGTGTCTGACTCAGCTGAGCCAAGGGCTGCACCACTGTATCCTAGTGATCTCATGTGCAAGCATCCAGCTCAAATGTGCCCTCTTTATGTATTGTCAAGAGGGTGTGGGATGGGGTAGTGCAGGGCCCCAGCCCAGGGATCGGTTTTTTGAATTAGTGTGAGAAAGTTTCCGCACTTGGGCCATCAGAGTTTTTCCTCTGCCACACTCTGCAAGTGCACCTTTCACAAGCCTGCCTGTCACACCTTTTGCAAGCTCTTCATGGACAAGTGAACCACCTGTGTTGTGGCGGTTCTGTACAACATGATGATTTTTTGCATGTTCAACTCATTGACCTGAAGATGTTAATTCATAAAAATGGGTTGCAAAAAGTGTAAAGGCTTTGATTTTGATTGCAATGTTTTTTCAAGATAAAGGTAGGTTTTTTGAATTCATTTAGTTAGTTGTTTCTGTTTTGTGACCATTGTGTGTGTGTTTGTTTCCACTTACTCTGAAATTGGCTATGCTAATACAAATCCATCATAGGTTAATGGGCCCCTATCAAACTCATCTATAATAGTCAACAAATTCTTTGTAGCCAACTGCAAGGAAAACATATTCAAAATCATGACACCATCAAAGACTGAATCAATTGAAAACACAAACCTTGAGGATCACAGCAGTTTTGAACATCTCAGCCATAACAGTTGAAATCCCTTCAGTTTGACTATCACCTACATCAACTCTAGCAAAAACAGAATCAAAGATAGTTAAAGAAGCTTCTGAAAAAGGTACATAACAACCTAATTGGGCCATAAGTGCTACAACTTCAATTTTTCAAATGTATGTCCTGTCCCCTCACATATCAGGTCCCATGATTGTATGAAATAAACTTTGGTTTCTTCCTGTGATTGTATAGTTTGGTACAAAGTTGATATCTTGTTGGACTTCCAAGCATGGGTGTTGACATTCTTTGAGATTTATATCTCCTTCACGGCCCTAGATTCAAATGGCAATGGTAGGTCAGATTATTTTCTTGCATCATAGTCATTATAGTTTGACTTACCAAGTGGGAATACTTTGGGGTGTGTGTAAGGAAATATGAGCAAAGCGCACAATCAAATCCAAATGAGCTATATTGATCTCATTCATTATTCTTAAAATTGGACAATAAGAAGCTACATTTATCAAATACATAATCAAAAATAGTTCAACATTGATAGGGAATCAAATCAAGATAACAATAATAATCATCTGCTATGTTGACTACTTCTTTAAATAAAGAATTTTGTTTGCTTTGATATCTCTGGGTCAATTTTCAAGATCATTGTTTGATTCTTTGAGTAAATCCCTGGTGAAATGACATCCCTTATTCCGATTGCCAAGTTTGATATAATCTATTTTGGCATGTTTTCCCCCAGACTCCTGAAGAAGAATAAGACACTCCAAAAGCAGTTATCAATATAGAATTATACTGTGACAGTTCAGAGTTCTTGGGTTCACCCTTCAAGCTAATTGAAACACATACATAACTATAAAGTTGATGATTTTCAAAGCAAAATGTTTCACTATCCATCCACATGCCAAGACCATCTGCTACTCAATCATGTTCTTCTTCTAATTGACCTCGATTTTTCTCAAGCCTTGTTTCCAACTCTTGTGATTCATGATCAAATTCTGGTTTGATACTAACCCAATGATCACTCAATACCTCCAAATCAACCATTGTTTACGCCATCTTGACATATTGAGCTAGATTGGTAATACATTCCTATACCTTGGCAATCATACCAAAAACCCTGCATCAGTGCATGAGTTGGAGAACTCATGATCATATTTTGAGACAAACCTTGAGAGGTACACCATTGGTTTTGCTCATCAAGTGTTGTTCAGCAGGGCAATTGATATCTGTGTCCTCCAGCTTTTTCTAACACCAGAAAACCTTCCAAACTTTGAATCTGATGCAAATCTACAAAATCAATGATATTGACACAAGTAAATGTGTTGAAAATTAACTATCCAGAATGGGCAAGAATTGGATCTGAAAGTGAAGATTTATTGGAACTTGAAAGAAGAGAAAAAGACGACATGAAAACATGAACAAATTAAATTCATCTGAAATCAAAGTTGAAAGATTGAAGATCAATTCAATGGAAAATCAGAACCAAAGTTCAGAAGAAGAGTTGATGATTGCAAAGAAGAATTTTGAAGAAATTGTGGCTGAAAATGTACTTGTTGGTAAGCTATACTTCTTTCAACTTCAGTTGAAGAATTTCTCTGGTTAGTTACACTGATTATTTTTCTTTTTTCCTCTGGACATGACTTTGTTCTCAAAAACAAAAATCAAATCAAAGATATAAATTGACTTTAACAGGATCAAAAGAAACACATTTGGCAGTCAGTAAAATGAAGAACAAATTGGAACATTTGAGAAAACTGAGAATTTTACATCGAGAATCGAGAGAAGATTCTGATCCATCACAATCAATTAAGAAATTGGTTGATTATCTTCTTGGTATTGTTGTTGATTATCTTACTGTTGTTGATGATGTCAGTTATTATTTGGTAGAGATATTTGAAGTTGTGATATTGTTTGAAATTGATCATCATTTTAAAACCTTTGAAACATATTGTTTTGGTTGATTTGGTGTTAAAGGTGGTATAGTTGGTTTTGGTATTAAATTGGTTAATTTGATTTCCTCCATTCTAGCATTTACTGAAAAACCTTCATATATAATATAAAAACAAATCACATGCATAATTCTTAAGTTGAAAAAACTTTACCTGAAACGTTTTCTAGTAGATCAAACATAGATTAAGCCATTTTGGATCCCAAAGCGTTTCTTTTATCATCTTTTGCCATCAAGTAAGTAGTCCGGATGGTATTATATTTAAAACCTGAGCCTATTCATTGGCTGCATTAGGTTCATAAAATGTTCCCAGCTAGGAAACAGTTCACCCAGTTGCTTTGGTGGCTCTATTACTGGCTTTGCTTCGTATGTTAAACTGATAGACGGCTGAAGAAAGTTAAAAACAGCTAAACGTTTCTTGTATGAGAGTGATACACGCGACTTACTTCTAGGTGAATGTGCCGTCAATGAACAGATCGAACTTCATCTTAGGATGTTTCGAGTCCCTTTTATCTATTGTTATTGTCGAGAAATTTTGATTACCCCTAGAAATTATGAAGCTCATGTAGATCAGACAAAAGGATTCAAAAAATGAGTTGGAGTTCATTATGATCACTTACTCTGGAATGTATTTCAACAGTTTGTCTTTGCCAGTTTGACCAAGTCCATTCTCCTGACTGAGCGTTTATATAGGTAACCAAAACTGGTTTAGTGGTGAAGTCGAAAATTCCATCACAGTCTCACGGATCGTGGCAGCAACAAATACTCGGTAGTCCTACACATCAAAGATTTTCAGCATGGGGATTTTAATCAGAAAGATCAAGACTAAAGGTATCTTACACCTGAGACCAATCTAATTCATACGGTCAATGTTGTGCCACTTAGCTTCGGAAGCAAGCTGGAAGTGATTAGATCCTTACTCACATTCATAAAATGTACCAGGCCATAAATTGTCAATTTTATCTACTGAAATCCAGTCAGTTTCAGTAGATGTAAACAATTTGTGTCCTAATATACAATCCCCAACAGGTTTGATTGGTCGATAGATGACAATGGCACCCACTGGAATTACATCAGAATCATATAGTTCTGAACTTGCTTGATCACGAGGTGGAAGTCAAGCATGGATCTTGGCCCAATTTTCACCTACTGCTCCTAGTCTACTCTCACAAATGCTGGATCTTCTTCACCAATGAAAAAATGAGTCTTGAACCTCGCATCCATACAGAACGCTGAAAGTTGACTAATAAGATGAATCGATTAAAGCCAAGAGAATCTGTTGAGATCCCAAGAATTGACTTGAAGAGCCAAACTGGTCTACTCGATTGAGGAATGGGCTTTGTAGTTATTGGATGGGACAGCGTCTTCTAAACTTGCTGCACTTTGTGTAAATCACTTTGCTATTTGAGTCAAATCGGGGATTGCTTTGAGATAATCTTCTTGAAGTTGTTGTCAATCTGAGAATCCAATGATTTGATGAATTGCCAGATTAAAGATTGGTTGATTGAATCGATTTGATGGATTGCTAAAAAGGAGATTGATGACAGTGATGAGCGGGCGGGTGAGTTGCGAATTGACTATTGAGTCAAGAACCGTCATAATCGAGAAGACGAAAGACGTGTGATTTGTTGAGAGCCGAGCCCGGTGCTGTATGCTTCAAGAGCGGTGTTCAAGTGATCAAGCGGTTCGGAAGAGGAGGTCAATAGGTCGGGTGTGAGGAATGACAAATGAAGTGGGAGGAGGCTCGAGGCGCGTAAGAAAGAGATTAAACAGTTGGAACGCGTAAACCTTGAAATTTAGAATAGGGATTGGGAGTTTTTGGAGTTTTGCCGCCAAACACGGTCTGCCTTTAACTTGAATGATACTAGCATCAAAAAAAGTCTCAACAGGCACCCATTTTCTTGAGACTGCATTACACTGCCAGCATTAAAGAGGTTCCCAGATGGGAATATGGGTCCTAGTGATCACATTCCCATCCTGCTACTGTTACACAGCTCCATGAATATTTCCTGAGTAGCCATTGTGATATATGTAGTCAATATTTTGAGATGTGTGGCTCAATCTGAACAAACTTACAGCATGTATTACACATGAACTTCTTATCTAGATGAGCAGATAACTGAGCGGACCTGTATGTAGCTGATAGCTGAGCATTTACTCAGATGTTTGCACATATGTAGTGTATGCTTTATGGCTCAGATGTGCAGTGCAAGATGATTTGATGCACCATTCTTCTCTCAATGATATTCCCAGACTAGGTCATGTTCCGACCAGGGAACATATTTAATGCTGGCAGTGATTGATTACTTATCTTGAGTGTGTACATCTCCGCCCAACTTGCAACCAGAGAAAAATACATAGAAAGGTCAATAGCTTATGAGCAAAGTTGATCTCAAAATATCTACAGTTATTACGTTCTTGAGTATCACCATACTAGCACCAAAAAGGATATCTCAACAGACCCCCTTTTGCTCAACATTTTGTTGATTACAAGTAAAGTTCAACTCACTCAGTAAGCAGTTTTAATGTGAGTTTCTTTCTTCATACTTTTTCATCAAAATCCTCATTGGCTTACATGGTGTATTCAGCAGCATTGAAGAATTAGGTATTCTTAATCTACCAAAAATGAAACTTGTTATTCTTGGATTGTTTGTCAGTCTTGGTTGCCGTGTTCATGGTGGTATTATGAGATTTCCACCCGAGGCAGTCTCGTCGTCCGCTGCGATGGACTCTAGTGGATGGAATAGAGTCAAAGTAGGAAAAGAAGGTGAGATGGGATCATTCAAATTACCATCATCATCAAATCAAATGATTCACTGATCCCTCAACTTTATCTCTTCAAATGTCATTAACAACAACATCGTCATACACCTTCTATCCAAATCTAGATGTTGAATCCAATCTTGATCAATCTACTTCTTATCAAAGCTTTACTAAACCAATCATCAAATCTGATAATGATCAAAGAGATTATCAAATCATCAAACTCAACAATCAATTACAAGTCATCTTGATTCATGATCCTAAATCTGATAAAGCGGCTGCTGCTCTATCTGTCAATGTCGGTTATCTCTCGGATCCACCTCAATTACCTGGTCTAGCTCACTTTTGTGAACATTTATTGTTCATGGGCAACAAAAAAGTAAGTCTCCTTATATCTAACTTGTATCATATTCAATCAACTAATTCTCAATCAATCTGTTTACATCATAGTATCCTTCTGAAAATGAATATGAAAAATACTTGGCAAAACATGCGGGTCAATCAAATGCGTCCACAAGAATGGATGTGACACTTTATCATTTTGAAGTTCATCCATCAGCTTTGGATGGAGCATTAGATCGATTTGCACAATTTTTCATATCGCCACTATTCACAGAAACGTGTACTGAAAGAGAAATCAGAGCAGTAGATTCAGAAAATAGTAAAAATTTACAATCTGATGCGTGGAGATTACTTCAATTAGATAAACATACTTCATCACATGAACATCATTCATATTGGAAATATGGTACAGGAAATTTACAAACACTTTGGAATCAACCAATTTTGTTAGGATTAAACATTAGAGAAGAATTAATGAAATTTCATTCAAAACATTATTCTTCAAATTTGATGACTTTAGCCGTTTTAGGTAGACATTCCATTCAGGAATTAACTCAAATGGTACTACAACATTTTTCAGAAATTCCAAATAAACAAATATTACCTGATCAATTTCATGGTTCACCTTATACAGAAAAAGAATTACAAAAAATCATTTTTACTCAATTGGTTATAGACAATAATTTATTAATAATCACTTTCCCTTTACCTGATCAAGATTTGTTTTATGATACTCATCCTACCAGTTTCATATCTCATTTTATTGCTCATAAAGGAGGTGGTTCGGTTACTAGTTATTTCAAGAAAAAAGGTTGGCTGCGTAATATTCAATGTGTTGGTGGTGGTGGTGCTGCTGGATTTGATTTCTTTAAAATCACTTTATATCTGACTGGCGAAGGTTTAAGTAAGTCAATTTCTCAAACCGGACCCTTCTTTTTCGGATATTGTATCTAATCTCATCGTGTTTACGCAGCTCATTACAAAGAAGTAGTTCAAGTGATCTTTGCATACCTTGATCTCTTGAGATCAACACCACCCCAAGAATGGTCATTTCGAGAACAATCTCAATTAGCTGAAATCCATTTCCGATTTAGATCACAATCTCAACCTGATCAATATGCTGGCTCATTAGCAAATTCATTAAGCAAACCATGTCCACGTGAAATGATTTTTCAAGTTCATATTTAACAAACAAATTTGATCCAAAATTAATTCAAGAAACCATGAATTTTTTAAAACCTGAACTTTGTAGAATTGTAATTGGATCACAAGCTGGTGAATTTGGTAAAGATGTAAAATTAAATCTGATCGAACCTTGGTATTCTACACCTTATTGTATACAAGACTTTCCTGAAGATTTATCATTCAAGTTAACAGCGAACATTGAATTCAAACAAAATCGATATATTGCCTATCAAAATTGACAAATTGTTCAACTTCAGCTGAAGCAATCCACGTTTCGAGCAGCCGAAGTTTTGTCCTCGCTATGAATACATCCATATTACCCAACTTTTACTCGGCGAACTTCATATTCACACATTAGCATGAACCCATCCATCAATGCTTACTCAATGAACCTCAATATTCACACTAATCACTATTTCTCACTATATACAAAGTCAAGTTAACCGATCTTACTACCATCTTCAAATACAAATTGGCCTACTTGCCACTGTACATTACACGAACTTCTTCAGCATGGCCATCTACACTCTCTGTAGCAATTATGTCTTACCATTCCCTATTTGAGCATTCCCTATCAGCAGCTAATTACAAACTACTCATCCCTAATCCCAAGTTGATATGCAGATTACCAATTTAGAACCAAGGCGTTGGACTCACACATTTGTATATCACTTGCTTTCAGTATACTATATATTGCTCACATACCTCGTCCAACTCCTACTCTTCCCGTTGATTTCCCTTATTAAAGGACAACTATGAATCAGGTTCTCCATATATATTTACCAACCATAATCTTCATATTAAAGCCAAGCAATTTAAACAAAACTGGAGGAGATCTACATTTAGTGCGATTTTCAAGTTTTGCACATGGGTCAGAAATCACTTTTCATTCAAATTTCCAATCATCTGCTGGCTACTTTACCTTTTTGCACCATGTCCGCCAATCCAACTTTGCAAGTCAATCCACCCCTAGCCGAATTTCCTGGTGCAGCTACATAGTCGCTCCTTGTATGGGCCTCACATGAATCTTCTTATTAATGCATCTAATGCAAACCCTAGCTAAACATCATCCAAAATTTCACCGGTAATCCCTGGCGGAATATACTCACTTATGTATATGATTTCAAGTTTCTATCATTCTGTGTGATGTATTCAAACATAATCAAATTAACAATTTCATTGACAAACCCAAGCAGATGATGTAGCTTCTAGGCTTACATCGGTTCATCACTCAACAACTGTTTCTTTGGCTCTTGGTCCTCAACAAACGCACAAAGAATCATTACCTTTCATCAATGAAAATCTAGATGATGAAGAGTTGAGTTCAACTTTACTTTTCTATTTCAGATGCACCATGAGTCGACGAATTTGAATTTCATTCCATTACTTTCTCGATTTTTAGCGGAGTAGTGATTGCTATTGCTGAATAGATACAGCCTTTGTCAAGTACCTCAATCAAGAATGTTAAGAACTCTTGACTTTATAGGAGCAAGATCAGATCGGTAAGTATATAGACAAAGATAAATGAGGCTTCATCATGATCCACATAGATGGATTATTTGATATCATTTAAATTGCTCACAGATCACTAGCAGACTCATCAAACCTCTTCAACATCAATCAAGCCAGAGCAAAACAAAGGAATGGCTAATGTTCGAAAATCATCTTTTTGATAGGATTTTGACAGAAAATCGAAAGGACCAGGGTTGAGGTGGAAGTGGGGTTGGGGATATGGGTATGACTGGTTTCAGATCAACTGCAGAGAGTAAGGTAGGAAGTTAAGAGGTTGAGTGTTGGTTTTGTTTTGATTGTTAAGGTTATTGAGATTTGCTTCTTCATCCTCAGCCAAAGTGATGAGAAGTGTACATACATCCAAACTGATGACCTCTTACCTTCCAACTCATCAATAGTCACCAATCCATTCTCCTCAACAAATCGCTACCCTTCGATCACATTGAGATATTATCACGGCTTTAGCTCAACCCGGTGAGCTTCATACTGATATCTTTGTTGATTCAATCAAAGAATCTGATTATCAATTTCAACTGACTAAAGTGCTGTTTACCAAATAGAATCCACGGAATTTAAGCTTGATAACTCTTTGGCCGAGTTTCTCTCTTCACTCGAAAGACTAGAAAAGGCAGTTACGCAGATAGATTATCTCAAGCCATTGGTCTCTTCACTCGCTTAAGGTGGATTGACCTTTCAGGAGGTGGTAACCGATCGCACAGCTGTAGCCGAAAGAATATCAAGCAAGGTTCTCATCCTAGACCTCGAAGAGAGCAGGGTCAAGGACTGCATCGATCGGGTTCAAGCTGTCACAGAACTTAAAGACACCTTAATCAATGTGTTTCAAGCGATTGAGAAAGCTGATTGGGAAGCTGCTACACGACGTATCCAACGTGCCAATCGAATCAATCCAGAAGTGATGTCAATTTGCAGAAGCGGTGGTGGTAGGCAATATCGTAGAGTCTTTTGGATTTCTTTACCAAAGATAAAATGAATGCCTCTTATATGTTTATTTTGTCAGCCTACGACCGATATTCCTGACCACTTTCAATCGCTTTTGAAAACTCTACACATCAACTAACTGGAATCTTCTTAGAGGCTTTGACTCAGGCTGAAAATTCAAAAGATGAAGCTACTACTACTTGATTCGTCAAACTCGGTCCGCTTTTAGGGATTAACACATCTGAGGCTGGATTAGCAGCTTACTCCGATTTTGTGCGACCTCAGCTACACATAAGAACGTTATTGTCACTGGCTCATTAGTTTTGTAAGCTTTGAAATGCACGTGAACCCATGGGATCTTACAGTGAGTGCATTGTTTTGTTGATCTGGAATCCTGCACATGTCTTTGCTACCTAATCAATCTCAAGAACCATCACATCATCCAGTAAGAACTAACACTCATTTTACTTTATCATTTCAACACTCGCATCAACATCAACAAGAACAACAATACAAAGATGAACATGAGATGACTTCACTCAGAAATCCTAATCAAGCCAATTCATCAAATAACAATATTAAAAAACTATTCCCAAAACGATCCTTTGGTGACATAGCGATGACAAAACCAAACAAGCGCCGAAGAATGATCTTGATAGCAATGAAGATGATGGTCAAGGTTTTGAGGTTTGTCAAGGTATGTCTACTGTGGTCTTCACTAAATGCTTAGTTAATTTTCATTTGACCAATCAGTTTCACTTTTGACAATTCAATTCTTTAGAAAGTCAAGAATCCAATAAATGTTACAAGAAAGTCAACAGCAATTAAATCATATATTAAGATGACCTGTATGCACAAAATCGAACCAATTCTAATGGGTATTTAAATTCAACTTCAGCTACTGTAGCAGATAATCCATATTACTGACGATCAGGTGAATGGAGTAGTTCAAAGATACCACGGAATGTAAAGAATCAGATCATCGTCATGCATATTGTACGGCCTTACGATAATCACTTTCCACATATTACCTTCAACAAACTATTGAAGTATATTTTAGATCAATGCCCGGTGTTTTACATCGATCAATCAATTTTAAGGCCATCCAATCAATTTGAACAGAACTTTGATTGCATTTTTGATTTCTAAATGTTCTCAAGTGGTTTTTGGCCTCAATCTCAGTGTTTTGATCCAAGTAAGCTCTTCAATTCGTTGTTTTAATAGGGTAGTTGCATAAAATATAATAATAAATACTAAAAGGACCTGATTGTGTATTTTCATGTTGTTTATCTGGATTGGCATCCAATCAATTGACAAGGCAAATCAATCAAATCATTGATTTTGAAACATTATTGAGGTTCCTTTATTCACTCCCAAAGTATAGGTTAATTTGACATAATCCTTTCTTCATCTAGCTCGCATATGTAGCCTCTTTGAATGAAATCCATACCTCTCCCTTCTACTTTCTCAAACTTTTACCATGTTGATCTTTGAGAACACTGACTATGATTGAATCTTTTGTTTTCTTTTGATTTGATTGGGTTCTTCATTAAATGCTTTGTCAAACTCACTCAACACCAATACAATGATCATTTGATCGATCCACATATTTGTCCACATATAGACTTCTCATTGTATCTATCAGCATGAATTTCAACAAAAGGAAATCATAATATTATGAAGTTCTATCTTTGATCTAGGGGGTTTTGAACAACATGAACAATGACGTATGTTTCCTTCTGGAGCTCATTGATATCATGGTGTGTGATCTGAAGGTTTGTTTTGTTTTGTTTTAACCCTGCTTTCTGAAAGTCTTACCCACGTGAAAAAGGTGACTTCACATCATGCTCTGTTCTTTTATTCAATAGTCCGACTGTAGTTATTTCGAAAATCACAACACTCCAAAACAATTGTCATTGTTGTGTTTTGAGCTGCGACCTCTCTTTCTCAACCCATGAACTTTAAGACTAATGTGAGACAAAGACAAGACTATATCTAACAAAATCAAACTGTATTTCATTATCATTATATTCAAATCACAACCCTTCATAGGTCTTCAATAGATAGATTGGTTGGTCCATTTGCTAAGCTGTCTCAAGCACCCAAATAAAATGAAAAAAGCGTCTGAAAACCAAAATGTAAGGTAAACTCAAATCAAACAAAATTATCATTCCTGAAAGTTGAGTTAATTGGCTGTAATCACAGGTAAGTCACATCCATATCACTTGATCTGAACTAAATAAGATACATTGATTCACTTTGGGCTCTTTCACAGATGTTCTTCTCTGAGTTGTACTCGAGGTATCATGAAAGCAGTATCTTTAGATTTTTATGCGTGAGCATGGATTCATGAATCTAACATAGAATAAATAAAAACTGCTCTGTTTGTGATTTCGAAGTTCATGTTTTTAAGCTCTGTTTGTTTGAGTGAACAAAATCAATGTGTCTGTTTATTTTGATCACAGAAACAGCCAGAATTAGAAGGATTGAACTTAAATAAGAACAAGTGAGTATTTTATGATGAGTGAAGGTAGAGCCTCACAGAAACAAGGATGGTCACATGGGATTTTCAGATCTCTTCACTTATAGATCAAAATGATCTATTGAAGCTGACAAGAGATGCTATTTCTTATGAAAGTTCAAAACTTGTCATGCTGAGGAAATGTTTGTCAATGATGTGTGATAAAATTTGACTCATATTTCAAATTCATTTATCACTTTTTGTCAAATGCCACATTGTAACACCCACAGCTAGAGTTGTACATTCACAACCACACAAGTGAGATATGGGCCAATATCAGCATGAACAAAAATAATACTACTACATTTTTGATAATGACTTTGCTCTACCAGAGTACTCAATATATTGCTGTCCTTGACTTTCTTTGAAATTTGAGGTCCAATTTTGGCCAGCCATATAAGGATTGCGCTCATCACAGTATCCTGAAAAAGCAGAAGAATGATCCTAATCATGCTGTTGTCTACTGTTGATTGGGTATCATGTGAAAAGGCACAAGGCTAAATTTGGGTACCATATCCATACGTCTTCTCAAATATTGGTATGTATCACTTTGGTATATGAATATAAAAATGCTTTGGATCTATGACTAGCCTTGACAAGTCAGATAGACTACCCATTCTTTCATTTCCCCAAACAATTGTTCCTCCAATTGGGTAACTCAGATACTATTATAGAGCATTGAGCATAGCATACTTTAATGTTGTAAGAATTATGGCAGTGTGGCTCCCTCCACCAATTTGCTTCTCTTATGACTTTCTGGGAACAAGCACTTCCCAATCTACCAACCCTCATACCCCCTAACTCACACAATTTGGAAGGAGCTGTACATTGACACTAAATCATTTAACAAAATTACCAAAGAACACAAACTTCAAGAATATTTCTAATACAATTAATTCTCTTATCAGCTCAAACCAAGCCTGAGATTCATTTTGGTTTACAAGAATCATCTTTTAATTCAAGTGGACCTAACCTCAACTTTATAAATCAAAACCAAATTCAATCATATGAAGATTATCATCAGGGACTTAATTAAAATTATCAATTGTCATTCCCTCATACCTTCTTCATCTGAGCACCCAGAGGAATAGTAGGTTAACAACATAAGTGTCTTCTATGTGTCTTTTTGGAAATTTTATCAAAATCCACCATCACACATTCTATGGGTGTTTACAATTTAACCTTGAACAATGACCTGTGACTTTTGAATTTTTTCTTCCTTACTTCTGATCACCATAGCTCAATACCACAAACTCAAGGCTGCAAATGAGCCAATGCATAATTCCCATGATCCATTGTGTATTTGTAGTTTCTAAAACCCATTTTCACACTGTTAATAAGGGAATGTATATATTTCATCAACATAGGCAGTCAAACCAACCAAACCACAGTACAGATATATCCCCGGATTCAATAAATCACAGAGAAATATGAAATCTAATAAGCTATGACAAATTGAAATTTTATGGACTCTGATGTTGAAATCATCAGTGGGTTGGGGGTTTTAAGGGTTAGGCTTTGGGAAAAATTATTATCATCCCTCTCCAAGGGTCTGTGACATTACGGCCACTCAAGATCAACATTGTGCCTCCCAACCATCACACCACAATTAGACTTCACAAGAAGTGTGGCCTCCATAAAGAGCCTGATCCCATACATTTCATGTTGCTTGAACCAGCAACATTCTGTAGACCTCCCTCAGACTTCCCTGAGTCATTTTTAGTTGTGCTGACCAAACAATATACTTGGGTCCATGTTATGTTACTCATGATATATATAGTGATCTCCAACGGGTCATGGAATATGTTCTGGTTCATTGTGATCCATGATTCAAGCAGAGTGTATGTGCTTGAGTGATGTTTGAACTAGCATCATCTCTCGCATCAATCTAATACTGTGTCTGTGTCCTTGTAGCACATTGACGTGCACACACAAAGGACTTTTGATAGAAACTGCAAAGACCCTTCTAAGACATCTTGACAACAGGTCCGGCTCCCCATTGTCAATTAAGATGTTGACATTTAGTTGACCCAAGCTGCTGACAAAGGATCCCCCAAATCCTATCAACAAACACTACGCCAGATTACTAATTTACCATGGAGTTTAGAATATTTTTTTTGATATGCTAAACTCAGATAAATTTTCTAAACTCCTGTGATTGGCAAAAAAGAGATCTAACCAAAATAAACTCTTTTACAATTCCTTACTGGCATGACATGAAGTTTCATGCATTGAAAATCTCACACCACAGTGTGAATAATCCTACAACATCTGTAATATATTCAGTAGGCTTAATTTACAGTAAGAAAGCATGTAATTTTTGGGTTACCAGCACACCTGAAGTTGGACAAAAAATATAGAGAATACAAATCCATTGTACACATTGGCAGTGAATATAATGAATGAAAAAAAAACATAAAGATGAATTCGAGTGTCACACTTTACAGTCCTTCTAAGACTGTGACAAATTTATCTAAAGTCGGTACTGGATCAATCTCCAGCTGGCTATATTCCAGCGGGCTTTCATTTTGAAGATCCTGTAGCCATGAAGATGCGTAGCAGTCAACAGGAAGTCCGCTTGGTGCTGATAGCTTACTGATAGGTGCATCTGGGATCCGGATTCGAGGTCGAGAGGGCCGACCAGCATTCTTCCTAACTGTCTTTGGGATGCTTGCCTTCCTTCGCTCCATATAAGAATCAAGGAGCATGCAAGCATACCTCAACTTCTCGCTACGCCATTCGAGGATTCGGACAAGGCAACGTTGTCCGTTTCTTTTCTCGCCTTCAACACTGTCTTCGTGATCGGTCTCGTCGTCACTGCAGGCGTTTTCCACAATTCCCGCAAGCTTGAGTAATTGATCAGGTTTTGAGAATATGGCCTTTTCCCGCAACTTCCTCAACTGTGTTCAAGACAATCAATCTTTCTGAAGAATACATTGGATCAGGTATCTATAAAATTACTCACAGTGTGAAGTCTGGCACTTTGGCGGACTTTGCTTTGTGATTTCTCCAATCGTATGGGATCCCATGATTGTAATCGGTACCTATGGATCAATCAATCCAACATGGTTCAATTGGTTGAGAAATGGAGAAGCATGGAAAGACGAACATACCTTTTGGAAAGCGATCGAACATATGTGTCCAAAGACTTTTTGAGGAATGTATCATTTTTGCCGCCAACTACAACTCCGTTATACTCACCACATTCGACCAACTTGAGGAATATCTTGAAGCAGACATTCCAAAGCCACTTATTTTCCTTCGCAGTCATTGACTTGGAAAAATCGGGCCGGAAACTGGAGATACCCGCTTCGCGTAGCATGGTGTGCATGATCCTAAGCTGTTGGGGGGTTGAATTCTTGTGGCCGGGTCCGTCCTTGTATGGGAAGCATGGGTCAGCCGGTGGATCGGAGTCAGAAGCAGAAGGCTCGTCTGATGAGCCGTGTATGTTGTTTGCAGTTGGAGTTGTTGCAGGTGGAAGCTTTGAACCATCTGGTATCCCAATGAGAGTATCAACATGAAATCGCATACGATCCTGACAGTTCAGTGAAATTGCGGCATTAGAACCTAATTTTGAATTCAGTTGTAGATCATAGAAACTTACTGCAGCTCGGCCGCCACGTCTCTTTGATGGTGGAGTACCGTTTTCCCCAGATCCTGCCACCAACTTGTTTACCACACGAGTCAAGGAATTGAGTTCGGTTTCGAGTGATTCTACCTTCTTGTTGGTTCGCATCAGGAGGATATGAAGTGTTTGTACATCCGCCTGCCCGTTAGAGTTGGTCTTTCTTCATATATTTACGAATTCAAAAAAATAAGAATGTCAAGATACAGTTTCTACATGTTGTTCAAAGAGTCTGTTCAGGGGATGGATTGACTTACTGTTCATATTGAGGGTGTTCCTGAGTTTGTTCACGGCTAGGTAACGGGTCGTTGGTTCCAGAAATCCCCGGTGAAGCGGGGCCATAATCTGTCTCTTTGATGTCATTCATGTCCGTGTTAGATTCATTTCCAACTTCGTCTTCTGGATTCCAGTCGGATTCCGATGGGGTTGGCGATTTGGCTTTAGCCTTCCCTTTACTGTTGGTCTGCTTAGGAGGTGAAGAGGCGGAAGCCAGGTGTGTGGGGCGCGGTCGAGGATACAAAAAGCGCTGATGCTCAAGGCTTGGAAGAAAGGAGACCGATCGGCTAGCGTCAGGTGTACTCGTGCTTGGGTCGTTCATCAGGTTCGTATTCAATACGTCTACAAACATTGGACAATTAGTCTTGGTAAGGAGGAGGAAACAATATCGACTCATCTGAACTGACCATCACCGAATAGATTGGGAAAAGGTCTTCTTGCCGGAGTCATAGTGAAAGTAAAGGATGGGTTGATACTTTGTGAACGTGCTGGATCGGAAGAAGTCTTGTCTGGTGAGCAAGCAGGGATGATGACTGGAGTATTGAAGATGAGATCAGTTTTGTATTATCGGCAACTCTAGATTTTACGACAAGTGTGCTGTTTCTTACTTAATTCCTGGTATGCTCTGCAGTTCTTCAATAGGTCGTTCCTCGAAAAACCACCAGTGTCGAGCCCAACCCCTCTTAGCATTTCCGTGAGCTGAGAATTATCGAATTTGCTGAAGTCCGTCTGGTGATCAGTTGGCTGTGTGATTATGTGCTCGGCGTTGTTCTTTGAATTCCTTCTTTGATTCTTTGAATTCCTTGTTTGTGTAACAGACTTGCTTGCAAGTCGGGGCTTTTTCGGCTCGACACGCTGACCCAGAAGATCAAGCAACTTTTCACGGGTAGTTTTGCGACCTGCAGAGATTTGTGTATTCTCAAGATCATCATCGCTGGAAGCTGGATCATTATAAGAACAAAACTCCAATGAGAATCAGGGAATCTGAAATGTGGACTTCAAGATAGTTCTGCGAGGATAACTTACAAGGTTCAGAGTCCGAAGGAACATGCTTCTTTCGCTTCTCGGGCCTGGTTTGAGAGACATTATTGCTAATTTGAGCTGACGGTTTGGTATTCCCAGGATTTCGACTACGGAGAACCCGGCTGGTACCAAGAGGCTTAATGCTTTTTGGTGGCATGGGAAGTTTAGATGGAATTAAAGCGCAAGGTGATGAGAGTTGCAAGACAAACGTAACGGAGAGATCTGTTATAACTCAAAAGTCAATACCAAATTGTGAAGTCAAGGTTGATCAGAGAAAAAGAAGATGGTGGAGGGAGGATGAGAGTTAGCGATGAAGACTTTATTTGTATGTGGTAGAAATGTGATTGAGAGCTGAAGGAGAAGTGTGTTTTACACATTCCTTGAAGCCCCCTTAACAGTGTTCAGTGATGACAGCTCGACAGCAACAATGAAAACAGGAAGACATGCATGTCATACAATTTGATGTCATGGTTGGCTTTGTTAGTCCGACCCTTTGAGGTCATGATCATAGCAATATATGAATTCACAGAACAGATGAAAGGTGTACTCTGGTCACCAACCGAACAAATTGGAGTCCTTTCATTTCTTTAAAGGAATGAAGTTAGTGGTATTTTGAACTGTTTCGAATTGTTCGATAAATTTGGAATCTGGTTAGCAACACTGCACTCGGATATTGATGGTGCAATAAGGGGTCCAGATGTACTTAACTACGGTTCAATGACAAAATGATTGATGACTTTCATATCTGGGGAGGGTTACTCTGCAAAGTTTCCAGTCAACATCAATCACTGGTGCCATATTGACCGTATGGTAATGATCTTTTTATAGGGAAGTTGGACATCGTATTTTTCCAAAGTCTACACGAGCATGCCAATTCAAGATTTTTATATACATACTTATATCTCTACTACCGTTTATAAGTATCAGATGAAAGGTTTTCCTCACCGTATGCCTTTAGATTTAATTGTTTATCATGTACTCATGTATTCATATCCGTTGTATCTTTTGTCACACCAGTTTAATTTTTTTGTCCTTTGGTCAATTGATAGAATTTGGCGCAACTTGAGTATCATATCACTAGATAATTGAACCTTTCAATATATAAAGTGAAGTTGAGCACGTCCACAAACAAGAAAAAAAATGGGGAATACAAGTAGGTTTGACGCAGAACCAGGCAGTATTTCTACAAGCAACAGCAAACAAAATGATACAAGTGGAGTTGATTCATCACCAGGACATCAACTCATAGCTCACATCAGATCTACAGCGCATGTACTTGAGCAACACAAGCCTAAGGGCAATTCCGTCTTATCATGAGCAAAGAAGAAGTAGAATTTTGAGCCAAAAGAAAAGGAAAACAGCAATATCATGATCATTCAACATTTTTTCAATCAGATACAGTACTGTCATTGTCGCAAGAGTCAGGATTGTCTTGAGAACTGTCATTTTCGTCTGGATCGGCATCGTATTCCTCTTCAAGGTTGATGTGGCTGTGGGGTCCTAACATTTTGCGGAATACTCTGTGATGCGCACCGATCTTGGTGAAAGCTATATCTAACTCGGTCTGTAGATCATATGCGATTGTCTCCAACATGTCAACTTTAGCTTCAAGTACAATTATATCGTTCTTTGCTCGTTCAAGGAGGGATGAATGTTCTTTTATCATGTCGCCTGCATGGAATGATTGAGTCAGTAACAATGCGAGGGAAGCTGGATTAGATCTGAAATCATATCTACCATTGAGTTCTTGTTTTTGTACTTCTTGAAAAATACTGGCACTAGCCTTTTTTTCAATAATTTCAATCGTACTTTCGAGATGGGCCAAGCGCTCTTCTAATGTTTTTACTAAAGATAGAGCAAGCACCCGATATAAACATCAAATATTCTATGAAGATATCAAGGGAAGCCAACCTTTTTGTTCGCGTCGCTGCTCCTCTTGAAAAATATCGACTCCCGTTTTGGCGTTTGAGGAATCAGGGCGTCCCTGCATTTGAATGACTGGTATGTCTCTCCCAATCACTGGAAACAAGCCATGAGACTTCTACATGCATGTTGTAGAATGGAAATGTCAATTGGCAACATACCAAGATTCCCCATCTCAAAGACTTCAGTGTCAGAAAACTGTATGAGATCTACTTCGCTAGGCGTATGAGCTTCCTTAGGTTTGTTGATTCGATTTTTTCGGGTGGTGACTGGTGGCTTAGAATCATTGGAATCGTTTGCCACATGAGGATTCACCAAAGGCTTTCTTGGTTTTCTTTCTGGAGCAACTGAAGGGACCATTGGCAAGAGAGTGCTGTTCGACACAACAGTTTGATCAATAAGAGGCGAAAAGATAGACTGCTTGAGCCCTTCAAGCTCCGCCTTTTCATCCTCATTGCTAAGACTTGAGATTGGCGAGAGTGGTGGTGGAGCTTGGGGAAGAGGATGAATCCAGTTAGACACGATTGGCTTGGCAGACGCGATCGGCTCGGCAGGTCGACTCGTCTTAGTAGAATTGGACTTAGGTCTGCTAGCCCTCTGTAAATGCAGGATCTGGATTAACAACGTGGGTCGCTGAGCCAAATGAATAGAGAAAGAGACGGAGAACTTACGTTTTTCATTTTTGTCATCTTTGAGCGATGACCAACTTGGTCCACCTCGGTTCTCTTCTCCACCTTGATTCGCTTCCCAGGGATATCACCTGATATATAAAAAGGTTTAATTGTGAACGTTTAGATCCATTTCATCATCAAGATATCAAGGAAATGGACTAACCATCATTAGCAATGCGTTTAGGAACGTCCAAGTCTGCAGACGCGGAACGCTTCACCAAGTTTTCACTCGTTTTCAAAGCCTTGGGCACCACAGGGGAGGACACTCGAAGGTTCTCCAAAGTAGGATAAGTGTGATCAAGAAGTGTGGATGATGTAGCCGACGGATTTGCCTCCCCAAAAACTGTTAATCAAGACGGTCGCAAATTTAGTTGATCCACAAGCTAGCATTTTGGGATCATGATAGCTCAAGTTAAGTAAGAGAACATGTAAGACTTACTTTCAGGTTGCTTGTCTCTGACAATTTTGGCGACTTCTGCCTTGTTTGCTTTGGAACTGATGGGAGTCTTTGGGTGATTGATTCGAAGCCAGTCTAGCATGGTTTGTTTGTTGACAGACGGGTTGCTGGGGTCAAGGACGCTTTCTGAGTTACCTCGGCCGGTAGTTTCCGACATGTATGCGATAATGATTGAAAGATGAGACAAACTAGCTATACTAAAAACCCAAGGAGGTCCAAGTATCGAAGTAGAAAGAGTCTGGAGTAGATAATGGAACAAGAGTTTTGAGACTATGATTTGCTTTGGGATATAATTCACAGTGATGATCAAAGTTGTTCGAAGCGCTAACTTTTGGAAAATGACGACTGAGCAAGACGAGATTGGTGAAGTGGGAAAAGAAGACAGAGAATGATGTTGATAAATAAATGAAGTATGTGATACAATCAAGGTGCCCTTGTCGACTTCATTTGGTGGATGAGTTGTGCTGCGGAGCCTTTCAAAAGTCAAAAGGCGTAGTGATCCCTAGTGATCCTCTTTGTTCCCCCTGTGCAGTGATTGATTACATTCAGGTAGACGTCACTTTCCATTGACAATTAATTGTAAATACTGAGTTTGAGTTTCGTTGAATTTCTGTGTGGGACGCTTCCATCTCATCTCGGGATTCACCATCAACGTTTTCTTTATCAAAAGTATGTAACAACCAAATATTCGGCCACAATCACAAAACATCACCCTGATACCGTTGTTCAATCAATGACTCACTCAGCCGGATGATGAATAAATCCCTCAAAACCCCCGATGTTAACTTGCAGTCATGCTTCAACCCTGATACTATCGGCCTCTAATCTGGGCAAACAAAGGGGATAACATGCAGGAGTGATGATTTATATTTGGGTATGTTTCATCTCCTGATGATTTTTGCTATCTGTGTCGTATATATCATAAATTGAAATTCATCCGCTCCCTTCACATTATGGCCTACTCTTTGTGAATCAATTTGGTAACTTGAGGCATCGCATGAACTTCATCGAAAAATTAATTGAGCCATCCCTCAAGCATACTTTGATTGATACATTTAAAAACTGTCGTTTTGATCAGGTGCGCTCATCCTTTATATTACATATTTCCTTCTTTCTTTTTGTCCGTCAAGCTGAGCAGTTTCTCCTCCTTCAGCCTGGCAACATGCCACGAAAAACTCGAACCCCCAGCACCGCCAACGGATCACCTCTTAGTCCTCCACCCAACACCACAGCTGGTGATTCAAAACCATCTGCGATCGGTCCAACTTCTCCCCTCGGAACCGGCTCTGGTGCACATTATCCAAGACGACGACCTTCTGAAAACCCAGTATACAGAGCAGTTCAAAGCCTTTCTAAAGAAGATCAAATATTCCTCACTCACGATTTTGAAAAAGTTAGCAACAAGCCTACAAAATTACAATATTATAATATCATACGTCTTTTCAAACCCGATACAACCTCTAAACCTAGTGACCGCAAAGATGCACTCAAAGCGGAATTCGTAACGAAGGTGAGACCCTTACTAGAGCCGTACCTCTCGCCACCTCCTGAGGTATCAATGGAGCCTGGTCCAGACCTAGATTTCGACCCCCTCGGCCGGAAGACCACCCAAGCAATGCTTGTCAAAGCCATCGAACACAAGTCTCCAGACGCCGATATAGCACCTGGCGCCAACATTGATGATGTTTTGATTTTATATAAGTATTACGTTGATCCTCAGCTCAAACTTCCTTTAAATCGACGATTCATTGCAAGACCTAGAACTGTTCCTATTGAACGTCTCAAGGCTGAAAGTATGGAGGACATCATTGTAGCTCTGCGTTATTTTGCTCCCAGTGTTCATGTCAGATCCTTGGCAATGAACAAAAACACTCTCATGGATCTTTATATACACTTTGTTCACGACCGGCCTCCTCAAAGTCCACTCATCGAGGGTTATCATTACACTACTTTGGAACTCTCCCAATCGGACAGCGAAGCAATGGAAAGTTGAAACTATGTAATAGATCTATAAAGTGAGTTTCTTTCTTCTTGATGAAAATATGCGAAGGAATCCAGTGGAAGAATTGACGTTCAAAAACATTCAATTTCATGTCTCATGAATTCTTAGGAAGGCAAAGAAGGAAATGCGTGATGATCTACATCAACACCGGTCAAATTCCTCAACTCAAATGGCTGTTTTGTAGAAACATCAAGAAGTTTCCTTTTCCCCTCACTACATATGTATCTTCAACAGTATGTTTACACGTATTTGTGCTATGACCTGCCTGACCAAGACTTGTTTTCTCTTTGACTTTTGTGTCCTGTTGCGAATTTTTCTTTCTGGTTTTTTTCCTCGATCAAATTGCTAGTCCAATAGACCAATACTACCAAAATCAAATCACAAAACTCTTTCTCCCATTACTTTTTTTCTTCACTTTGATATCTCTCACATTTTATAAACACCAAAAAAAATTGTTACTGTTTTTTTGTAAGATCAGCCTTGAAATCGAAGTCTTCCTTTTTCGTTCAACTCCTAACATGCCTCCACGTCAAAAGAAGAACCAAGCTCATCGGGTTGTGTGTCTTTGTCAAGCCTACGAATGTTCAGAACAAGTATACGCGGACGCCAATGGCTTATCTCACCCAGGCGTTGAGGTTTCACCTGAGACCCGGCTTGCACACCAGCAGGCTGATTTTCGAAACAGTCTAATCAACCCACCACACACTCCGGATAACTCCAACGAGCCATCAATGTCTTCGGTACAAGAAGCCCTATTGTCTCCTTTGAGAAAATTACACTTAGATACAACACCGTCTCCGATTCGTCGTCGTCAGTCGAATACCAATCAAGAACCTCAGAATGAAAGCTCTAGTAACATCGACAACAATGCACAAGATGCTTTTACCTCATCTGGCCCGACAGATTCGCCGATCACGTCCACCAATCAAACAAATCCTGTCAACTCCCAGCCTATTTCCACCAAAACCTGCTCAACAGCAGTCTTGGCAAAAGCGTCGGGTCAACAAGTTTTTGATTGTGGTTTGTAGATGTTTAGCCTTGTTTGACTTGTGATCTCCAAACCACTGACATTGAATGACTTAATCTCTTTTGACAGATCATTTGCATACATTTGAGCTTAAATCTTCGAATCCCATCATTCTACATGTCGCTCTCACGGCAGCGATTCTTGACATCTTTGGTCGATCTTCAAACACAATCACCAAGTGGCTTCTCGATGTTCAAAGTATCACGATTGAACTCTCAGCCACTCAAGGAATATTACCTACTACTCATATTCAGAAGCTTTTGCCAGAAGAAGTGGCTACTTTGAAACAAATACCATCATCTGTTGAGACAGCCTTTCGATGGTTGGAGGTTGATCCCTCGCTTACATTTATGACCTGCTGCACCGCTTGTTTTGCGATGTATCCAGAGGCTTGCACCCCTTCTCGATGCTATCATCAGATAGCAAGCATTCCTGGAGGACCTCTCAAATCTATTGATCCCAGCAACAACACAGATCTATCCGCTTTGGACGACTCGGAACCAGATTTTTCGGAGAAGACATGTGGTGAACCCCTTCTCAAATACTTCCGCGGTCAACAAAAACCAGTGCGCCGTTATGCCTTCCAAAGCTTATCCGAATGGATATCTCGCCTCCTATCTCGACCTCAGATTGAGAACCACCTCGAACTTACATCATCTGAGTCATCAAAGCCTTATGATCCCGATATTGAAATCCATGACATATACCAATCTCGACTCTGGAAAGAGTTCCTTGGCTCCGATGGCAAGCAATTTACTGCGAACGCCAGTAATCTGACTTTTGCGCTTTTTGTGGATGCAATCAATCCGTTTGGCAACAAGCAAAGCGGACATCATACATCTATAACATTTATCATTTTAGTCTGTCTTAGTCTGCCTCCCGACCTTCGACATCAAGCCGAGAACGTATTTGTGGTGGGGATAGCACCTGGCCCGCGCGAGCCCTCACTCGAGCAGATGAATTGGATTCTGCAACCTCTTGTCACAGAACTTCAATCGTTATGGACAAGCGGGGTACTTCTCTCTAGGACTCATGAATACAGTGATGGTCGTCTAATTAGAGCTGCCCTACTGGTGTTTGTTGCCGACATACCTTCTCTCCGTCGGTGTCTTGGATTTCCAAGTGCAACTGCAACTTTTTTTTGTTCATTTTGTCTTCTCACTAAAAACGAAATCAATAATCTCGATCCAAGCACTTGGCCACCTCGTACGTGGTGTCAGCATAATAAATGGGCATGCGAGGCGCGCGATGCAAAGACAGTCAAGGAGCGAAAGGCCATCTTCAAGACCCATGGAGTGCGGTATTCAGTCCTCATAGAGTTAGAATACTGGAATGTCATCGAATATCAGGTTGTAGATTCTATGCACAATCTCCTCCTGGGTCTCGCTTCATGGCATGTGCGTCGTTTTTGGTCCATGAAGGACCTCGAAAATGACGAGGAGAAATTGCCGCCTATCAGTACAGCAGAATTGTTGAAGTTGGTCGCTGAGCACTCAGAGCCGCTAACTCGTCGTCGATCGCCTGCAGCAAAATCACCGAAAAACTCGGAGACGTCTGGAACTGCCATTGGTGAGGCTGAATTCGCAAACGACACTTCATCAAGTGACCAGGACTTCAACCCATTCGACGATTCTGGGTGGCAAGGAGATTGGCATGCTCCGCCACTTGACGAGGTCATTTTTGATACCACGGTTCTTCGTCACATCAACTCCGTTCTCCCCAAAATCCATACACCAACCTGGATTAAACGCCCGATTCCAGTCTTAGGAAAAGCGTCCTTTGGTAAATTAAAAGCGGATGAATGGAGAAGTCTCCTGACTATACAGCTACCACTGGTTCTTATTCCACTGTGGTCAGGACAGGATCATGTCAAAAAGTCTCTCCTGAAAAATTTTGCTCATCTAGTTTCACTTATTAACTTGGGTCTCAAACGTGTCATGACGACTTCTCAAATCAAAGGTTACCGCCACCACGTTAAGAATTATCTCGAGAGCTCCATTTTGCTATTTCAACATTGCAAACTTGCCCCAAATCACCATATGGCTATCCATATCGCTGATTGCCTTGAAAGATTCGGACCAGTGCGTGCGTGGTGGTCGTTTCCCTTCGAGCGTCTCATGGGCAAGATTCTCAAAGCGGGTCACAATAATCATATCAGTGAGTAAAACTTTGTTATCATTAATGAAATTCGTGTAAGCTTTTTGTTAACCAATTCTCAAAACTTCTGATCTAGCCGAGCTTGAAATTACATTCCTCAAACAATTCACTCGTGCGTCAAATCTATTGGCTCTCATGGAAGACGGAAAACTGCCCGATACCCTTCACCAGTACAGCTCACGGCTTCAAACCTTGTACAAACCACCTCCGCGACGACCAAAACGAATTTCAAATTCAAAACTTTCGCCTCTATCGGATCTGGTACTTAATCTGTTGGTCAATTATTTAAATGATAGAAGACAAGAGGATTGTATCTGGATTCGACCGGACGATTGGGCCTCACTCAAGAAGTGCAATTCAATAGCATACGCTCCGGTCCCTGCTCGAGGAAACTTTCACAAGCGCGTTGAATTCACTGACGGGTTTATCTCAACCTTCACAGATAACCCAGACAATTCATGCATATATTTCAAGAATTCTGATGGTCTGGATATGTTTGGTCGTGTGTTTTCAATATTTACCCATTCTCGAGCACCATCAAAATCACAGAACATTATGGATGTGTGGCTACATGTACAATGTTTTCCCTCTCTACCGTCTAGCCACTTCAATCCTTTCAATTCCACTGACCATGTTGAATTACAGTGTGCTTTGAGGATGTGGAGTCCGACTGAGAACAAACTTATCAAGCTTGATGAGGTCATAGCAGGATGCACGTGGATCATGTATAAATCAGGCGAGATGAACAAGAGTATCAATGTACCTACAATAGGATTGATAATCCTGAAACGCTGATTGTATTCATTGTATAATTTTTCTGGCACTACAGCTTTGACTTCAATCTGTCTCTGTGTTGTTTTCTTCTAGGATTGATGCCAGAGAGGTCAGTAAAATCTCAAAATTATTACATTTCAAGGTACTTTTAAAGTAAGAAGGAGCTGTGAATTGTCACTTTTGAGTCAGCTGTGTTTCCAAATTTGTGTTAGGAAATCTGATCAAAGGCATAGAGATCACGTTTTTACAAGTTCTAATTTCAAACTCTGGACTCAATACATAAGACTAGTTGAGAATATAAAAAACAGTTTCATTGCCTCCTTGATCCATCTTTCTTGAAGTGAAACATCCTCAAGTCTTGTCAATGAAATTGAATAACTTTGACTTCGTGCAGGCACCACATGATCCTGCAGTGCGAGATTTCCAATGCATGGAGCTTCATATTGTGCCAATAAGAAATTACAAAACAGTTTTTTTTTGTGACGTCCTTGTTTGCCAATCACAGGAGTTTAGAAAATTTATCTGAATTTAGCATATCAAAAAAAAATTCTAAACTCCATGGTAAATTAGTAATCTGGCGTAGTGAAACATTCACTCAGAAAGGGGGAACAACAATAATGGCAGTCTGAATCCAACCAAAACACTTTCAAATTTGTTTCAAAACTCTCTGTGTGTGCACGTTGACGTGCTACAAGAATACTGACATAGTATAAGATGAGCTCTTCTGCTAAGCGCGGCGCCCGCCGCTCAATTTGGCTAGTTTGATTTAAATGCAATCAAGTCAATTCGTCAATCTGGTGAATTAAATTTACCTTCACCTAATTCATCTATTCCGACGGATTTTACGGTGAATAAATTGGATGTCCCAGTACCTAGTCGTAGACCTCATTGTATAAAGGATGATGCTTTTGGTCGACTTTGGCATAAGAAAGATGATCGATGGTGGGTTCCTAAAGCTGCAATTTTAGTGAGGATTCAAAAGTAAGTTTGATTTACTCTCAGACTCGACCAAGTTTAAATGTAAATTTTTCTTGATACATCAATTTTTTTTTTTCATAGTCCGATTATAGATGAAACCTGTCATAATGTCATCAAATCTCAATATATAACTAAATTATTACAAGAATCATTAAAGGAAGAATTATATGAATGTGAACTTGCAGGATTATCTTATGATATTTCATGTCATTCAGATTCATTGATTATCAGTGTCAGTGGTTATAATCAAAAAGCTTCAGCTTTATTTGAACATATTTTCAATCGATTGAAAAGTTTAAAAGTGGACAGAAAAAATTTTGAGTTGGTTAAAAATTTTCAAATTACAAGTTATCAAAACTCTATGTTAGGAGATCCGGCGAGGACTTCTAATTATTGGATTGAAGCTGCTTTGAGTGATTTACAATATTGGTATGAAGAGAAATTAAAGTCTTTAGAAGGTTTGTCGGGTTCTTTTTCTTCTATTCCTGGGTAACTTTGTTTACAATCAATTAACATTTTGGGGAATTTGTTCTGGATACAGTTATTACACCGGAAGATGTTGAGGCATTTATCCCGGAACTTTTGAAAAGAGGATTTGTTGAAAGTCTTGTACATGGGAATTTAACTGGAAAGGTAAATTTAATTTTTATTTATTATATTTTTTGGATTGAATCCACAATTAATCTTGTTTTTTTCGAACAACTTTCAAAGGAAGCGATTGAGATTTCAGAGTTACCTACTAAGATTTTGGATCTCAAACCGGTTGAAAGTGGAGAATTGAGAAAATCACATTCATTGAGTATTCCTAAAGGTGAGTCTACCACCATGATCATGAGACTGCTCATATGGCAAATACTGAAAGAGTTTTTTTTCTAGGCACGAATTTGATATATGAGCGAGATTTAATCGATCCATCCAACTTGAACAGTGCGGTAAACTATTTTACAGATGTAGGAGACATAACATGTCATTCAACTCGAACCAAATTACTCCTCTTAACGCAATGCATGAAAGAACCGGCTTTTACTCAATTAAGAACAATTGAACAACTGGGGTATATAGTTCGTACTTATTTACGAGGATCAACAGGACAGATCGGATTAACTATCCTGGTTCAATCTGAGCGTGATCCAAAGTATATTGAAAGTAGGATTGAATCTTTTTTGGTTTGGTTTGGAGAGATTAAATTGAAAGAAATGACAAATGAAGAATTTGAGGATCAGAAAATAAGTTTAATTCATAGATTATCAAAAGATTTTGAAAACCTTTGGGAAGAGTTGAGTTTTTGATCTTTTACTTTAACTAAATGTTTTTTTTCATTCAGTTTATTTGAGCTGACATTTTAATGTTTTTTTCTAGAGCATCACATTATTGGTCTCATATTCATTCGGGTTATTATGCATTTGAAGAAAGGTATGAAGATGCAAAAATGATACAACAAATTACTAAATCAGAAATGGAGGAATTTTATCAAACTGCAATAAATCCCAAATCTACTAAAAGATCAAAACTTTCAATTCAAATCAAATCACAAAAGGTTCCAGTACCAATTGAATTGATTGAAGAATCAGGTTTAAAAGAAAAAATTGGACAAAAGAAGATTGATTTTGAGGAATTGAATAGGTTACTTAAAGAATTAGGATTAAGTGATCAGAAATTGACTAAGGAAGTAATAGAAGATGTTTCAATGGTTAAGCCGGTGTTGGTTTTGGATGGAATTGATGGGTTGAGAAATAGGTTGGAGAAAACTAATTGTGCTATTCCTCATCCTGAGTGCAAAATTGGAACACTTGAGATTCCAAAAAAACCGATTGAAAACAAAGTTTGGGAAAAAGTTTAAAAAAATTGAAGTTGTGTTGAATTTTTTTTCTGTGTTTATATTCCTTTGTCCCCATTACAGTGGTTTTGAGAAAAAAAGTTACCTCTTTGTTTTTCTGTTTTTCTATTTTTTCGAGGTTGCACTAAATAGATTTTACATAGAGCTGCTGGATGTGCTGAAATTGATACATTGCAATCACAGCAGTCAAGGCTGGAGCTCAAAAACCAAAACCAAAACCAAAACCAAAACCAATGTGGTTGATCATCAAGTCAAGAGGGAGCACTATATGGATTTCACAAAGCACATAATATAACAAGGAGTAGAGAGCCTCTTCAAACACCTTCACTTTGAGATTGGAATGATAATTCCCAGTTACTTTTGGGTTACAGTAGATCTTTGACACAGTTTTTGGTGCAAGTTTTCTCTCTAGATAGTTACAATTGACTGTGATGTAAAAAAATGGTTTGTAATAGGATAGTAGCATTTGTGCCAACCTATTACATTATCCGGCTAATTTAAGTTCAGATTTGGACATAGATTGTCAAAAAGGACGGTAAATCTCAGAAGGCTCAAAAGCGCCTACCTGTAACATTTGATCATACAAGAGACTATGCGGGTGTGCCCGCACAAATTGAATTATCCACTTAATGAACCTCATAATTGTGTGGTTGATTGAGCGGGCAAACTCCACAACTATACATAATAGAAGCCAACTGTGCTGATTACCTCCCCACAAAACCTCAATATCTGAACAAATCACAATTTTAGGCATTATTGACTCAAACTGGCATTGGCAACTTGCTCCAACATTTTAACAAACAGGGCAATATTCTAAAAGAGGTGTAATGTCAGTGTTTTTCAAAAAGGACATCTTGACAGGAGATGAATTGAGAGTCAAGATTATTGCAAAAAATATAAATTCTTGGTGAGAAAGTGATCTTGTGATTCCTAAGGAATCTTAGTCTTGACTATCTGCTTTTGACTTCGCCTGTAGTAAGGGGTGGATAACCTGAGGGCACAGGTATCTTCGTAAGACTACGGCAGACAGCAGGTCTATGACAATACAAGACACTAACCTGTGAGCTTGAAAGAATTTGTGAAGCACGTGTAAGAAAGTTTATAAAGTTCTTGACAGAATGCTTTCTAAAGACACTACTAAGAAAGAACGTGCAGTACTTGGGCAGAATCACTGAGGGCACAGGATCCTTGTTAGACTACATCTCAGTCTGCTAGGTCTTAGGCAAGAACAGTTGACTAACCTGAGGGCACAGGATCCTTGTTAGACTACAGCTCAGTCTGCTAGGTCTTAGTTGAGAACAGTTTACTAACCTACACGCATCACCAGAGGAACAAGAAACAACAACCACACTAAAGATTGGAGAAAAGTTTAAAGAGAAAGTTGACAATAGAGAAACTTCACTACCTGCAAGCTCGAAAGAAGTGAGGAGCACACGTAAGGAGGATTTTTTAAAAGACAAATTGAAAATGAATAAAATCTAAGTATGAGAGTGTTTAGATTTGTTAGTAGTGAAGATTTGCAAAGCTTGAGAATTAGTTGAAGGAATTGTAGGATTTTGACACTGGACTTTAAAAAGAAACCTTTGTAAAGGTTAAACAACTTATCAGCTTTTAAGTGTTGACTAGACACAAAGCTGAGATGAAGACTAGACGATGATAACTCAACAGACCTTTATAAAGGTTAAACAACTTATCAGCTTTTAAGTGTTGACTAGACACAAAGCTGAGATGAAGACTAGACGATGATAACTCAACAGACCTGAATGAGACAGGTAAAACTTTCAGAATCTTTATTCGACTAAGGAAAAGCATAGGAAACACACCTTTATAAAGGTTAAACAACTTATCAGCTTTTAAGTGTTGACTAGACACAAAGCTGAGATGAAGACTAGACGATGATAACTCAACAGACCTGAATGAGACAGGTAAAACTATGAAAAGAAAATAAAGAAAGCAAACGAAACATAACAGCCACAAAAATATAACATTAACTTTCTTAACATTAATAAAAAGAAATAACAAAAAGAAAACACCTTACCTTTCAGAATCTTTATTCGACAAAGGGAAAAAGATTCTGAAAGGAAAACAGAGCAAGGTATAAATGAAAATTCAGAACACCCTCTGCACTTCACATCAGATCACAACTCAATTGAATTTAATTCATCCGTCCTTGAATCACACCTTGAATGTTCATTTCCCACAATAAGTCTCGACGTCGAACACATCACTATGAACTGGTTTTGAACAGATAATCAAAAATGAACAGAAGATTTTCAAGAAGCATTTGTTGAATGAAACAAACTCGCATCATAGTCAAAAGTCGAGCACGAGAACGTGTAATAATCACAATGAACTTATTTTTTAACGTGAAGTTCTTGACCCATATTCAGTTAATTTCAACAGGAATAACTCACTGATTCTTTTCAACACAAAACAAATCATAAAAAGGGGAAAAAGGGAAACTACAAGAGTGAGCAGATATCCCAAAAGAAAATTCTCCAATGCCCCTTGCTTCACGTTTACCGACTAGACCCCTTTGGTCCATTTTCCTCTAACATTGCCACCTTACAATACACTCTTCTAACAACGTGAATACAAACGCACTCAACACCCTCCACTTCCAATAACCAGATTAGGAAAATGATCTTTGACCACCTAGAATAATTAGATAACATAGATACATTTATCTTACCAAAGTTATTTAGATAAAATGAATTGAACAATCATCATCATCATCATCATTCATGTTAAAGGCAAACATGCAATTCAAACAAAACCTCACAAAACCTCCACCTTTCCCCCTAAGAACCCTGAGTTTTGACCAGCCGAAGTTACAACTTCGCGATGATTACTCTCAATTTTCTTAGATTCATGCAATCTATCTATTCATTGGTTCACAGAAGTGATCTTTTCACTATCTCCTGATGGCCGTTCTCTTACAACTTGGTAAGTCAGTTTGTTTGGTTCATCCACCCGTGTTCAAGTTTCTCCTCAGGTATCTATCCTCTATCTAATATCTCTTCGTGCTTCCCAGTTCTTCTGACTCACTTCATTTTGTGTAGTGAAAGGAGCGGTGCAATTAGTCAATGTACCAATCCAATCAATTCGAACAGCAGCAGTGTCAAAAAGTAAGACATTGTTAACTCTCACTACAGAAAATGTAATCTTTACCGGGCGGAAAAGAAAACTACTGACATAGAAAAATCCTGAGGCAACAGGAAAAGAGCTAAAAATCTGAAAAAATATGCACCTTGTTCCTAGATGTTGGGGCGTCATGATGAGTATTTTTTTGTATTTTACACGCAGATATTGGTTTATGTACTAACAATAAATGCTGAAAATCATCAAAAACTCACATATAACAATACCTGAAATTTGGGTCATGAGTGTGAAGACAATATTTTGTGGTCTAAAAACTTCGATAACTTTTGCAATTCTGCTCCAAATAACTTGATTTCTGGTTCATTCAAAAGATAAACCATTCTCCTTTACACTTCATAAAGGCAGCAAGTTGTTATCTTGTCATGTAAACACTCTACATTTGTTCAAACAATTCTACATGAATAGCCCTGTAGGATCTTTTGCAGACCAGCTACAGATGTGATGTCCACTCTATTTAGCTATGGGTTATCTGAGGGGGGTGTTTTCCTTAGCTTGTCTGAAGCAAGTTAGTAATAGTGAATTACATCAGTCTACCGGTTTGCCCTAGGCAAACCTAACTTCTTCCTGTGAAGGGATCTGTTAGGTTTCTTGGGGTGCCCCCCGACCGTGAGGTACCGGGGGGGGGGGGGGGTAGGGCAACCGGGCCTCGTAGATGGGATGCTCTGCACGGTGGGCTAGGCAAACCATCTACGGTCCCTTCCGCCCTTATGCTACAAATACAAATACTATAAACATGAGCTATAAACAAAAATTAAATCACAATTGGACGTAACAAACTATAAGAGGGGACCAGAGGGAGACTTGTGTGAAACAGAAAAACCTCCCAATCACGCCGAAGAAACTTGGGCCGGTGGGCGGGTGAAAAAGTTTCTGATGAGAGGAAAACAGCTCTAGAGGATAGAGCGGAACAGATAATCGACCAGAGATGAATATAGACACTCGTGGGATATTCAGAGAGGGAAAAGGTTGGCAAAGGTCAGGATTGGAAACTGAGATTTTCCAATTGAACCCTGGCTATATGCGCCAAAGTTACAGGAGTCCCCAATATAGGGATACCCACGTGACTTTCCCTCCTGAGACCCATATGCTTATACGTGGAAATCGATGGAGCTGTCGTGCCTTTGGGCACCATCTACCATCAAATAATAAATGTAGAGGGAAGACTCACCTTGTTTATGAACTTTAAATTGAGTGATTTGATCCAGAACTCCAAAAGTTATTGATGTTTGAAGATTTCAAAATCCTGTCTTCAAAATCATGGGCCAAATTTCAGGTATTGTTACAGGTGGGTTTTTGATGATTTTCAGCCTTTATTGTTAGTACATTAACCAATATTTGTGTGTAAAATACAAAAAAATACTCATTATGACGCCCCAACGTCTAGGAACAAGGTGCATACTTTTTCAGATTTTTAGCTCTTTTCCTGTTGCCTCAGGATTTTTCTATGTCAGCAGTTTTCTTTTCCGCCCGGTAAAGATTAACTTTTTTGTAGTGTCTTCCTGTCAACTCCATCATCAGGACCTAATCTCATGATTGATCTCTTATAGTTTCTCATTGAATCAGCTGATCAAGTAATACCTTGAGATAATAGTGGTACACAAACATTACAACCCATTTGAAAAACCCATTTAAGAAAAAATATAAAAACCCATTCAAAAAAATATTTTTTTGAACAGAAAATTCCAGAGGGACCCAATTTACAGAATAAAATCGGAGGGTAGCTTATTTTTTTTTGACCTTGAGCGTGTTCAACAGCAAGTTGATCAAGAACTGCCTGAATTTACTGTTCTTGGCTCATAGCTTTCAACATAGCACAATAAGCTTGAGGAATCCATATGGTGTTAGCCTTGGGTTCAGTACTATTCATTGATGTGGTAGGGGGAAACACATAGTGAATTTCTGCAGTGCTATATCAAGATGAGAAAATATGAGGCAATTTGGACAGTTTTCTTCAAAACCACAATATGTTGGTACAATTGCATTTGGATGATTTGCTAGATCATTGGTCAAGTTGATCTCAATCTGTTTTGAGTCATCTAAAGGGCCTTTTTTAATCACATCTATCAATGGAGGCTTTGTTGTACTGTAGAAAAAGGTGTCCTATCTCAGCTTTGAACTTGATATCACCAGGCTTGGTATTCATAAGCGACAATGGACCAGGGTGCCACCATATCACTGCTTGGGCCCTTAGTAATAAGGGGGCTCAAGTCAAAATATTTGCGACCTTTTATTAAAAAATTGGGGAAAGTTTCTTACGGTACCGTGCTGTAAAACCTTTTCCCAATTCGTAAAAAAGGACCGTAAAATTTTTGTTTTGGATCTCCTTCTAAGCAATAAATTTACACAAATTTGCGTAAACGAAATTGGGATGTCGTATAACTTTTCCCAATTGCATAAAATTTTGTGTAAATTTTACGCAATTGGGAAAAGTTTTTTGCAATAAAAGTAGTAAAATTTTTTGACCTGAACCCCCCTAATGTGCAGTTGGATGCTGATGGTGGTTATGGCCTGCAGAGGCTGGATTCCTACCTCAGGTGTAAGCAACATAATTTTTTTCCCTTGACTTTTTGACATATTCCTACCTCTTCAATAAGGCACATTTACTACACCATGGGGGGGTCCTGTGCCCAAAAATGGTCGACATCGCCTGAGTTTCGCCGGGCCGGATTTCGGTCCGCGGACGTGGGCCTCAGTCGTCAGCCTGCGAGCTTAAAACCGCCAATGGCGCGGGCGTTTGTCAGCGGCCGAATGGCTACCCCGAGACCACCCTCGACGCACTCTCGCGATTGACCACCCAAAGACAGCCGGAAGCCCGTCTATTGTACCTATATCACCCCTCTTGCGCGTTCATCACGATGGTGACACCCATGAAGCGCTCCGAACCATGTAAGGCCTCTCCAAACAGACATCGAAGGCCAATGAACACAACACTGACGAGCATTCCAGACATCGAATCGGTTTCATCCGATCCGGCCAACCCGCGATTTATATGTACAGCTTGCAACACCCGCGGAATGTCAAATTACGAGCATCACATTAAATCAACCGCGCATTGAGACAAAGTACAGAGGGTCATATCACGATTGGCCGAAGAAGAACAAATGATGATTGGCTTAGAAGCAAATAGACCAACCGCAACCACCACCATGACAGGCGCCCTGTTGGAGTCAGGACCTTCCTCAGATCCCGATCCCAATCCACCTTCACCTCTCACAATGCTTCGATCGCTGCACGCATCCGACCATCACCGTGATGGCTTAGCAAATCATGCGAGTGATTTCAATGACGCAGAAGATCGTGTTCGATTCGACATGTTGCGTCAGGCCCTGGAGAACCTGGACAATCTTGAACTGGAAGACGACGAGGACAAAGAGTGCGAAGAAGAGGCACCTCAAGACCCGGCATTAGCTAGAGCCCGAGCCCAAGAGGCAATCGATTGGCATCCGTTCAAAAACAAGGAAGTAAGTAAGATGAACACCCTAACAAGCGCCAATCATGATAACTAACTCGCTCCACTGTATCACTGATCACTTAGCAGGTAGCTGGGTTGCTGATCATTGGGACAACTCGACACCTTTTGTCTCGGGCGCAATACCTGAGCATTCGATCTATCATACGAGTATGCGATGTCAAGCTGCCTGAATGGGGAACATTGCGGGAACTGAAGGTGCGCTTGAAGAAAAGGCTTGACATGTCTTTGACTGAACGATGTAGTCCCTCTGGCACTCCTCTATTTGGCATCAGCGTAAAGACACTGATCAAGAACGTATGTGTTTTCCCTGAGTATTGCGCGCGCGGTTTCCGTCTGACAGAGGATGCTCTCAGGTAATTCCGCATATGGCCTTTGTCCCCGAAATGCCTCATGATGGCAAGGTCAACAGACTGTCCCAATCACGAAAATGGCGCTAGTGTTACGCACCAGAACTACGAGTCCAAATGGTAGTGGACAACCTCCGACATTTTTATATATACGAACCTGTCAAACTTCGAACCGGCCAGCTGGCGGTTCCAATGTTCTTCTTCAAATCCAATGACAAAATGCTAGCGAAATGTTTACCTGCTTTAATTCAAAATGATCTCAGTGACCCCGACCGCTTCAATATTGTCATACCTGAAGAACCGCCATTTGACTCACCAGAATTTTATACCTTTGATGTGGGAGATTTTGCAAAAACCTTCGAAGAAATTACCCTGGAAGACGAGGTATATCTAAGTCCGCTTTGTGGCTCGAAAATGTATCGTGGGTGACCATGTGTTTCGGTGGTCATCAGATTAATGAGCTCGCCGATTGACTTTGCTCTGTTATGTAGAACATCGCGGCGCTGGGGTAGTCACTCACCCACTTGCAAACCCATGGAGAGCAAAGGCCGCGGGAAAAGTCATCCGGCATGTGCCCATAACCTTATATTCGGACGACACTTTGGGTAATGTTTCCAAAAAGTGGAACAAACACATGAGCTTATATTGTACTCTCTCTGGTTTGGCACCCGAGTGGACAAACCAGCAATATAACATCCACTTTTTGGCGACGTCCAACAGCGCGACCGCGCTGGAACTGCTCGAAGATGTGGTAGATGAAATGAAGTAAGTCATACTTAACCTTTGGCGTGTTGGCAATTGGACGCTTACTTTTGTTCCCCCTCTGAAGTGATCACGGCAAGCATGGGTTTGTTGCATACGATGAAGGGTTGGGTGAAGATGTCTTGGTGATGGCGGTTATTCTCTGCCATCTTGGGGACTCTCCTATGCACGCCAAAATCTGTAACACGACCAATCCGGCGAACACTCTCACACCGTGTCGGATGTGTGAACTGAAGGTAGCACGCAAGGTCGACAAAGAAGGACAGACGTTTGTACGGAATTTTTTGGGCCTGGATGCCATAGGCGAAAAGGTGCGTGGATCGATGCAGCTTAGCTTTTTGGATATCTTCGCTGACCAATCAAACCAACCAGGGCACCTTGCCTCCTCGCCAGTGGGACGTTACCCTTGCACGCACTCGGGAACTCTGGGACCTATCTCAAAAGCGACACACGAAAACTCTGGTGGAGGACTTGGCTAGAAAGTACGGCCTGCGTGACCCCTACAATGATTACTACGTTCGCAAAGTACACGTGGCTCTGGCTAAACTCCCACCTGGCGAATTCGCAACTCTGTGCAACCGACTGAATGAAGAAAGGGGTCTGAAATTATTCAATCCAATGCTAAGGCTAAAAGGCGAGTAGGCTGTGCACCCTAACATCTGCGCCTTTGGGTGATCTAATGCTGAATCTCATGCATTTCAGGTTTTGACGGACACCTTGATACACCGGTCGAGGTGCTGCATGTCGTCCTTTTGGGTATTGTCAAACACTACAAGAAAGATAATATTTTCTGGGCAGAAAATTAAATTATTGATACACAAAAATATTGAGAGGCCAAGAGGCGAGCAAAAAATGAATAAAAATATGCATCTTGTTCCCTGCGGTGAGAGCTTCACTCTCCATATTTTTCCATATTTTTACAGTCCATATTGATAAGTGTACTAACAATAAACCTTCACAATCATCCAATTACAACCTGTAACAAGCACTGAAATTTGGCTCATTAGTGTTTAGAGAAACTTTTGATTTCTGAAAATACTCATAACTTTTTCAATTCCGGTCCAAAACGCTCGATTTTGGGTGCATTGGTAAGCAGGAATTGTCCTCCAAATAGTTCATAATAGGACCACACAGCATACTGGTCTGCTAAAAAAGATATCATCTTTTTCATACATTTGTACATACAGATCCATAGAATGATTGTCATACTAGCTACATAGTTCTTGATCGTATGAAAGTTCGAGGGGAGGAGTTCAGCTTTCTAATGCACTTAAAATCGAGTGTTTTGATGCAGATTTGACAAAGTTATAGGTGTTTTCAGGTATCAAAAGTTTCTCTAAACACTAATGAGCCAAATTTCAGTGCTTGTTACAGGTTGTAATTGGATGATTATGAAGGTTTATTGTTGGTACACTTATCAATACAGACTGTAAAAATATGGAAAAATATGGAGAGTGAAGCTCTCACCGCAGGGAACAAGATGCATGTTTTTATTTATTTTTTGCCCTTCTCCTGGCCTCACAATATTTACCTGATTCAATACTACCAGAGCCTTGTCGGGAAAGACTTTCGAACGGTACTTCAGACAGTACTGTTTGTACTGTTTCCATTGATGACCAAAGAACAGCGCAATCTTTGGTTATTGTTGTGCCTGCTGGGGTCGTATATATTTCAAACAGAAATCTCCGATATGGAAACATACCTATCGGAATTGGACATTCACATTGGAAGTTTCCTTCACAAGCTGATCGGTTTCACAGCCCAATGGGTTAACAAACCTAAGTTTCATATGCTTATTCACTTGCAAGACTCAATTCGCAGGTTTGGACCGGCGTCACTCTTTGCAACGGAGAAAATGGAATCGTACAATGGGAACTTGCGTGATGCATCAGTCCACTCCAATCATCAAAGCCCCAGCCGCAACATCTGAAACACATTCATCACCGAGTCCCTGCTTCGCTTGCTAATCTCAGGGTCATCTTTTTACGACAAGGAACTCCAGGCCCGCGTGGTAGGTGGTCCTTGGCTGCGAGCGCTTCTCACCCACGTCCCCGAGGTCAAAAAGGCTCTAGGGCTTAACAAGGATGCTAAGCGCATGGCTGAATTCCAGCAAGGACGTACGTAATTGCTTTCCCTGTACGTCATAACTCACCAAAGAAGCTAAGACATCGCCTTTCCGAATAGGTCGTTGCAAAAATGAAGTTCCAACGCCAAACATTTTGAGAGTCACCGCTCCAGGTGCCGAGTATGTGTGTTTCGAAGGGGTTACTTTGCGAAATGGTCAGACGGTGCGCCCTCTTGACTTTATATTGGTAAGCGCGCGTATTCCCATATACGCTTTGAGAATACCTCTGACAAGAAATCCCAATCCAGCTGAAAGACCAATCGACAGTGGCCCAAGTACAATCGATATGGATACCAGATTGCCAGGCACCCGTCAAGGCGGTCATTGTGTTGAAACAATGCTCCATTGGCCGCTTGGTCCCACGTTATGGCATGCGAGAAATCAAACGAACTGAACATCAGTTTACGCGCAGCGTAAAGGTTGGTGCACTATTGGGCCAAAGGTAACGCACCCTGGCTGAAATTCCTTTGTTTCTGTTCGCTCAGGAGGTGGTCACCGTGCTCAACGTGCAGCATAACTGTCACAAAGGCCAGTGTGAGGTCACTATGTCCCAGACCAAGATGATCGAGCGCAAGATATGTGACGTTATGGTCTCTGGAATAACTCATGCAAAGACGTCTTCATTTATTCTCAATTCCGCCGCGCATTACTCTGGAGAACTTCATCGACGAATTGCCAACACAAAACTAACCGCGGTCACGCCAGAACAATGGAATACAACAATTGCTCATGGCTTGGATGTATGGCATGATGTACCCCGGCAAAAGAAGAAGGAAAAACAAGCAGCAAATCAAACAAATCATCTTGACACCGAAAGCGAGGTTGAACAATAAACAAGGAGAACACTAATGCACTATTGGGAAGCTATGATAATTAAACCGGATTACAACGTGAAATGGTTGTTGTAATTAATTCAAGAAATGAAAATGTAGACAGAGTGTGATAAGATGACCATTTTTTCCTCGTAATGACAAAGAAACAGTTTGAATCACATTTCCTCAGAGGTCTCAAGGTGATCTTCACCTGAACACCCGGCCGCTCCCTATGGGACCAAAAACGAGGTCAATGAGATTAGACCATGTCCAAATTACAAAGTGAGGTAACACATACTAGATGGATCAAAGTGTTGACGCAGGCGATATTTGGCAACGTGGCATCTGAGACAATCCTGAACGACGTGTTCCAGATTCTTGTGAATAGTTCGCCGGATCATATTGAGAGCGCATCGGTCAATGACCAGTGCACAAGCCGTGCGGATGATTGGCCTCATGCCGGAGAGGTAATCCTGGCAGCCTGTGATATATTCAATGGCGATGCTGCATGTGTGTAACCACGCGAACCAGTTGGACCCATCCTCTTCTAATTGGTCGACTTCTTCTACAAGGGTTCGTACATCTTCAAATTTTTTGAATATTCGACGAACCGCATTAAATTCATCATATTGAAAGTCTCTAACGGCACGCTCGGAATTGTTAGTGCACATGGTTGACTAAAAAGACACGCGATATAATGGAAATCCATTAGATTGTAGGAAATAATCGAAAGAGTTGGAAAAACGAGATAATCGAAGTCAAGAAAAGGCCATGCAAAGTTTTGAAATTATCGAAAGCATTCGAACACCGAGATAATGGAATTCAAGAAAAGAAACGATGCTATGTAAGTGTCTTAATAAGCGTCATGAATTTGGGAAACGTCTGATGGATCACCCACCATCTGGTTCATGACCTTTTGGAATTTTGGTATCAGGCACGGTCGATTTAGAAACTCGGGAAGTGGATGGTGTTGGATGAAGGGGAACAAGTCGGTAAGGCGCTAACCCGACACCCTTCATATGGCAAAATGCATGTCCTTGCACACTGACTCACCACCTCCCCAGGTAATGTCTCTGTTTGGATGTTCATCCAATCGGTTTTTTGCCACATAGCGGAGAAGGCAGAGTGCATTGCGCAATGCCGACGGTTCTGGTCTCTTTGCAACCTCACAATTTACAAGCCCATATGGCCAAATGAGGACTGGTTTCCTCATCTGAACGGTCTCGAATGCGCCAGAGTGACTGCCACCAAACATTCTGTGCACACAACCACAGGATGATGAGTGGATTGGTTCACCGGCAGATTGCCCAATCGCGAAGGCGTTGTTAATGGTTAATGCAATCTGGACTCCTGGCCGGACCGCAGAGTCTTTTGCGAAAACACCTTGGCTCCAACCGCACCAAATACAAGCCTTCTCCTCCGAAAGAGGACAAGTTCCCTTGTCTCAACGGTCTAGAGGCCGCCGGGCCCAATAGCTCGCATCTTTTGTCCACACAGCCACAATCCACAAAATCCTTTTGGTCATGGACTGCAAATAGTCGCATTGGAGACTGCTGACGACAGTTGGGGTCCACAGTTCCCTCCAGCGTGTTCCCCAATGTCGGGTATAAAGACAGACCGACTTGCTCGTCCGTGTCCAGGTTATCCCATTCTGCAACCGATTCGAGATTTAACATCTTTCTGAATTTGCAATGCATCGCTCTTTTTCATTTTGACCCAATCAACCATTTTTTATTTCAACTCTTCGCTTCGACCAATCAATTTCGTCTGGCCTTCTCCACCATGTCTCCTCTTCAAAATCGTTCATTTGGTTCGTTTGTCGCCTTCCTCCCACACCCTTTTTTCCTTTCTAACCCACCCGACCTCGATATTCTTATCCACGGTTCTTCGTCCCTCAGAGTCCAGTCCAGCTGCCTCTCAATCGCCTGGCACCCCGGCCACTGCCACCTCGTTGCGATCTTTCAGCAACTTTGGTACCTTACGAGGTACAGAGCTTCCAATCTTTTTTGTTACCCCCTATTGATATTCGTCCATCTCATGTTATCACCTCGCCGTATCCTCAGGAGCGAGAGGCTCCTCTGGCTCTGTCCGGCCCCGAGAAGGACGTTCGCGATCTCCGGGTTTGCGCACCCCATCGGGTCTTTGGGACGACCCTTCCCAAGAACCGTTTGACCAAAGACGTACACCACGGGTGAGCTTTTTGTCAGAATTTGGCCTGACGCTGTCTGAGAATGGTCAGGTCAAATATTGGCCTCAAGACCGACTACAGGCCATCTAGATGCGGGCTGCAGTCGGGCATACTTCTGGCAAGCAATTCTTTCCAAAATTAAGAATAAGGAGCGGCCTGCAGGCCAACAATAGGCAGCCTGCCGCCTGGCATCCTTCACACGGCCTAATCCAAGCAGAAATCCGCCTGCAAAAGGCCAGGAGACCGCTACTAGACGTCAACCACAAACATCACTCAAGTTGCAAAGTCCGCAACTCCAGTGATTGGTTAGGTCAAATGTGACACATTCATCGCTGGCCTCTTGCATAGCAAGAACTTTCAAAGTCATTTTTCCACTCCAAATTCAAAAAGAGATGCTTTAATTCAACCTCATCGCGCTTTAGAACATTTGCAACACACAGGTTTATCCTTCAATTTTAGTAAGTGTCTTTTCCCCCCCTCTTGCTTCTTTTACAAACGCATATGAAGAAGAATCAGTGTCTTGATACTTACCCTTGTATGTTGGGCTAGTCAGTACTGTACTTTGGCTCTCAATGAAGACCATTCCAGGTGGAGGTGGGCAGTTTCACTTTACAGGATCGGTTTTGTCACTTGTTTGTTTTCAGTCTTGATAATCCTGTCTTGAAGATTTTCCATTCGAGTTTGATCATCATAGATGATGCTACCCTTGTCTTTTATGTAGCGGCTTTCCCTAGACTAGCTCGTCATACCCCACAAGCGAAGGCAGCCTTACAACAATCCAGTTCTCTCACTGCTGATGAGCTCAAAATCGAATGTAGTCTGGAACACAATCGAATCTTGAATATATCCACCTTGCACTCTAACCTGGGCTACCTCTTTGTAATCATTATCAACCTTTCAGTAGTGATCTCTCTCAATGGTAAGAAAGTGCTTGATACATATAACATCGTCTTGGTCAGTTTTTTTGTACGTTTATCACTCTTGAAAAGCAAAATCGACTCACATCATATTATCCACAATCTAGACTAATTCCTATTGGGTCATCTTCCAAAACCCATGACCAGGTTCTGCACTTCCACCTCGTTCAAGTTACTGGACTGTCAGTTGAATCGATCTATTAAAAGCTATCCAACAAGTGAAAAATTGCCCATCACATTCATATATCTAATTACATTCTGCTTACTGGCTGATGGGTAAGCAAATATATTGAATTTATTTATTGGAGTCCTGACTCGATGTTGATGTTTTCATGGTTTATGATAAGTCTCAACACCACAGGAACCGTGATCTCAATCATTGGAGGAAATCAATTCGAGTTTAGCTTTTTGGCCTCTGAACACGCTTTGAGTGGGGTTAAAAGACGGCTTTCTAGTTGTGATTTAACTTCGATCTTTATCCTCCAACATTCTTATTATTATCACATTATAATAATGACAATGAGTCTTTCTTTAAGATTTGTTCATCTTTCTCATGTTCCGTAGTCCCTGTCTCTTATCAGGCTTGTATTAGACTTGTTTCCAGACTTGTAGATGGAGAATTGTGACTGTAAAATCAATCAATTGATTTGTCAAACTCGTGTGCCCCTGCTGAGCTCCCTGCTGAGCTGAGCTAAGCCCACCCGAGAGCCTGATTCCCCCGTCTAAAATCCGAATACCTCATTCAGACCGGGTAAGCGTGTCCGAGAGCTGAAAACCCTGGTGAATGTGTTGGGCCATCGATCCAGCTGACCGTCGAAAGCCGGAATCCAGGCGGCCTGCAGGCAAAATCCAGGCGGTCTGCAGGCAAGGCCAGCAGGCGCCTGGCAGGCGTCTCGCGTGAGGGCCATCTGCAGACGGCCTGCCCCTATGCAAGCGCTGGCGGTCTGCGGCTGGCCTGACATGGCCGCCTGTAGCCGGCCAAGACACCTCTGTGGTGTACCCCTCTTGGACCTGTCGAGACCGTTGTTTTTGACTAGCTTAACAACAAGCCCACTGTGCCAGGTGATTTTTCTCGGACTCGTCCGCCCCTGGCACAGGGGGCTTGCACATTAAACGACAATCGTTGCGTGACTAATAGCCACCTTTTGGTGGGTGTTTTTTCACTTCGCTTTCACACCACGACCCACAAATGCATTTTCTTCAAAAAAACAGTCAGATGAGCTCTGTCGAGTTATGAAGGAAATGGCCTCTTCAGAATCTCGACAGAGCTCATGATCGTGTTGATTCATTGAGGCTGCTTATTTTGAGATTTGAAATTTCAACCGCTAAGATTGTTATGTGTACCCTTAAAAAGGCTCGAGAGATGGTCAATTGACTCCCTTAAACAAACTTATTACTCGTTTTCCAGCTCAATTCTTGTGAGCTGGCACTTTTGATTCTCTTTTTTTTCTAATAGAAGTTATGTACAAGATGCTGAACTCATACCAGCCAGTTTCAGAAACAACATCAAAGTAATGTTGAATGAGATAGGATGGGTTGCATCCAAAAGTGACCCAAATTTCACTTTTTGGGGCTATTGGTCACGCCAGAGATGTCGTTTAATATGCAAGTCCCTCGTGCCTCGGCTTCGGGTTACCGTGAGCTTTTGCACGATTGGACTTGGGTTAAGTTAGTGTTTTTGACGAGTTAGCCACGAAGGCCGGCCTTGATGACACCCACCGAAGTTATGCCCTGGCCAGCTGTGAGGTAAGAGGCCTTTGTGCTGTGCCCTTGTCTCTTGTCCGGTCTTGGTCATTGATCTCATGTTCGGATTCGATTTCTTTCCCTCGCGTTTGGTCCTATCCTGCGTAATCGATCTCATTTCCACATGTTCCCACCTCCTTAGGCTCTCGGGTCGTATCGCCACATTGTGATGAGTGTGTGTCATACCAAAGTCAAGTTTGAGGTCGAGTGCATGTCGGAACAACTCTTGAAGATGGTTGATCATGTAGTGGGGATCTTGGACAAAGTCGAGTCGGCTTTGGACAAAGTCAACGCCATGACGATCAAGGTCGAAGCGATTTTGGACAAGGTTGTGGGTATTGCTGATCACCTTGAGACTCTAACCGAATTGGTCCAATCCACCCCGGCCCTTCAGGAAACTCCCAATGGTCATGGTGCCGGAGTGCCGAATTCCCCGCCTGTTCCTAGCGGGATGGCATGGACCTGCTTTACAGAGCTCCGGGTACGTCGTCGATATTCATCTTTTTCTTTACTCTTCCTGAAGATGGTTTCGATATGGATCAGGGTGCGATCATCACCGCCGCTCACAGGTTGATCATCAAAGAGAGCCTGGAGTCTTACACAGCTTTGGAAACTCCTGACCGGGACTGGTTGGCTCACTCGTACTTCAATTGTATCAAGGTATTTCATCTTCTCTATACCAGTCTTGCCATTTTCCAAAACTAATTCTCTATTCAAATAGACCGCTGTTCGCCAAAGTGGGGCGGTTACCCAATTTTTGCCACTGCAGGTCAACGGTGTCAGTGATGTCACCGCGACTAGGACCTACAACTCGGAGATCAAGAATGTCGCCAAACATGTGCGCGAGCGCCTGCACTTGCTGGTAAGTGGTATCATTTGAGTTTGGTTTACTCCACACACCGTCTGACATGTGACGCGCCACAGCTCTTGACCAGGATTTACGATCCAAAAAACCCTGTCATTCATGGTGCCGTTCCCAACCTCAAGGCTCTCGTTCATCGAGTAAGTTTTCCCTTTCTGCTTGAAAGTTCACCAAACGTTCTTACTAATGTGACATTGATCAGATTGCCATTAAATTGGGACAAAATGGAGACCATAGTGACATCAATACAGTATGGGCCAGTACCAGCGAGCTCGCGCGCTGCCGCTTTGCTTACCTCGTGAGCGCCCTTGCTCTCCATTGGTCCTTCTATGCTTATGACAAATAATTGACCACTTTTCTTCGCCAGCGTCGAGAGGCCGTTCGCATATATCAAGTTGGACGAGGGTCGAGTTCAATTTGGGCCGCGGTGGACCGCCAGCTCAATGAACTACGTGCCCGAGGCCATGATTTTACAGCCTCGTGAGTGCATGGTTGTTCTTATTGTCAATGTTTCAAGCTTACTGACCTAAAATTCTACCCCAGTTTCTACAACATAATCTATGATGATGACCGTTCAGCTTTTGATGGCCAAAATGTTTTTCAAGACATAACCCAAAATCTTTCCTTTCAATTACCTTTTGAACACGACGTAATGGCGGGCGTTGCGGCAGCTCAAGAGGATGAAATGGAACAATGACCAAATTTCGCATTTATTGAAAAGCATCACGCCCGATCATGATCATGACCTATGGGACTTTCACCCAAACCGACCCTTCCACTTTTTCAGCTCTTCTTGTTTAAATCACGCAGATGTGCGCTCAGTGCTTGTCCCACGCCATGCCTCCTTATCCCCAATGTCCCCCAAAAACAATGAATATAGCAATTCTGTTTATCTATTTTTGATGGCTCTCACACCGTTTGGCGTAATACCTGACCGCATTGCCATCCAAGCGCGTGCGCCTTGCCTCGCACGCCTGCCCTTGCCTTACCCTGCCTGCCCTGGCCCCCGTGTGCGCCGAAGCGCCGAAGCGCCTGTCGCACGCCTCACATGGCGTGCCTGAAGTGCCTGGGCCCCCGCCCTCATTTCACGCTTGCGCCTCCATTGCAAGGGCGGCCCTCTGGTCGCCGATGGCCATCATATTTCTGGCATTAGGCCGCATTTGGGCTGTATTCGCGGACGGTTCACACACGGCCAAGCCAAGGTCTATCCTCAGGCCGCCCTTCACTGCGGAGGCTTGGGCGGCCTTTCGACAGCCGGCCGTCACCGCCCAAGGGCGGTCACGACCCCCCCAAGGTGTAGATTTTTTTGAAATTTTCTCAAATTCCTACCCAGAAGATTAGGACCCTTTTTGCCCAAAAAGGCCAATTCCTACATACCCAATAAGCCGGGTATATAGGGGCTCTCCAGGGTCCTATGACAATCAATTGAATCCCTTATATATCAATCCAAGCAAAGCAAAAGGAAAGAAATGGTCGGAATCGATTCCGATCGACTAAATTATTGGTCAATATTCATTCTCGTTGTCATCATCACACCAACAATTACTCAAACAATATTGCCACCGGCTCATTTAGTTTTGTAAGCTTTGAAATTTATGTTTTTATGTGAACCGATGGGTATTAAAGTGACTGACTTTGTTTTGTTAATCTAGAATCTTACACATGTCTTTCCTACCCAATCAATCTCCAGAACTATTAAATTATCCAGTAAGACCTAACATTCATATTACTTCATCATTTCAACATTCACATCAACTTCAGTCATAAATCTCAAACTAGCCAATTCATCAAATAGAAATAAGAAAAAACTCACTCATCAACATGCTTTCGGTGATGATAGTTTTTGATGTTGCAATTCTTTAGATAATCAAGAATCCGATCAACGTTACAAGAATCTCAACATTAATCCAACCGTATATCGAGATGACCCGTATACACAAAATCGAAGCCGATTCAGATTCTCTAAAGTCGTATTCAAATATTCTAGGGGGACGTACTCCAAATTATTCACAATCAGGTGAATCGAGTAGTTTCAAAAGACCAAAAGATTATGAAATATCAGATTTAATTCAAGTGTCTACACTTGGATCTGATTGGGCACCAGATGAAGGTAGAAACGATAAAGATTGAAGAGGTCAACTTCAGATAATCAAATAACTCAAATGGTCTGACTGATAAAATGAATTGGCAAATGCTCAAGCTGGTGTAAGACATTCGATTTTTGATTAGTTGGCTGGTGAAATAAAGTGTGGTTGTTTTGGTGAGGATTCAAGGACTGATTTTACTGCTTCTGTTGATAGCGTTTGTTTTCCTTTTGATCCGATTTCTCTAATTATCATCCGACTCTAAGGTAATGTATATTTCCTGGATTATTGTCAGATTGGCTCTCATGCTTCACTTTTTTATCCCAGGAATCCCAACTTTTGCCTATAACAATCAGCAAATAATGGTTGGAGAATTCAACAGTAAGATTTTAAAGGGCAGATCCGATTAGATTCTCCTTTGATACTAAGATTGTTTCATTGCTCATTGCTAAAAAAATTTATTGTAGTCCACAGTCTTCCAACTTTGCAGTAATTGTTGAAGATCTAAGTACTGCTGGTGCTATTGAGGTTGAGAGAGGAAATATGGATCAAAATTTGTTTTCTCCAATACTAAAGGTTATACACTTTTTACAGCTACTGTTCATTTTAAATCTAGGTGTGCTTTTTCAATTCATTTTCAATTCCAAGACTTTGGAATCGAAATGATTTTCAAGCTAATGTGTTTCTTTTTCATCCATAGTGAAAGTGTGATTACTGATTCAATTTAGTCAAGTCATTATCCAGCTTGTGGTCATATGATTTTGAATTTAGCAATTGGTGTTTCATACAAAGTTTCTGGACTTTGAAGAGATTTGAATTAACTGTTTTAAATTTAATTGATTGTCCTGTTGAATTACTTGCTGATGATGCTTGATATAATTTGAAAATGAATGAAGGTTATGGGATTGAAGGATATGCAGATATAGAGATACATGGTTTCTTCTTTTCATTTGGCAATGTTGTTTTGAGTTTTTGTTACAGAGAATTTTACAGAGAATTGAAGGAATTTGAAATCAGACAATGTCATGGTGGACAGTTATCTTATGGTGGATGATCATCCTTCAATATTTGATTAATTCATATCAATCACAATGAAAATATCAAATAAGTTTACTCAATTTTGCCTTATTTTCCTTTATTGTACCAATTATTATCTCTCTAGCAATTTTAATAATTTGATTTTTTTGAAAACCTGATGATATATAATTTGATTGTAATTTTGTATATATTATGAACTTGTTGGTCTCAAATTCAAACCAAACTTTGTTCTTTCAATGGAGTTTCTGTTTGAGAAATGGATTAGGTAAGATAAGCTCAAACTGAAGCCTTCTCGAATTAGTGGAAACCAAAATTACAACTTGGCAATGTATGTAGCAGTATTCATATGGTGGACATGGTCCAAAAAGGGCACCTGGGTGTAGGTGCAAGGGTGCACCCAAAAAGTTGAAATATAGGGTGTGCGCACCCCAGAACCACCTTGAAGCTTTTCCTTCTGTTTTTGGACTTTCTCTCACTTTTCTTACATCCCACCACCTCCAATTATGCCCAAGGACAAGAGCAGGACACCATCTGAGAGGATTGTGAGCACCTCTACAAAAGAGCTCAAGTCCGACACAAATCCAAGATCTTATGTGAATCAGTCACAATAGTCAACAGTCTATCAGCAATAGATAGTGATAGAATGCACAAAGGCCAATCAAACCCAATCAATTCAGACTTCCCAAATCAATGTGTAAGGGATCAAATCCCTGATCAGAAACAAAACAAAACAAATATACACTCAGTCTAAATGATATCAAGAGGCAATCACTGAATGATAGTATAGGGATGTGGTATTGAAGTTTTGTATGAGAAAAGCTTATTAAATAAAAAGGAAAGCTTTCTACAAACAGATCAGGAATATAAGAAGCAATACAACATGAGGTTGAGTGAATCTTGTGGGTATAAAATGGTGATATTAAACATAATAAGGCATAACATTAAATTGGTAATGATAACATAAAACAACTACGTATTGATTGTAAATATCTCCAACAACATGAACACTTGAGACCTTCAATTTTACTTAATCCAATTGTAAGAGGCATTCAAACCCATTCAATTTTTAGGCCTCAACACATTATTCACATTAAAGTGGCTATCTTTTACCAAAACCTGATGATCTAGATTATCCTGATAAATTGATTAAGGAATCCAACATAGAGAACCCTGGTTCTGAATGGTGCTCAGATTTCTTTGTCAGGTGATGCAAGGAGAAATGAACATCAAGATGCAGGGGAGGCTTTGAGTTTGAGGCGGCCTTAAGATGATGTACAAGAGCTTTGATAATCTATGGTCAGGAACATGTCATGGGTGCTGACTAAATCCTATACCGTTTCCAATTTCAGTCAAGAAGAAACAGCTTCACCTTGATTTGTTAAGTAGAATTGGAGGCTGTGTGTCTGAATATTGGATTTTTTTGGGTATGATGCAAATTTGAAAACCTTTCTGGAGAAGCCTTTGGATGTTCTTCACAATTGAGTATCAACGGATCAACACAGCTTATCTTATCAAAAACTCTGGTCAAGATGTTAACTGCAACAATCTCAAGGTATCCAGCATTTCATTTGATTCCAATCACCAACATCTTGAGAGAATCGATGTTAAAACATGCTGAAAACAGTACCACAATTGCTACACAACACAATGAGATCTGACCTCATTGGCATTGTGGAGCTCAGCCTGAGCTATGAAGTGCACCACAATGCTCTTCTATAATAAAAAAATTGTGTGTTGAAGTTGTGGAGCAGTCACAGCGCTATAAATTACTGCATTGTGTGCAATATAGCGGTGCTGCGCATTGCACTGCTATATAGCACTTTACAGTGCAATATAGGAATTCACTGTGGCCGAAGTGGCTATCAGAAGTGTGAAAAAAAGAATCAATTCAGCATTTGTAAAGATCAAGAGAAAATAAAAACAAATGACTGTGTATAAAAGAGAACAGGCAAAAACAATGACCATTTATGATGGAGAAAAGAAAGAAAACATTGACCATTGATGATAGAGAAAATAAAAGGAAAAGTAACTATTATGATAGAGGTGAACAAAAACTGGATTTGTCAAGAATATTGAATTTGAGTGAATGAATTGAATAAATATCAAGATCCTGATTGAAATTTTGGATCCAAAAGGTAGCTGGGGCTGGAGTACATTCTGCCCTGGGTGTAGGTTATTTCCCAGCTATATGGCGGAGAAACTCCAGCCCCTGCCCATTGCGGAGCACTCACTGCTCTATGGGAAATTTCAACCCCCAAAGTGCAGAGCACAGGCTCTGTAACATACAGCAGGGCCATTGCACAGCCAAAAACTGCTCTGCAATTGGTCCAAAATCACAAAAAAGAGTGGAGTGATTTCAGTATTGCTAGAACCCTTTTACCTCTATCACAATATAGAGTAGAAGGGGTTTTAAAATGTTAACTCATCCAAGTAGCACTTCAGATCAAATATTGATTGGAAATCAGGGTAAATTCCACATTCAGAGTCCAATCTAGCAACTTCCCATTGATTGCCAGGTGATGTTCACCACCTCTACCAATGTGATTACTATTTGCACTATGTCCTTGGATCTGTCCTTGACAAATCCTTGCAGATCTGTATTCACATGTGACCCTCTTTCTCTTCTCCTGAGAAACAGGAGCAACAATAGTTTCAAGTCAACTGCTATTATTGAAAACTACACTCAGCATCAAAGTCTTACAGCCAATTATATGTCATGCCTTTTTGGAATAATGTTGAGCTGAAGTGATCCATCATTAAGGCAATCTCAAAGTATTCCAAGTGAGACACCATGTTATGTACATACACAGTAGGGTGTTATAACTTATAACAATTTGTATTCATAAATTCAGTGCGGTGCCCGCCGCAAATCTGGCTAGTAGCTTTGAAATTATGATTAAAGATAAATCAGTAGATTTGAAAACGGGCCAAATACAATTTGAACAAGTTGCTCAAACATTAGGTGTAATGAGATGGCATACTATAGGTACCAAACCCACTTGACATCATCTAAATATCCAAATTTCACTCGCCTTTTAATCAAATTCACCTTTATCATTACTTTGTTGTACTTATCATTCAAACGATAGCAAACAAACTTGAGATTCTAATGAAGAAATTCCAATTGAAATTGTTGAATGTTTGAATTCAGATCCTAACCAGCAACAAGCCTATATGTCAAATAAACTCAAGAGTTGCTTGAGTATATGTAGTAAGGTAAGGATCCTTCAAGCACTGAATTTGCTCAAGTAACCCCTTGTCTGGGAAGTTCACTACCAATATTGAGATCAAGGCTCAGGCATTGAACCTCAACCTTCTCAATCAGACTCGGTGAATGTCTGACCATCTGACCCATGAGGTCGTCTTGGATTGGGTCCACAGGCTCTGCTAAGCCTTGTGAACAATGCTGACGGCTTCAATTGCTTGCTGGGTTAAACAAACAAAGCTTTAAGCCGTTCACAGGGAACAGTCAGGAACAGCCCGGTTTGAAATTAGATGCAGCCCGGTTGAGCTGAAAACCGGGCTGCGAAAACGCATGTATCCGACATCCGGGCTTCGGGTCTTAAATACCGGGCGCCAAATAGTGCCGTCCTTAGAGCATCCCCAGCCGTGCTGTAAATTCGTATTGTATGGAGCGCCGCACGGATTGTTTAGGCAAGTGTTTGAGGCATAAATTTTGAACAATGCACAGCCGTGGTGTCGTACAGTATGGCTTGTAGCATATTTTGTGAAGTGAGTTATGGGTTAGTTGATCATCAAGGGAGACATTCTGCAGGGAGTGCGGTCGTGGAAGTGGGAGTTATGGGAGAAGCGAGGTACAGATGAATTTAGGGAGCGAGCCAAAATAGAACATATTTGGCCTATTTTGGCTCACACGGAGGGAATTCCCTTAGCTACGTGAAAATTTAGGGCATCGGCTGTGGATGATTTTGCCCTAAATTTCCGTACGACATGGTTTACGCCACACGGCTGTGGATGCTCTTACTTTTTTCCTATTGTATGCAATTGAAAAGATTTAGGGCTCAATTCTATATCTACTGTGTGTTTATAATTTCCAGTCAGCTATCAAGCTACCGTAACTGTAACGTAACTATAATAGCAACGTTACGGTCTCAAGATAGCGGCGAGAATCAATTTGAGTTACGCTAGGCCGGATAGCGTAACTGGGCGAGCAGCGCTAGCCAATTGAGAAATTTTCCGATAACTCATAAAGCTACCCTACGCGCAACCAGCCTCGTAACGCTGCGTTGCGCTGAACAGTCTTTAGATCTTTGCGAGAGAAGCTTATGGTTCTTCATTTCGAGTCTTCAAGGCTTCTACCCTTCGACCCGAGCACCCCTTGGTACGTAGAATCCGAGCTTGTGAAAGCTAGTTTTTGGAAGAATTGCAAGACATGAAGCCCATATTGTCATTGACGCAGGCCACGAAAATTTCTTTGAAAACTTGAAAGACTTCAATAGAGTTCAATCCCTTGATGTGCATACGTCAGACTAGTAGCTCAGGCTAGTTCCTTGCATTGGCACACATCCTTGAGAAAATCAACCACTTAACCAGTTTCTAACTCAAGTCTAGCTGATTCGCTTCACAAAGAAGCCAGACACTTGATTCGTATCCCGAGAAAAAGGATACTATGAATCACATTCCCATTGAATTCTTAAATTTCCAAGTATCCTTCATGGGTATTTTAGTATGAACTTTCAAAAGACTTGGCCTTGGAAGTCTTTAATTGTTCTGCTTCTCGAAACTTGTATGCAGAATGAAAAAAATGGCAGTTGAAGCTTTCTTTATTGAAGTTAGGGTAAGACTCGGACTTCACTCTGAACTTGAAGGTGTGACTAGATTTAAGTAGATCATTCGTATATCCTTTGCTGTCAGTATTTCAGGTGCGATACTTGAAAAATTGGTCTATTGTCTAGAGCAAGAGTGCTTTCTCGAATGAAAACAGGATAATTATTGCTTGACACTGACTCTGAGGTCTAGACGCTGAAAATGCAGGTGTTGCGATGACTGCCATCGGCCCTCCGACTTTTTCCACCTCAAAACCAAGCGAAGCAATCTGTTATCCAAGGGGTCAAAGAAGCTGATGCTGAGATGGTCAATGAAACTGAAGTGTATGATTATGCTCAACAACAGAGGCATTCAATGAGAGTCAATTTGAAAAAAAGGATTCAATCATCTTGTCAAAAGTGCTTCAGGATCACTTTTTCAAAAAGTGAAGGTGATAGGACTGTCTAATTGATTTCAAGCAAGATTGGATTAATCAGAAAAAGAAAGTTAAACATCCAAGACAACAACAAAGATATTGAAACGAGTTAGTTTAAGAACTGAACCGAATAAAATAAAAGAAAGATTTTGTATTGCCGATTGGTTAAGATGTGAGAAAAAAGGTTTGAAAGATGAACAACAAGTTTCTATTCTATAATCTATTTGATGAAACAAGTTGATGGATGATAGGTTGATCAAGGAGAAGGATTCCGATACTTAAAAAACTTTTGTCTTTTTCGAGGACGAATCAAGTTGTACACAGAGATGCAAAAATAAAATAATTGAAAATAAATCACAACAAGTGAAATTGAAAGAGACGCGTCGAGGAAGATGTTGCCTGGGATTAAGCATTGATAAGGTTTGGCCGAGATTGCTGTGAAGTTGAATCTGGGTTTTTTGCTCGATTTAGTTCAGGTGATCCTTGATTGGTAAAAAGGGCATTCAAGACACTTGTGAAACCCTCCCTGCCAGTTGCAGCATTTTTTGCAAATCTGAATCAAAGAACAAGTGTAAGCATTAAATTCAAACCCAAAGTCATAAGTCAAAATGACTATACCTATCCCTGCCCCATGATTCGACCTGCTTGCCAATAGCTTGCCAAGTCTGACCTGTAGCTAATCGTCCCTGTGCCTCCATTTCGGCAATCTGCTTGAAGATAGTGTGCTTGGCGTTATTAGGTGATGCCTCGTATCGAATTTTCTCTTTGCAAATCATGATCGAAGACATCGAAAGATTAACAGATCCCATAAGGATCATTGCCGGAGATCCAGATCCTGATAAGCCTGCTCTAAAAAATGACAAAAAACACATGAACAAATGGTTTTGATTAGTACAATCTTACTGAATTGACCAGAATGGATAGGAAGTTGAAGCCTGGTATGGTAGGTATTTGATGAGTGCAAACCAAGGAGGTATTACGGTTTAGAAAAGATCACCTCTCGCACAAATTGTTCTTCTGCACCACCTACTAGCTATAATAAGATCCATGTGATCGATTGAAATGAAATCAGGTGATTGATCGATCGTAATTCTAAAACGTGTTCATTTCACTTTCTCGTACCTTCATGATCCAACGAGGTGCATTTTGTCGAATGGTGATCAATCTCTCTGTTCGAAGAGTTCCATCAGATAAAAAAGAGCGATCTAAGACGTCTACAGAGGTGATATGCTCGGATAGATGATTGGGATATTTGTGCCAGATTCCTATGGCCACATCTCGCTTTGGATCCAAAAGATCAAAGAGAACAAGAAGATTAGTTGATGTTTGTTTGATGGAGATTTGATGAATGTAACTTACGAATGAAAAAGGGAAGATATGTTCAGCTTGAAAGGTCAACATTTCTGTCGAGAATCGGTTTGAATGTATTTTGGTAGGAATGGATGGAACTTCAACTTTGCAAACTTTAAACTCAACCACTCGAGTCAACCACCATCTCCTAGAATGAGCCCCGCCTCGTCACCCCGACTCCTCTCAGGGTTGACTCCGGGGGTCGGGTGAGGGACTTAGGACTATCGGCCGGGCCTGGTGGTGGAGCAGGGCTGCCAAATTTCAACTTTGGTGTGGAGATTTTTTCATCATCTCAAAATCTCCCACGGAGCATCGGGATTCTGGATATGAAAAGAAGACTTACCTGGGTCATGAATAAGTCGACTGTGTTGGCCACATTGCGATTGCTAGCCAATGGTTCGGTTTCAGGCAGGCAGGGGAGATAACTTTGTGAGGCCCGTCAATCAAGCCATACCAATCAGTTGTGGTTGTAGCTAGCTGAAGATTGGAGTCGTCAACCTTGGCAGCATCTTCTTTGTCAGCAGGACCATCAAATCCAAGTCCTTCAGCTGTTTTGTCTTCTTCAGGGATAGATTGGAGAGTTGTTGTTGGGATGGGGAAATCTCCTAACATTGTTGATTTGACAAGCGGAGGTGGAGGGGCCTGGATACCAAGCGCTTGAAGTCCACCACTGACAATCAGGGCTAACTTATGACACACACTTGGTGCATTTTGTGGTTCCATTTGAAAACTTCATTGCTGTCCTTGCAGTGTTTCTTGAGATGTATGTTCATTGCTTCAGCAAGTGTGTTGTCATTGCTCCCCAAATTGTGGGTCTGAGCAATCATGTAGATGAGAGAAAAGAAATAAGATTAGATTAGAAGCATGTAGGAAAAGTGAAAATTTTAGATGATGCGTGAAGAGAAAAGAGTAGATGCGGGTAAAGTCAAAATAAAGGCTTATCTTTGTGTGCAGGCCATGTTTGATCAGGAGATTGATCAAAGGCTTGGACAGCCAGTCTCCTTTTTGATGCCATGTGATCAGCTTCAGGGCCAAGTGTCTCATGACATAGCTCTAATCTTTGGTGACAAATGTCACACTTGCACCTAGAAAACCATATCAAGTTCCTGCAGTAGTCCATGCGTCATGAATGAGACCAAACAAACTTTTAAGAGACTGTCAGAGTATCATCAGAAAGCTTGTAGACAAGTAAGAGAAACAGAGACTCACCTTGAGTTCATCCATCATGGAAGATCACATGTCCAGATAGGCCTCATGCGCAAACTTAGCTACCCAGGTCCTTCCAAACGGATGGGCATTTGGGTTGGTGTATCAAAATGTGGTGCATAGATATAGGTCTTCCAGTCTTCACCATGGCTGAGTGGTTCTGATTACCCATATGCCCAACATGTGATTGAGTATCTGGTGATCAAATTTGGGTGTCACCTGAGCAAAAGTCTTCATCAAAGTTTGACCTTGATCCCGGTTGTCCTCTGCAGATTGATGTTCAAAGATGGTGAGTGGAAGCTTACAGCTGTTTTTGATTGCTTTAAACCTCTTCTGGCAACCCGGCTTTCCCAACTTACCTTCCTGCCGGGATCCATTGCAATGGGCTAGCAGATCGGTTGCCAAAGTTGCAGAACAGGATACTTGGGTGCCACACTACTTGCACTGAAAGGCTGTTGCTGGCAGCCTGTAAGGTTTGTATCTCAAACCTTCACTGAACTGTGATGGGAAGCTGTCAGAGACAGCGGGACGGTTTCTAGAACCCAAGTGACTTATATTATTTCAAACCAACAGGAAACCAATATAGAACTGGTTCTGTAGGATATGGGGTGGGAAGTCAGTCCCAGATCACTACGGAACCATAGCGTGGAATTTGAACAAAGATATATAAAGAAGTCTCTAAGACTTAAGTGTTAAATATTGAGTAATTAGTATTTGTATGTATGTGTAATGACCGTATGTCTTACAAAGCCCTTTCAAATATTTCAATTAAATCAAGATAGCAAATTAATTGAAAAGAGTCAATATAAGAGACAAGGAAACATAAGAGGAAAGAAGATAAACCACTTACATTGACAATTGCAATCATCTCATCATAATAATCATGGATGTTATTGAACTGAGCTTCTTTCTTTGGTTTCTTTGCAACCTTCTCATTCTCCTAGTCAGAGTCTTGCACCAAGTTAATTTGAAGGCTGACAGGCTGACTAACTGCACCATATTTGCTTTCTTAGGTGGCTTGGTGAGAACAATCTGTTTTACTTTGACGTTTATATTAATTCCTTGAGGATTATTTCCAAGGCTTCTTGGAATGGTTGGTCTGGCGGCAAGGCTGAGGCAATTTTGATTGATCTGAGGATCCGTCATCTGTAGTGTGATCTCCACTACTAGGTGCTGGATAGACTGATATGTCTGATACAGAGGCGTCATCTTCACATCAAACTGCACGGCAAGAGTTGGCTGGTGATTCAATCAATCGAGATGGTTCCCTAGCTGGGGAAGGTCAAGCACTACGTTGAACTTTGGGGTTATTGGCTAAGCCAGAAGCAGAGGAGGTGGAAGACATGGTGATGATGTGGGAATAGTGAAAATAGCTGTAAAACAAGATCAATTAATGTTATGGTGGTAATTGACAAAGGGAATAGTGAATGAGAAGAAAATGAGATTTGTAAATATGGAAATGTAAGTAGTGAATATGGAATCAAAAATAGGGCAAAGAGAAGAAAGGGGTCATACCTCTTGAAAAAAAGAGGGGCTCTGCTCAAATACCCCAATGGAAAGGGTACATGTTTCCATTGCTGCATGTCTAGATCAATCCTAAAAATTAATTAAGCCAAAATGAGTCAGTGCAAAGGGGAATCTAGATGGAAAGAGGTGGAATGCAGACCAAAATGGTTAATACTTACCAAAGGGGCAAGATCATGAAGTACTCTTTGGTGACCTTTTGCGTTTGAGGGCGGTGTACTGAGGATGAATTGGATGGGCAAACTACAGCTGAAAACTAGGTACTTTACCAGAAAAGTACCTAGTATTGGGATACTGACAAGACCAATACTAGTACAGTACCTACACCAAAAAAAAAGTTTCTGGGGCCCGTAGTAAAGCATTGGCCACAAAGGTACTTCACTCCCAGGTACTGTACTGCCAAAATTAGGTACTTTACTGTACAATACCAGTACTGGTACAGTACCTGCTGCTGTGTTGTTAATACATAGTTGTCAATCTCATGTTCTTCTACATTAAAATCAAACATTGTGAATTTGGACCTGTAATAAACCATGGTCCAGTCTGATACAGACACTGCATATACCATAATTTAACCTAGCTCCTCTTATTTTCTTCAACTTGTACTCACACTCTTTTATGGTTCTCATTCAATTCCTTCAGCACTCTTCATCCATCTAAGTCATTGATCTATTTCATCTTGGCATCATTCTTGCTAATTAATAATAAACTCTCTTTGATGTCAACTAAGAATATCTCTTCACATCTTCTTTATATTTTTTTTCACTCGTTCTTTTTCTATTCTTTTGCGTCCAATCCTCATCTTGTATTATTTAAGCCTGACTTATTAGATTGTTCCTCTATAGTTTTTGAACCAGTGAGTTTGTATTTGTTTTCTTAAACTTTAAAACAAAAACCCACACTAAGGGCGCGTTCACTTAAGGAATTTCGGACCAGAAATCACATTCTGTAAATTTTTTAATGCAAAAATGTAACATGCCCCACCAAATAGACATTTTAAATTTTGCAGAATGTGATTTCTCACCAGAATTTGCTTGAGTGAACGCGCCCTAAACCTATGCAGACTTTTACTGATCACTAAACTTTGACTTTCTGCTTTTAAGATGAACAAGCAATAAAAATGATAATACATAATAAATCAAATGATTAACAGCATTGCTTTATTGTATGTCAGAGTGTGAAAGTTAAGACGCATTTAATTTGTTAATAACTCTTGTTCAACTGATGTTCATTACAGCTGTTTTGAGAAAAATTGATGTTGTCCTTGTTTTTTTATTTTTTTATGTTCAAGTTGCACCAAAGATTACTGGTGTGGACTCTACATATGAGCAGCTGTAGTCAATGATTTGCTAAACTTTAAAGATTGTACCTCACTGTTAAGCCTTGAAAACGCACCAGAGGCTGTGCATTGCGGATACAAAGTATGCAACCATTGTGATCATTTGTGAACTTTGCACCCTTGAACAAGGTGAGTTGTACCACTCTCATGTATGTAGAGTCTATGTGAGTGTTCTTTAGTGAAACTTTAAAATAAAAAAAAATAAAAAAACACAGAGGACACCATTTTTTTCTCAAAACAGCTGTAATAATAGTTACAGCTCTTCAGGAAATTTGTGTCCAGTCGTTTTTTTTAAAAAAAGTTTTGCACATAAAGTTGGCGCCAAAATACAGCCAATACAGCACTTTAATAGCAGTGGATCCTAAAGGAGCTGCAGGCTAGGACATCAATTGTGCTATCCCCTCCCACCACCACCATTCCACCATTCCACTATTTGACCAATCCAACCAATCCAACAATACCTTCCCTCCCATCCATCTCCACCACCGTCCCACCAATCCATTGGCACCACCTGATCCATCCAATCATTGAAGATCATATGTGTTCAATGATGATGACAAACAGCTGGTTGATACACAAAACCATTTGATAGAGACAACCTCCATCAGATATTTCCTACATACACCAGCCAGGCGTCTGCGCACTTAAATAGCCCTCTTTGACCACCGTATCTTGACCGCAGCTCTTCCATTTGCTTTGAAACCAGCAGCCCAGAAACATTTTGCCTTGTCTAACCGTCGTAGTGTCCAATGGCCCACCATAAACTACAAGACATCCCCGTGTGCGCCATTTACACCCTCTTTGTACATCTTCTGGAGCCTCATTTTGACATGTTTCTTTTTCATTTGTTCACACAGCCAAGAAGGATCTAATAGGCCTGTTAGCCCAGGTGCTTGATTTAGATCTTGCGCCAGCCCCATTAAGAGGCAGGCAAAGCCATACCACGTCATTCCAACCAGCCCTCAAAAGTCGGCCGCTAGACAAGGCACCATTTTGGCTCCTTTGATCCCCAACTTGACTCTTCCTTGGAGTCACAGTGTTTCCAATGCAAGCCTCACCCAAGCATTTGCTGAAGCCCATCATCTGGGCCAAACCGTCTATGGCTACAGCCCACCTCACCAATTTCAATCACCGCTGTTCAACATCAACTCGATGATGTTGCAGCCCAACGTTTTTGGGCACAGAAGCTTAAGTGCACCTCAAGTTTTGACCCCAACTCAACCTTCTATCGTGGTCCATCTTAACAAAGATGAAGATGATGAAGGTATGTGATCCTGTCCTTGTGTAGAAGGCCTGTACCAAATCTTAAACCACCATGATCTTTTTCTCCGTAAACTTCTTCCCTTTACACTTTTTTAGAATTACCGCACCCCTTAGATATTCTAGACTACTGAACTCTGGATGCGGGTATTGAACAAACGCGCTCAACCCCGGTTCTCATCAAGGAGGTGATGAAGCACCAAGAACACACATTCCTTATGTCGTTCAACTTATACCAACTCAGTAGCTAAACACACTAAGAAGGCTCGCGGTCGTGCTGTCAAGGAACCTCAGAAGGCACCCAAGCCCCAATGGAAGAATTTCAAGCCATTTCTGTTTCATAGCGATTTACCTGTGGGGTCCTTCAGGTGCCCTGTCTATTGTGACATGATCTTCGAAGCCTGCAATTCCCAACTCACCGGGGTTTTGTATGCCCTTATTTCTGCCAAAAAAACTGGCCTACTTGCGATTCGAGCCTTCATCAACACCACCAATTGCCAGCACAAGGCATTCCACAGCTTCATTACTGATAATGCCAGTTTGGGTACGTCTGTCAATGCTGTGCTAGCTGCCCCATCTGAGGCAATCATGGGTTTCAAAATCACACATTTGAACCCTAAAGCTAGCAAGGATGTGAATCATGCTTTAGCCTTGAGTTTCCCGCCACCAAATGACCCTTCCGACCCTCCATCTGATGAGGAAGGTACAATTTCAGAGGGGGTGAGTTAATTTCTTTTCAATCTGTTTGTGACGGTAATGTTACTGAGTCTTGGACTGCTGTGGTTGAGTTGCAGTCCAATTACCTCACCAACATTCAAAAATGCTACAAGCAATCAATGGCTCGCTTCAAATCTCAATTCAAGTCAGGCGAGAACATTGCCACAACCGTCAATCCGGCCAACCCTGCCCAAGTTTTGCTTCTCAACACCGCTTGCATACACACTTGGGCTGATGACTGGGTAAGATTTCAACTCTTTCACCATTGTACGCCACCAGGTCACTTACATATTGCGCAATGTAGGCTGACAAGGTCTGCGGTGTCAACAAGCTCCATCCTCCAACTAAGTGTCCGGATTTCAAATGGATCCCGGTGGCTCATTATCAAGCAGCCAAGGATGAGCTTGAAGGTAAGGCAGTCGGCAAAACTGCCAATACCCCGGCACCAAATTCCGCAGGGACCATTATCCATCATAACTACTATGCTCAAGTGCCAAGCCCTGGAATGCCTCCAGTTAACCCCTTTGCAACTCCCAATATGATCAACGCTGCCACAATTACTTTACCAGTATTGGTATCGTAGCGGTATCGTAGTTTTTTTTTGGGTATCGTATTGTCAGTATCAGTATCGCAGCCACAATACGGTACTGCCCGATCCTCCTGGCAGTATTGTGTATGGCGTTACTTTACTTAGTATTGTATTGCCCCCCGAGTACAATACTGGAATGGGCCCAAGGAAGTATCAAGTACAAAATCTCTATTGATTTTGTGTCTGGGAGTGCGATACTACGATACAGTATCAGTATCTGATCGGTATTGTGACAAGATACGGTACTAGGTATTGGGCGGCACAGTATTGCCATTGCGATACTTTACTGAGTATCGTATTGTGGGTACAACTACGTTACTGAGGCTCATTTTCTCTAGTATTGTAGACCCGTTACTTTACTGAGTATCGTCAATACGATACCAGTATCGTATTTGTGGCAGCGTTGATATGATTAATGGACGACCCAATGTCCAATCTCACGCCTTCCCCCGCCCAGCGATATCATCTTTATCACCACTGCATGGCGGCAAAAACCCCAACTTTGAGGATTTTTGGAAATTTGCTGGGATTCACCCAGGAATGGCCAAAACTTGCTCGGCCTTAGAAAACAAAGGCATTGACAACTTCAATTGTCTACTTGACTGGGAAACTTACTCTATTACAAGATTGCACTCTTTTGGGATACCATTTGCACATGCAGATGACATTTGGAAGGTGGTTTCCAAATTCCTCAACAATTTGAAGTCAAAGAAGTTGGGTTGACTTTTATTTTGTTGTATTTGACCCCAACAAAGGGAGTCCACTATTCATCTTGCCTCAGGTTGTTCTTTATTTTTTCTTAGGTGTTGAACTGCCTTAGTTTCAAATTTCTTGCCACTTTTTGTAAATCATCACTTCTTATTTCAATCAGTGGTGTTCTCAATACAATTGGGTTACTTTTTTATCCTTTGGTTCTTCCCCACTTTGGAATTCCCCACTCTGTGTTTGATGATTCCGCTCATACATATTTCTAGTTAGTCATGACTCTGTGATATGAACATTGTTCATTTGCTTGGCCTGTAGATACGTGAGAATGAGAACATACCCTCCGCAGGGGGGGATATGAGGGAGATGCTGCATATCATATCTCTATGATATGAAGCATCTTGCTCAATACAAAGGTCTTTGGAGCGCATGTGATTCAACTTTATGGTCACAAGACCACCAAAAGCTTAAAGTGATATCTTCACATAGACACTTGTTTGTGCTGAGTTCTAACATTTAAGAGAATATCCGTCTGATCCTCCTCCGTCAGACCCCATTTGTATTGTTTCCTTACTTGCCCAAACCCCCACATCCTGAATTTATTTTATCTTCCCATTATATCATTGGCTTTTATCCATTTCTTTCATCATCATTATGCAACAAGATATGCAAAATCCTTCTCTTGCTGACATTATCTGGTATTGAAAAGTCTCTGCTCGCGATAAGTCCAATGCCCTGCCTTTGGACATCTTGCCAAACGCCCACCCTTTTGTTCTCACTGGTGAAGATCAATGTTTTTATTGTGGTATTTACGGCCACCGTCAGTGTTCTTGTCCTATGAAGGAAAAACATTGCAAAGGAGAGTTGCTCACGCGGGAAAAGATAGGACACCAAGCAATGCATTTTGGTGAATGGTGTCGTGTCAAAAATGGGAAGACTTACAGTACGGATATTTTGGGTGGAAACACCAAGCCCATTGAACCTGTTTGCTCGAACTCCATCACGGCTTGCAATGTAGCTCCTGCCACTTTGTCCGCGGTCAATCAGGCACCTGCTGCACGCGGATGACAGTATCAAACTCCATCTGTACATCAACCTTTGTCTCCTGGTTTATCTTCCTCAGACAAGGAGTATCTCGTCCAAACGGTTGCCAAATTGGATGCTGGTAAGCGAATTTGTAGTTCCTCACAATCTAGTTCATTGCAACTGATCTCTGTTGCAGATTTTAACCCTTGTGAAGAAGAGCCAGTTCCGGATATTGTCTTGATTGACAAGTGGGGGGATGCTTATGATGGTGAGCACACTAGCTAGCTCTGCGCAGCCACTGGTTTCAATGCTGATGCACAATCCAGCCTCAATGGACATTGAAGTGGCACCTTCAGTCACCACTTTATTGAAGGCAAACCACATTCCTAAAGAATGTCCAGACAACCACATGGTGAATGTGGAGTGGTGCGTTGTGAACAAAGGTAAGCTCAATCCATATCACTATGCTCGCCCGCTCTGGACTTTCTACTGATGCAACTTCCAGAGTCAATGTCCAATGCGGAAGCACCCACGGTGGTGGCATTGCCAGCCTCTCCATCTATAATCAAAACACTTTGGGAGGCCGCGCACGGGGATTACATGCTCATGGTGAGTCCTCAGACAACGTTCAACTTGTAGGTCACTGGAAAGCAAACACTAACACAAACTCTTGTCAGCAGGGGGCAAAGATCTCAGTGTGTTTCTCAAGGTCATCCGTCAAACTGGATACGGAGGTCCTAATAAACTTATGTCATCATTGTGTTGTGTGCTTTTGTTTAATTGTAAACATGCTACGCAGGCCAATTGAAAGGCCCCCTTTTGTTTGGATCAAACAATATCATTTTCATACTTTGCACCATGAACTCAAACTAAGATTTCTCATAAAGCATGTCATAAACTGGATAAAAATCCATACAAACTTTTGAAACACCAGAAAAAGACAATGTAGCAAACATGTATCAATGACTACGCTACAACCAATAGCCGCACACAGTGTATAACTTATTCATGAGCCTTCCAGTGAAAGTTTCCCAAGTCAAGTTTTCAATTGTAGCAATTTTCTCTTTGGCAGCAGCGAGTGCAAGACATTGCAAACGTTGAAAGTGGGCTTTCAAGACACTGAACACCTTCTCGATTGGGTTGTAATCAGGCAAGTAGGGTGGTCAGTACAGTATGCAAATTCCCTTCTCCGGAGCAAGTTCTGTCACTTGTCCTCCATGGTGAATGCACACATTATCCATGATCAGGACCAAATTGGCCTGTGGGTATGGATTCATAACAGGGGACTAAGAATGCAATGTTACCAAACACATGTGAAAAAAGAGAAAACAGCACAAAATTGAGTCTCACAAGTTGATGTTTGAGAAAGCTTTTGAAATATTTCCGAACAAAGCTACCCTCCTGGCATGCCATGGCCAAAACCCTCCCCCTTGAAAATAGCAGGCAAAAGTGAGAAACACTTTCCAGCTTGGATCCAGGGTATTCTTTTGGTCTGGTGGCCTTGCATGGCCCATCCATTTTCTCTGTTATGAGCCACAGGCTAGAAGGCTCTCATAGATATGCTTATACAGAGTTGTACCTTGCCTTATCCTCTCACTCGAGTAGAACATCTGTTCCTCACGTAGCAATCTAATAGCTCACCAAGAGGGCCTTTCACTCATAGCTCTTGCATCTTTGCTAGCCAACTCATATCATACTCTTTGCAAGCTGCATTCCTGAATGGCACATTAATCTAATGCAACAATGACATGAGAACAATTCAAGTCAATTACAGACAAACTGCCTGCCTGCTTACCTAAGAACACCGTTATTTTGGGTCGCAGAGCCCCGATTTCATATAAAAAGCAAGCCCTTTTGTCGGGGGATTGGTTTGGGTGTACAGTGCAAGTTTTCTTCCAACTGAGCAAGAGGCGTGCTTTGAGATCCTTGGCAATCTTTTGAATGGACACCCATTTCCCACATTCTTGATACACGGCGCAGAAAATTTTGTCCAGGTATAGTACAGGGTTCTCGTCAATCAGTGTGAGCGGGAAATCACAATGTTTGTCGCACAGCCCCCATCTACTGGGCTCTGGGAGGCCACAGACTACCACAGCATCATGAAAGATTGATGAAAGCTTCAGAAAGGATTCGCAGAAGCTTCAGAGAAGCTTCGGGAAAGATTTGAAAGAGCTCAAGATGATGCCTGCAAACGTCTGAACAGGTCTCCAGACCAAAAAAAATGTGTGGCTGCTGACCGGAAGAATCAGGGGACCAGTGACTTTCAAGGAACATATCATGTGCCACAACTCTCAAAGATTGGTGGGATGTATCATAGCAAACATTCTCTGTCTCTCACCAGACCACTCAGGGTGTATATACTTTGAAGTTGGATTGGCTCCTGTGCCCAGATCTCCTTCATGCATATCAATGTGTATATCTATTGGTGTACACACTCCTGCCCACATGCAGTACTAATACCATATGTCTCTATAAACCCATACATGGGCTCCCTTGCTGGCCATCAAGGGGGCCCCTGTATAGTTTTAAGGAGTTATATGGTATAAGACAATTTCGACTACTGATACCAGATTGTCTCTATAAACCCATACATGGGGTCCCTCAACGGCCATTGAGGGAGCCCCTGTATGGTATTACAGGGGTATATGCTAGAAAACATTTGGACTACTCATACCATATGTCTCTATAAAGCCATACATGGGCTCCCTTGATGGCCATCAAGGGACCCCCTGTATGGTATTCACTGCCAGCATTAAAGAACGTTGGGACTACTCATACCATATGTCTATATAAATCCATACATGGGCTCTGTCAATGGCCATCAAGGGACCCCCTGTATGGTATTATAGGGGTATATGCTAGAAAAACATTTGGACTACTCATACCATATGTCTCTATAAACCCATACATGGTCAGTTATCTGCTCATCTAGATAAGGAAATCATGTGTAATACATGCTGTAACTTTGTTCAGATTGAGACACACATTTCAAAATATTGACTACATATATCACAATGGCTACTCAGGCAATATTCATGGAACTGTGTAACAGTAGCAGAATGGGAATCTGATCACTAGGACCCATATTCCCATCTGGGAACCTCTTTAATGCTGGCAGTGATTATAGGGGTATATGCTAAAGAACGTTGGGACTACTCATACCATATGTCTATATAAATCCATACATGGGCTCTGTCAATGGCCATCAAGGGACCCCCTGTATGGTATTATAGGGGTATATGCTAGAAAAACATTTGGACTACTCATACCATATGTCTCTATAAACCCATACATGGGCTCCCTCAATGGCCATTGAGGGAGCCCCTGTATGGGTGCATGTGACTTGTGCTGGATTTTATGTCCAGTTGAAGTTACGTTGAAGCTTTCATGAATCTTTAATGGATCTTTCATGAATCTTTGATGAATCTTTCATGAAGTAAGTGGTAGGCTCTGGCCTGCCAGAGCCTAGTAGATGGGGGCTGTGTCGGTCAATCTCGTTTTTCGGTCTAGCTGCTTGTAGTCGTCTGGATGGCAAACCACACTGTACGTAGCGCGGTACAAAGTGTGCCACCACGTAATGGTGCACAGGCTGACTGATGATTGCAGCATATGCTTAACCTGTAGGCCACTCATGCCTTTGTGAAGGTACCGGATAGCCAGTACCTTGACACCAGGATTGTACTTTCCAGGTTGGACTGCTCGTACTCTCGCCATCTGAATTGAAATCATACCAAATGAGTCAGTCGTGGATATTGAAGGGAATAGAAGAGAAAGAAGAGCTGACGTAAGATGAGCATAGAGAGTGGGCAAGTAGTGGTGAAACAAAGTCACAAGGGGGAATCAATGCTGATTGGGTGGAGTGACGAGGGTGATTCAATTGTGAGCGGGAGGAATCAATGATGACTGGTACTGGCAGCAGCAGCAGAGGGAAACATCCTGGAGAATACATAGCCCTTGCTGCGCTTTTTAGCATCCGGGGGGATAGTTTGTTCATGTATTGGCTGTATCGGCTGTATTTTGGCGCCAACTTTATGTGCAAAAAAATAAAAATAAAGGACGGGACACAAATTTCCTGAAGAGCTGTGATACAATAGGGACTGGGCAAAGCTCTGCAAAATTGCAATTCAACCGTAGTTGAAAGCGAGTTGCAAACAGTTAAGCCACTGTTCAATCAATATAACATTTCCCTATTTTTTTAGTAAGCTTTATGGCACTAAAAAAAATAGGGTGGCACACAGCCATGACCCTCCCTAAGACAAGCTGTCTATCCAAATTTGCCCCTCCCACCTCAGCCAAAAGCCTATGGCAGAACACTTCTGGACAGCCCGATATACCTTTCACAGGTTGCTCTGGCTTTGATTTTGGTGAAATCATCTTGTAGTCGGCTGTAGTTGGGGCTCTTGGGCTTGCAGGAGAAATCGTGACATCTCCTGTTTGTATAAATAACTTCGGTCGGCTTCCAGGGGATTCATGCGCTTATTGAGGTGGCTAAATCCTCTGTCGGTTGAAACCTCGCCCAGTCCCTAATACTAAAAATTTCTTTTTTTGATGGGTCCAATAAATTATGTATGCAGTAAATTAATGACTAAAAGGTGTTTAACTCACATCCGAGGGATTTGACAGTATGTCACTCCTTTTGTACGTGTGTACCTCATGACTCAGATCAACGGATGTCTCACATATCAAGATGTGAAAGAGTCTTCCCTCCAGCAAAAAAATAACATGGTGTACATATTTTCTACGTTTGTAGCACCGGTCAGTCTCGCGTTGTGGTGCTCTCAATCCGGGGCGCGGTAGTGAACCAATTGATACGCTCACATGGTCTCACATTTATTGAACATGACATCATGAGTAGTTTGAAATAATGTGAGAAAGTTGTGACATGACCTGTGCAAGCCTGTGCAGTTGTTCAAATTTATAAAACTGATAGGCATATGTAATTCCCTTCTGGAAATCGTGGAGCCTGGAATGATATGTGAGTCGCGGGAGTTTTCAATCTTCTTGAGAGTGTTGAGGCAACCCTGGGCCAGCAACGCAGGTTTTGCGTGTTGCGCTGCGCCTGCGTTGCGGTTTTTCTGACCGCAGCGCAACATAGAATCAAATTCTAGGTTGCGGCCTGACCCGCAGCGCAACATCATTTGTCAAATCGATGGATTTTTTGGGCCGCAACAACATTTGTTGCGTTGCTGCCCAAAAAAAATCACAGTTCGGCGTTTTTTTGGCGCTGTTGCGCCTGTTGCGTTGCGCGACGGTCAAGGCGCCGCGCAACCTGACCTCACCATTTGTTGTTGCGGTACTTACCGCAGCGCAGCATGTAATGCAGGTTTGTGCTGCGTGTTGCGGAGCAACGCACCAAAAAACACTCGTGTTGCGGTGCGTTGCGTTGCTGGCACAGGGTTGGTTGAGGGGTTTTCAATTTTTTTCAAATTGTCTGAGTTTACTGAGCTCAGTCATTTTGAGTGCTGACCACCGGATGTTCAAAGCAGTCGGTCACAGTCTCACAGGCTTCGGCTGCCGGCATTTAAAATTTTGCAGCACTGCTTTTTTTTTATTTCATTGCTTTAAGTGTTTTTTGAGCTGGTAGGCTATCAAACACTATGTAATATGTCCAGCACCTGTAAAACCCCTCTGGCTGTGTCAGGGGAAAGGGTTGCTGTTGGCTGTTTCAACTAGATTACATGTTTTTTTTGTTATATTTTGGAAGAAAGGGCAATGAAGTATGGAATTGGAATGAAATCACTCTATGGGTTGAGAATGGTTCATGGGGTGGGGTTCATTAGTGGCCTTAGGCCAGATCCAATGATTTGC